GGCAGGGCGGTGGTATGTATCCGTGCGGACTCACGTGAGGTCCTACCACCAGTGATTACGCAAATTATAATTTTAATATAATTTGATTTTTTATTTTTATTACACGATGTTATTCCTTCACTGTGGAAGTCAATCGTGAACATTTGTGAAGTACGTATTTCATTAGAAAAATTGGTACCCGCCTGCGATATTCGAACACCGGTGCATCGCTATATACGAATGCACGTCTTATACTTTAGGCCACGACTACTATACATGTGACTGCAAATGAAAATCATACCGCACTATGAATACTGACAGAGCTTGATCCAAGACACCGCGTTCGGATACCAAGGTCCTGACAATTTCTAAGATAAAACGCTCTATGTAATCGTATTTAGCGACACGACTATGGTGTTGGTCAAATCCCATAGACAACGCTCCGTGTCCGCTCCGAACGCCTTTAAAACTTTTTTTTTAATTACCCGTGGCGTCGTGTGAGCCACACGGGCAGGTACCATCATTCTGCCTATTTCTACCGCGATGCAAATTCCACTAATTACCAAACCGATTTTTTCACCTTTTGTCTCCAGCCAGCGGTCATTAGCACTAGGAAATATGACCCGGTTAGCAAATTTATATATATTAAAACATCGCATCGGTCTGATTCAAGTTTTATTGACGCATCATCAAATTCAAATACGCATTTTATTATTCAACGAATAATAATAACTCTTATGTGGTACGTTTTGATCTTCGTAACAATAAAATTTCTTATTTTTAAACTATACCTAAACTCTTTTATATTATTTTAGCGTGTTTCTTTCTAAGCGGAATCCGAGACGTAAGTTTTTGGAAATTGTACGAGTATTATTAATCTTGTTGGAAATAATAGTATTTTCTTCGGTTTTCGCGAAACTTAGACATAATTCCAAACTATTTACACCGTGTAATCTTGCGTTTATTATTCTATTTATATTATTTCTGACGTCTCAGATGCTTTACAGTCTTCGGACGACAGCGACGACTTCTCGTCCGTAAAAGTAGTTTCGATCCACTGAAACTTCCTCGACAGAGTACAAAACTAGTAAATGGAGCTCAGACGTGAAAAGCCTTTTATCGCGTAGGTAGCTTAAGTACCATTCATCATCAACATGGTTCCAAGCCGGTTACTGCAACGGCGACCAACATTTTCTGTTTAATAACTTAAAAGCTAATGTCCGCGCCTCTCGTGCGCTCTAATATGGCTATGGTAGCCTATCTTGTTCTTGAACGTGCGCAAACAGAAGCTACACGTAAGAACACCACTCACAAAATTGTAAAAAATGGTGGAAGGCGGTCTATTTTTCAGTTTAATAGGTACCATTATCTCCTCCAAAAGTTCCAAATCCAGTTTCAATATATCATTTTAATAAAATACAAAAACAACAACAAAAAATCGCAATGTTTTCAATCTAGTGTAATTGTTCAGGTAGCGAACAACGAAACGAATGGACCCGCTATTAAATTTAAACATTCACGATGTAAAACCTCAAGCTTGTGACCTCTCTTGTGGGTTCCCATACTCCTAATAGCAGAAAGGATTGTGATCCTGCACTGGTAGGTGCACAATATGTTTTTCCCTCTTAATTACGTTACTTCCAAAGCCACGACTAGATACCTCCATGCCGAGTTGATACAAAATCCGATTTATCAATTGTCCTCTTCAGTCATTGAAGCGGCTCGTATGCTCTTTCCATCCAATCCATTCAACGCAATCATTTTTAGTTACAATAGTGAGGTTTAGAATCCGTTTAAATAAATCAGCCTTATTATGGTCTTTTTTTCTTTTTTCCTAAAATGAAATACAACGGGGACTCGAAAAAAATCTACTGAATACGACTTTACTGCTTTCAATATTAATCCTTTTAGTGCTGAGCTTAATTTCACATATTTTGTAGAAATTACTAAAGGATTTTTGAAAAAAAGTATCTTATACAAAATCAATGCTAAATTCACAGCAAAATATCTTTTAAATTATTAATTATAAAAGGTAATACGTGCGCGCCCTAAGACACGTCCGTACAGGTCGATACCTATTACCTATAATCAAACTGCGCAATAGTCAGTATTCCGACGCTCCGCACTTTATACGCGTAAATTGAGAGTCGATCTATCGACGGTACGCGCTCTAAGGCCTAATGAAAATTAATTACACGATGTAAAGTATGCAATAAAACAACAGAGTGAGCGAAGAACGTTATCTAATCCAGTGAATAAACAAACTTGTTCCCACGGATGATGATCCAGTGGCGACACCGCATCAACGCACTGCAATGCTCTTTCAATTAGGCTTTTCGTTGCTTAACTTTTGACTTACGACCTTAAAGCGTCACAGGTACTTTGCAATTCCAAAAACTTGTTCTTTTATTGCCTTAGATGTGCAGATGAGCTCAAAACTCATTTATTTTTGAATTGTTACCAGAGACCATAGAACTTAGAACGCGAACACGAATTACCTCCGGGCTGGAACGATACGAAAATGCGTCCAAAGTTCAACACCACTAACCTCTGGGAAGTTTACTGGTGTCTGTCAATGACCTTAAAGCTTCACAGGCTATTCGCGATACCAAAAACTAGTTCTGTTGTTGCCTTAGATATGCAGATGAGCTCAAAACAAATGTGCTTTTGAATTGTTACCAGAGACCATAGAAATTAGAACGCGAACACGAACTACCTCCGGTTTGAGGCGAAACGAAAATGCGTCCAAAATTCAACACCAGTAACCTCTGGGAAGTTTAGAGATGTCCGTCAATCGTGGATACGTCAGCACCCGACCGCTCCAGACAAATGGCGCGTTGATTTCAAAACGGATGTTGGCTTTCGACGGATGCTTTATTCAAATAATTCGGTGGCACGATCTTCGGGTAAAACGAGTCATTCTTGTTTTAATACGACCAGCGGTATCCACATTAGCATTGATGTGTATGGGCCGCGAACCACTTAAGCAGAGAGCTCATCCACACAATGGAAAGAATTCAACCAATACTTAAACGCAATGCACAGTGGGTCTTACTTAGTTGTAAGTTGATACATACATAATATGTATTTACGGTTACGGAGAAAGCTTCGAACAGTAACGAAGCTTCTTAATGGGATCTTCTTAATGTGATCTTAATTTTAATTTTCTTTTTTTTTTCTTTTAAATGTTTAATTTTTACAATAATTAATCAATTTACATTAATCCGTAAAAAAAGTTTTAATCGTACCAATGACTCACGAGAACCTTAGATAAGAAAGTAATTGCATTGTCACTACCACCATCAGCCTGAGTGAGACACATCGTCAACCTAACTCAATTCTGCCACAAACAATACTTTCTCATTATTGAAAAGGTCATTAATCCATCAATGAAGTCTCTATATTTATATAGTGACAGAATTATTTAAATGATTCATAAGTGCTGTGTAGATACACAGGTAAAATTGTCTACCCGTGTATAGAAGACAGAAACCTGTTAAAAACTGTATTTATTACATTTATGTCTTGTGAAATATGTAAATTTATCCTTAGGGCTAACGCAGCTATGTATCTATAGATACCGCAGCCATGTAACATTACCTAAATGATAAAAGTCTAAATGAATTATCTGACATCTGAAGGGCAACATATCGGAAAAGCAAAGTTCATTTTAATTTAAGCAAATAAAACCCTCGATTCAGCTGATTTTCTTATCTGTTACATTATAATGCATTAAACATTAGTCAATTATACCTTCTTGAATCAGCAACAGAAACAGAAGCAAATAGAAAGAACGGTCACGAAGCGCACAGTAGAATTATACTCTTTGAAAGAAAAACAAATCAAATCAGTTCGTGATTTAAACACCGAATCGTTTAGTTCACAGAACTTCACAGAACGAATCATGTAATATCATCATCACAAGCGAATCGTAAACAAAAAGAAACTTTTTACCTTCGTCCATAAACAACGCCCGTAGTATTCGAAACGTACAGATTATACTAACCTCGTTTCTTAATATAGAACTAGGTGAAACAGACACCCAATGATAACGGGCTATGTCAAAACATCAAGCTCTGAGAGCAGCGAAAACCGTCTGTGGCCTAATAAAATGCTTCGTCTGGTTGAGTAGTCAAGCGAATTAGATGTTGATCAGTTCTTGGATATCCCACCTGTCTTGGTGAAACTGGAAAAGCCTCTGGGCCACCAGTAATCACACAATCATTAAAAAAAAACTTGGTTAGACACAGCCATATGTTTAAACGACTTCCACAGTGAAATCTACCCGCAAATGTAGTATAACTAGTGAAGCAAACTCCGCTATGATGACCTCTGAATGCAGAAAATACGCCGCGCAAAAAAGCGACACACGTACTACTAGTAATATGTTAATTATAAAATGGCTAAAACCATATGTTATGTGCCAACAACAAATTTACCAAGTTTCAGGACTTTAATCACAATGAAAACCACAGGCTAAACGATCTAAGAAACTTTTAATTACATTCGTATAGATTAACTTTAACATTATCCAGAGAAGGATAATGGGAGAAGATGGTCGCGGCTCTCAGACATGAGAAATGCGACTCAAGGAGGAGGAGATTATCTTTGTTATGCCCTCTGGCAAAGAAGTAGAGCCAAGTAGAGTCGAGAAGTAGATTTCCTTAGGGCCTGCGGTCTGCTCCCAACATCTGCAGACCGTTAAGTCATATAACGTGACATACCCCGCGTGCCCCCTAGGCGCGGAAACCTCGTATGAGGTTCAGCCCCTTGCCCAAATCCAAGTGGTCAAATATTAAACGATGGCAATTTCTAATTCAAAAGTCCCTATTTCTGATTATTATTAGCAAAGGCCTACCCTAGAGATTGTCATACTTTTCTATTCGTACCTTTTGTTTTCCGTAGCGATCCACGTGTTTTGTTAATATTTTCTTCACACCTTTCTTTTCCGTACTAATAATTGGATTATCTGACATCTGAAGTATTATGAAACTGTTCGTTTAATGTGATTTGTATATTTCCAGATACACATTGATAGCATACTACGACATGTACGCGCAAATATATACGACCACGAAGATATGGATACAATTGCTCCTCATCTGGATCGTGTCATTCGGATTCATGGTACGTAGAAGTACTATCTGACTTCATAATATTTGCTTGTTAACCGACTTCAAAAAAGGAGTAGGTTCTTAATTCGACTCTGTTTTATTTTTTTATGTTTGTTGTTACCTCATAACTTTTGACTGGGTGAATAGATTTTGACGATTCTTTTTTTACTAGAAAGCTGACGCTTCCCGTATGGTCCCTTTTCATCATTTAGTCCAGTTCAGATAATGGTATGCATGAGAAAACCATATAAATCTTAAATTTGCATTAAGTACGTGCGCGACAAATAGATGGATAACTCAATAACTCAATATCACGCCAACCGGTTTCGATGATTATTATTTTCAGTTTATATTAATTTGTTTTGGAATATCTTTTTTTTTCTATTTGAAGTCGGTTTTTGTTAAAGCATGTCTATTTACAATTATTATTAATCATAAGGTCTGTTTTTGCAAGGCACTTTCAGTGGCTGTGATCTGATCTGATGTTTAATTTAACCGATCCTAAACGAGTTCCAGTCCGAAATAACCAAATCAAGAATGGCTTCTAAGCCAATACGTTGCATTTTGCGATAATTTTTTTATTTCCTTTGTAGGTAGCAATCAGCCTGCCTGATGGTGAGTGGTTACCGTCGCTCATGGACGTCGGCAAAACCGCTGCCTTTATTCAGTGATTCTTTTTTTTCCCTACCTATGCTGATAGCCTTGAGAGGCTATTTCAGCTTCACCCTAACGTGTAGGTGATCTCACGGGGCTCAAACCGGAAGTGTTGCTAACACTGGCCCTAGCAAGAGCAATCCTTCGCAGAATCTATCACCGGATCGGAAACGCGACCCACTGAGAAGATCCGGCGAGAAACTCAGTGGGTTGTGTCTATGGGTTAATTCGTTCGTCGAGCTCTTCGTCGCAAGCGACGGGTTCGGCGAGGACGGCGACCGGGTGATTGCTGCTGATTCAGTGTTACGTTGGCAACTCAGTAATCCAATTGAACGATGTACATATGTTGTAATAAAAGTGAGATTAGTTCGTTGCACTTCCATGTTGTGCGGCGCTTAATTGTACAGAATTAGGGTACATCCTTCGGGAGGATGGATTGAATTACAAACTGAAGCGAGTTTTATGTTTTTAAATACGACTATGAGCAACAGAGCGTATCGTTCACACTATCTTCATACTATCTTCATACTACCTTCATACTATCTGAAACCGCTGTATTTACAGTGCATTTTCAGAGAACTTACCGCCTTCTACCTGGAATGAACACCCCTGCACGGTGTTTTCCTCGCATGTCCTCCTTCTGTTAGAGTAATTTAAAAAAACGGAATAAAGGTCTAGAAACTACCTAATTCAATATCGAGTTCCAATCATTTCCGTTTAACTATTTTTTCAAGTCCTCATCATATTTTAATTTTATTTTTTTATTTTTTTATTGCTTAGATGGGTGGACGAGCTCACAGCCCACCTGGTGTGAAGTGGTTACTGGAACCCATAGACATCCACAACGTAAATGCGCCACCCACCTTGAGATATAAGTTCTAAGGTCTCACGTATAGTTACAACGGCTGCCCCACCCTTCAAACCGAAACGCATTACTGCTTCACGGCAGAAATAGGCGGGATGGTAGTACCCACCCGCGCGGACTCACAAGAGGTCCTACCACCAGTAATTACGCAAATTATAATTTTGCGGGTTTCATTTTTATTACACGATGTTATTCCTTCATCGTGGAAATCAATCGTGAACATTTGTTGAGTACGTATTTCATTAGAAAAATTGGTACCCGCCTGAGATTCGAACACCGGCGCATCGCTCAACACGAATCCACCAGACGCCTTATCCGTTAGGCCACGACGACTTGCAATTTTCACAGATAGTTGAAATAATTGTGAGGTTATTACGTATTTAGAAGCGCTCATCTGACCAATTATGGGCATTTATATTCATTCCTCAGTCACAAAAATGTACCCTTAATTATGTGTCCACACATACTTATCACTATCTTTTGTCTTCGTAGTTTCGTGTATATTATTAGGACATTCAGTCATACGAACAGAATGAAATTATAAAGAGCTCTGTCGTTTTTCCATCTGAATTCTACAAAGACTAGATAAGTTTACATTATTTTAGTTTATACCAACGTTTACCTACTTCTTATGGTGCTTAGATACTGACGTTTCGGACATATACTTAGGTACTTATTTAGAACAGGCCAACTGTGTTGGTATTAGGTTCCAAAATACACAAAACTTATTGGTAAGGATTTAGTCTCGTACCTTGTGAGGCTCGAGTAACAAGCACCACAGGGCTTTAAGAGACTTGAATTGATGAAATATTTTAAACTTTCGCGGCAGTCTACGTTATAAACGCAATTAGGTGTCGATAACCTTTCTTCTCAGTCGTACACTCCTGGCAGAGTGGTCGTGGTTATTTATGTCTTATTGCTTGGTTGCGGCTTTTGAGAGACTTCTCCATCTCTCCCTATTTTTAGCGGTACATGTACATTCTGGAACGTTATGGAAATGTCTAAAAACGATAACCTTAGATAAGATTAACTAATTCCCGATCATTACCGTTCTGTGGAAAGCGATCATGCGCAGCGATCACCTACAGACTTGAGAATGCGGGTAGGATCTTAGAAGCAGACAAATCTACCCTATCTGTCGTCCATTTTGGGAAGTAACATCCATTTAAAAAACAAACTGTTTGAGATTAAAAATACTCTTAGCTCTTTTACCTGCACCCTTAACCTAACCTAACCGCGATCGCTTATGACTCGCGTGCGTTAAAACATAAAAATAATATTTACACCTCGTAAATCATAAAGTTACATAACTTTTTTTTTGTCTTATTTACACAACGTCGTAAAAGCATGTGCACACACACGATTCATTGACAGCGCATCCGCCACGCTCGTTAGGCAATAAAATAAAAAACTACAACACATTATTGTTATTGTGTGATACAAAAAATAACGTATAAATTTGTAAAGTTAATAATATTGACTAGGTACGTAGTCAATTTTGGACTTCCGAGAAACACACAAGAGGTTTTTAGTTTTGGTATCGAACGGAATTTAATCCGTACATGGTGCAGACCAGCCCATCCCACAGATGGTGTGATGTGGTCCATATTGAGACATGAAACCGAATTATCATTTTTTTTTATTGCTTAGGTGGGTGAACGAGTTCACAGCCCACCTGGTGTTAAGTGGTTACTACAGCCCATAGACATCTACGACGTAAATGCGCCACCCAACTTGAGATATAAGTTCTAAGGTCTCAAGTATAATTACAACGGCTGCCCCATCCTTCAAACCGAAACGCATTACTGCTTCACGGCAAAAATAGGCAGTGTGGTGGTACATACCGGCGCGGACTTCCAAGAGGTCCTACCACCAGTAAATGGCTAAAGCCCTATGCTAGTGCTCACTATTGGCACTAGCATAGCGTGAACCAATCAAGCCTTCTCTCATTCACTATTTTATGTTATTGATTTAGGCACAATACAAGCGATAAGTAACTAAGCGACGTTTACCAAATGATCGAAATTCGACCAAAATCAATGATATCACAGGATTTTCATTAGTTTTATGTATGGCGTCTTTTTTCTGTTTCCATTCTGATTTTGACTGTACTAGAAAGAAAAAAAAACTTAAATATTGCCAAAAAAAGATAATTAGTTCAAAACTCCTAAAAAAACCATATTGATTTGTACGATAGATTTATATTTAAAAAGGAGATACTCTAGCCTGCATATTGCAATAGCTGAAGTATCGCATCTAGCAACGCTAACTCAAAACAACTACTTATCGAAAAACAAACCAAGCATTATATTTATAAATAATAAAAAACATTTTCATTAACAGTGAAGGGAAAACGCATCAACATTCGCATCAACATTGAACCACCAGCATTACTGCTGAAATACATACTTAAACATATTATGACCACAGAGCAAGTTTTATAGAATCCATAAAAAAATATTCCAAGAGTCATTCCGAAAACAAAAACGGGCCTGCATACAATAAAAATTACAATTTACTACAGACATTTATGTTCAATTGACAGCGCTCGAATGTGTTAAAAAACGAATGATAAGCGTATTTTTAATGGTCAATGAATAATTCATTAGTCGAGGGTATGTGTGGGCTCGTGAACATGTCTGTTCAGTACAACTATAAGGCGACTCGTTCGCAAGCGATATTATGAAATTGTAATATCACCGTCTCTTACAGTATTGGCATTAGTTTCCATGACACGTGGACATAATTAAAACTACCTACGCGATTATTACTAACGTGTGTAAAGTGTGGAGCGTCGGAATACTGTCTACCTACCCGATCCTGTGGACCAAATGGTAAACAGTCGACGTCGCCCTAAGCACGTCATTACGGATCCTCCCGATCCATTAACGGTGCTTTTAGGTACCTCAAGCACCGGTCACCGTCCTCACCGAATCCGTGGCTTGTGACGAAGGGCTCGACGAGTAAATTAACCAATAGACACAGCCTACTAAGTTTCTCGCCGGATTTTTTCAGTGGGTCGCGTTTCCAATCCGGTGGTAGATTCTGCGAAGCACTGCTCTTGCTAGGGCCAGCATTAGTAACACTTCCGGATTGGGCCCCGGGAGTTCGCCTACATGCTAGGGTGAAGCTAAAATAGCCTCTCAGTCGATCATGAGCATGGGTAGGAAAGAAAAAAAAACTGTCTATTGTAACTAATTTATGGTATTATCTATGGTCCATTGCGCAGTTTGATTATAGGTATAAGGTATCGACTGCACCACCGAGACAGCCAAATTATTGTCATTACATTATTTCCAATGTCTCTAACAGAGTTTTGTTGGTCGCCTATGATTTTTTTTTTTATTGCTTAGATGAGTGGACGAGCTCACAGCCCACCTGATATTAAGTGGTTACTGGAGCTCATAGACATCTACAACGTAAATGCGCCACCCACCTTGAGCTGATATAAGTTGTAAGGTATTAGACGGGATTTGTCGACAACAATAGAATATTGTGCGAACTACTTTCTAATTTTTTTCTATAAAAGCGTTTTTTTTTTGCTTACGTGGGCGGAGGGGCTCACAGCCCACCTAGTGTTAAGTGGTCACTGGAGCCCATAGACATCTACAACGTAAATGCGCCACCCACTTTGAGATATAAGTTCTAAGGTCTCAGTATAGTTACAACGGCTGCTCCACCCTTCAAACCGAAACGCATTACGCCTTCACGGCAGAAATAGGTAGGGCGGTGGTACCTACCCGTGCGGACTCACTAGACGGCCTACCACCAGTAAAAGGTTTTCTAGTTTTGACAACGGTTTTTCCTGAATATTGCACCTGCTATCGCCACACTTTACTGGATGTAGGGCATATAATGAGACCGCACGGTCTTAAACAACTATTCTGCTTATTTCTGCCGTGTCGCAGTTCCTCTTCGAAGACTGATGTAGCCGTATAGAATACAGTCTTTTTACGTTGCCTACGAGCTCTGGTCACACTTTACACCAGGTACCCCAAGAGCGCGTTCACTTGTAACGTAAATTAAATTAAGCATTCCCACCCCCATCATTGTGACTATAGTGTTTGCACCTAATAAAAAAAAATATATATTTCGTTTATTCGCTTCCAGATTCCCCCCCTGCTCGGCATCTGGGGTCAACTAGGGCTGGAGAAGAACACGTTTTCGTGCACGATATTACCGAAGAACGGGCAGTCGCCGAAAAAAGCGTTGTTCGTTTTCGGCTTCGCGTTGCCCTGCGTCGCGATCATCGTCTCGTACTCGTGCATCTATTGGCGCGTCAGACAGAGCAAACGGAAACTTGAAGGACACGGGTGTGTATAAAATAAGCGGAAATAAATTTTAGGCAGCGTCCCAGCTCTGCCCCTGGCTTTGCTGACGTCCACGGGCCGTATGCTCGTCTGTCTTAAACAAAAAAATTAAAATACAATTATCCTAAATGTCTAAGTATATGTAAAATTTTGTCATTAGTAAATACATAATTGTAAATCATCTTTTATAGTATGAGGTAGCGCCCTCTGTGAATTGATATTTTAACTTCACGTATAATGTGTTCTATCTCATTCTCTCGCCGGCTGAACCCTATACATTTATGTGTTTGTGTCTCTATGGACTTATTTTTTCGTTTCATCGAGTTTGAAATCACAACGAAACTGACTCTGAACAAATGGTGAAACGTCCAAACAAACAGACCATAGTACATCTAATTGTACTTCTAAGAATATACTGTTTCTATACATTATATATACTATACCAGGAAAACATGAAAAGTGTATATTTTGTAAACGACATACGCTGTTGGATGTACATACATATACGTTATATAACATCATATAAGACATATTAGAATAAAAAATATAACGAATGTAGGGACAAATGTCCCCATCATCATCATCATCAACAGCCCACAGTCGTCCACTGCTGGACATAGGCCTCTGCCAGTCCACACCACTGAGCCTGGTCTACGGCTCTCCTCATCCACTTCTTGCCGGTCACCGTTCGGAGGTCATCGCACCACCTAGCCAGGGGCCGTCCCACGTTACGTCTTCCGCTGCGCGGTCTCCACTCGAGAACCCGTCTGCTCCAGCGATCGTCAGTCCTACGGCATATATGGCCAGCCCACTGCCACTTCAGCTTGCTGACTCTTGTCTCCATAGCAACTATTAATATGTACCTATTTATTAGCGATAATTATATTGCAGTGATGCTGCGCCAGTCTTGGGATTATCGGGCTGTCAATAACACGTTACATTGTAATCCCAATATACTTTAGTTATGTACTTAACAGAACACGTGTCTTATTAATCTTTGCCCGATATAGAGACTCAACACGAACAATGTTAAAATTAAAAATCTTAATCCTAAAATAAAGATTAAGTTTGAGAGATTAAATTTCCAGTAAACTCAGCGGCCAGACTGCGAAAGAGAAAGAAGAAGACTCTAGACTGACGAGGCTGATGCTGACCATCTTCGTGTGCTTCCTCGCCTGCTTCCTGCCGCTGATGATCATGAACGTCGCCGACGACGACATCACGTACCCCTGGCTCCATATCATCGCCTCGATCCTGGCGTGGGCGTCCAGCGTGGTCAACCCGCTGATCTACGCGGCCACCAACAGGCAGTACCGGGCCGCCTACGCCAACCTCCTCAAGTTCTGCAAACTCAGCCCCGCCTCCCGAAGAACTACGTACGGCAGTCGAACCATGGCGCAGTCCTCCAACTGATCGGTAAACAATCAAACCAAAACAACTAATTTAATACAGTAATCGCCTATAACACGGCAGATTGGATCGCGTTATATGAGTGAGCCCGCATAACGCGCTTCCATGACCCCCATCTAACGCGTTATATACATATATAATATCGAGATTACCTCTCGAATTTGGATGGAGTAAACATGATTGACGTTCAATTAAAAACATCTGTTGATACTAATATCAAACAAAAAGAACCTTTAATTACAAAGATAGATTTCTCGTATTACGCGAAATATCGCTTAAACCAAATAACCTTTCACCTGTCGATATACATACAATAAATATAATACAATATAATCAAGGTTTTTTATAATTAAAAAACAAGGGATACATTTTTTTTATATTTTAATGTAATTGAATTTTAGTACGACATAATTGACACAATGTGCAACAAAGGTACGCGAAATTAATTATGAACTGTACAAATCATTGTAAATTTCACAGTAGGTACAGATATATAGCGTGTGTAATCCCCGCGTTATATGAGGAATTCCGTGTTATACGGGGCCTGAAATCGGGTAATATAAAAATGCGTTAATAGAGTACCGTGTTATAAAGGGCGTTACTGTAATAATAATTAGCAGCTTATTTTAATGACATGCTATTTTTTCAATAACCGTTAAACGTTTATAAGCGCCACGGCAGCTCTGATCGACTCTAAAGCTATTGACTTTTTTTTTAATAAATAATCCGTATCGAATCTCATATTTTTTATTTATTTCGCCTTCGCAGTTGGCTATAAATAAATATTTTGTCTAAAACTGACATTGGATATGTCAGTATTTAAATAATATTTACTTTTATAATTGTAAATAATCCAATCTACTTAATTCAACAATTAGTAGTATACCTAATACTCATAATACTGTTTGATTAAAACAAATATATTTTTAGCGCCCTATAATATTTTAATACAATTCGTTGTTTGTAAATAGCAATATGTGTGTATGTTGTTTAATTTTAATATATTTAGTTGAGTTGAACTGTTTCGAACTGGCTGCTGTGTTATTGGAAGCTGTTGATGTATTAAGAAATCGTTCATTGAGCTTACATTGATTATATTACTAAATGAATACATAATGCATTAACATTTCATGATGAAGTCTTGAAACTATTCAATTCGGTTATGATAAAATCACCAAATAATTAAGTACTCAGGTAACAACGCGTACATTAAACGTAACCAAAGCTTCATAATTACCTTAGTATCTTTATAGAAAAAAAAAAGGTAGAATGATAGAAAACAAATTTTTGTTTGCGCAATTTGTGTAGGTATAAATATTTCTAGTTCGCATTTTGTCTTAGGTTATAAAAGAAAAGTAATTAAAGCATTCCTTTAAGTAAAACTAGTTTAAATAAATATATCGATGTAAAAATGTAGACAGTTAAGATATATAACACTATAATTAGGTTAAGTGCGTCGCGAATGTATTTGTTTTTTTTTCGACAATGTGTTGCATTTTGTAAAAAAAAAAGAAAAAAACATTTGTGGCTGTATCTCACTTGTCGCTTTTGCTTGGCGTTGTTTCGAGAACGCTGAACCGAAAACTCAGAACTGAACATGTTTATTTATAATTACTAGTTCTCAATTTTGCATTAATGTATATTCCTATGTATAAGTAATATTGCACAGATAGACTGGGTATTTTTTTTTTATAATTTCACTCAATTTTTCACATCAACTCTAATTTTCATCCATATTGTTTTTGTATTCCTACTTCAAATCTTATTCAATGTTATAATAGTCGCTAGACACGAAAATAGAAGATTTATGTTCAATTAAAATTAAAATGTGATTTCCCCGTCACACGATCAGTCAGAGAAGGTAAGTGAAAAAACAAAGAAAAGAAATATTATTGAACTATTAGTTCAAACGTAAATAGAAAAAAAAAATATTTAACCCACAATTAATTTACGCTCGCCCAACTTCGAGGTCATCGACCTGGGCTGTCAGTTGATAATTTCTATTGTATTAATAATATGATCACAGCAAAAAAATAATTAAAATAAAAAATTTGTACTCGTCTCCGGGATCACTATCTTTATTCGTTTTCTTTAGGACTTTACCAATAAATAGATTTGCAAAAAATTCAACAGTACCCAATAAAAATTTTAAAGTACCAAAAACTATTGTGTGCAATTACGACGTAAATTAAGTTCTTATTATTATGAAGGGTAGAATTAAGGAGTACAATCACAGTGTATTAAAAAGTGTCCACTGAAAGGAGACAATGAAGGTGGCGCCACAGTAACTAGTGGAGGTATTTTAAAAACCGCGCCATAAACTATAATATGATATTAAACTTAGAAGAATAAAAACATTTCCTACGTAAATACCTATTTAGTAATAAAATAAATATTTAAGATTTTAAATGCTGCATATTGTTTAACTACACAAGTCACGAAATATATAAATTGTTTCAACTTCGCTCTGTTTAAAACTACTCTAATGATATCATTTGCACTTCTTACACTCGCGCTATTTCGGTGAGTCTTCCTACAATAACTTGCTGTATGCAGTTGGACACTTTTTCAATTTGTCCCCTATACAAGATGGCGCACCTTACTTCTACCCACCATAGTTCTATAATTTAAATGGAATTTCATTAAACGTCAAATTTATAAAGACTGATATGAAAAGTCCATTAGCATACAAATACTAACATAATATGCAACATTGCCACAGAACTGTCACGCGTGGTTCGAAGATCTAGAATCAAATTCGATTCTATAAAAATAATGAAAACTCAATTACGATCGCTTAAAGAAGGGAAACTAAAGAATATTTATGTCCAATGCTGGCGATGGGCCCGTAAGCTGATGTTCAATGTAGTGTGTCCGGGGCGAGAGTGCTATAAGTGCTATAAGGAATGGCCATTCTTTTTTGCCTACCTACTACTAGTAACCTCAAGGGGCTAGCTTCACCGAACGTCTAGACAAGTTCACGAGGCTCAACCTGGGAGACTTTGCTATCATCTACCACCGGATCGGAATCGCGACCCCATCGCGAAACTCAGTGGACTGGGCCCCTCATATCGGTTTTATTGTTTGTGATTTAAAATCATTAATAAATCAGAAGACTTACATTTGTGTCGCGGGGAGCTGAGTTCTATTTTGATTATAGTAAACTGAAGTTCACTAGAAGTGAACTTGTTAAAATACATATTGCAATAAATGATAACAAATTAATATTGTTAGAGTCGGGATAGTAGGTACTAATGTCGGCATTTGCAACTTCAAAAACGGCTCTCATATATTCTGAAATGTTGTGTCAATTATAATCATGATTTTTTTAAAGAATGTTTAGTAAAGCTCATTAATTGTGAATTATGCATAATTAAGTTGGATTAAGTTCGAATATACATATAAGCTTAGAGACTTAACCTTAGATAAAACCACAAGGCCAAAGAAATAATGTCTTTACCTAATTTACGAAGGTGAGTAGAAAAAGAATTTGAAAATTTTTATTATCAAAATTGATGTTACAATTTTTGTCTATTGTATTCATAACATTGTAAAATTAGGTAGGCTCGTGCGTTTTTATAAAAAAAATATATTGTTTCTCTAGAATACGGGTGACTATGCATTTTTCTTCTCTCATACAAGTTATTTTCTTTACGTTTTCACCTGTATATTGTCATAAGCCTTTCATCTTGCACATTTTTGTAAATCAATACATGATAGATACGTATTTCAAAATGTAAATTTATGTAAATTTCGTGTGTAGATAAGTGACAATATTTTATTTATATAAATGATTTAAAAATTGGTAACAGCTACGTACTACTTATTGTAAATAAATATTTTCTATCTTGAGAACTAAAAAGTATGATTGTGCTAAATTTTAATTACTTTATTCCTAGTTGAATAAGTGTAGATGTTCTATGTCACGTATATTCGTTAGCCAAAGTTAAATTAATAAACATTTTTATATGCACTTCAGTTTTTTATTCGAGATCTATTCATTTGAAAGAGACGATCTTACTTCAGTAAATCTAGCGCGCTTTTAATTTTAGATACAAGCTTATTTATCTGGGTTCACAAAATTCGGGCTCATACTCACATAGGTACATGGTCGAGGGGGTAACGGACCAGGTTATGTCGAACTCTGGCGCCTCAAGAGAGGAAGAGGGAGACCCCGTCATGACCTATGCAAGCGTAGTGTTCGCTCACACGGCCCGCACCAATTTGAATACCACAAGCACCGGTCACGAAGGGCTCGACGAGTGAACTAACCCATAGATATCGCCCACATAGTTTCTCGCCGGATCTTCTCAGTGGGTCGCGTTTCCGATCCGGTGGTAGATTCTGCGAAGCACTGCCCTTGCTAAGGCCAGTGTTAGCAACACTCCCGGTTTGAACACCGTGAGCTCACCTATACGTCAAGGAGAAGCTGAAATAGACTCTCAAGGCTATCAATATAGGTAGTAAAAACAAAAAAAAAACAAAAGGGAGACGAGAAGGACCAAGGCCACAACCCCCAATTCTTCGCAGGAGATTACGGTCCAGCGTAGTCTTCTAAACGCACACAGGTTGTTGGCTGATAATTCAATGACGCGCCTGCTTGTATGATCAGCATGATTTTTGAGAACAGCTATGTATACCGCTAATCATAGAGTAGGGTACTTAACTGTAATTTTTCTCCTTAATTTTTTCGCGAGTTGTCGTAGATTTAATTTATGTCATCCCAATTTAATTTTCGCTCCTTATTTTTCATAAAATAAAATATGTGAAAGATTAGGCTGTACGGTACGATTCTATCGTTTTTCTTGTTGGAAAAATAAAATTACCACTGTCAATGGACCTTTGATTTTGACGTTAGGAATTATTGTGCATTCGTAACTTTAATCGAAAAAACGCCGAAAAATGGCGAAAAGAATATCACAAAGTGCCGTAAACTGGGCTGCTCTCGCTGAGAGAGTTCCCGCCGAACAAAAAGCGCACCTTGCTGCTTTCAAAATAAAATCCGATAATTATCTCCGAAGGTTAGTATTGGCAAGTGATGTTACATAATTTTTTTGCTTTTTTTGGTTATCACACTAATTTCTTTTAGGGTACTAGCCAATCCACCTGAACCGCCCAAGATTAACTGGGCTGTGTACAAACAGGCTGTACCTATTCCTGGAATGGTAGACACATTCCAGAAGCAATATGAAGCTCTAAAAATTCCATACCCAGCTGACACTCAGACGGCACTTGTAGAATCCCAGTGGAATCAAGTCAAGAATGCCATCGACGCGTTTATCCAAGAGTCCAATGCCAACATTGCATCGTAAGTATTAATTTGTTACAAATAAAATTTTGATAAATCTAATTAAACTTTACATCTGACTTCAGTGACAAGATGAAGTTGAAAGACATGGATTTGTAATTATATAATTCTGTTTTCAATCTATATCATTTTCCTTAAATATACTTTATTATTTCCTTTTCCTACTTTATTGTTTTTTGAAAGAAGTCAATCTTAAAAATGCAAGTACTTTTGCTTACTCAGTTTATATTATTTATTATTGCAGGATGTAAAGGGAGTACTACCTAAACATGAATAGATTGTTTAAAATAAGCCTAAATTGCTTTTCAGTTTAGTAAGACTCATTTTTAAGATATTGTATTTGTCATATACTAGAATTATTCCAATACACCTAGTGTATCTATCCTACACATCTTGAGCTTTTCTATGATTTATACCATTACTTTTGGGTAAACCATAAAAAAGCTTTTTAAATGTACTCTGGCTCTAACAAATAGCAGTCCTAAGTTTAATCTTCTGAAAATCTATAACAATGTATGAAATGCATGGATAATGAAACCAAAAGATAAAAAATTATGTAAACCCTGCTTTTTCTAACTTTTGTAACTTTAGTCTAAATTTGAAATTCTTAATGTTTATTACAGCTACCAAAAAGAAATCAATGCAACCAAGGCCCTGCTGCCGTATGACCAGATGACCATGGAAGACTTCTATGATGCCCATCCTGACCTGGCCCTTGATCCCATCAAGAAGCCAACCTTCTGGCCACACACTCCGGAAGAGCAGCTCGACTATGTCGACCCAGAGAAACAAACTCAGCCTACTACAGCTGCAGCTGCACACTAATATTGGAAAAGTGTTGCTGGCTATATATTAGTGATAGCCATCAGACATGTTATATCATTTGAAAACTTATTTATGTAGGCAATAAAAGATAATGCTACATCTGTCAATTTAATTTTTCCATTTTATATCAGACCAGTGTATTCCTGCTCTAAAATTACTGTCCATAAAATTACCTGTTAATTTTTTTTCTTTAGATGAGTAAAGAACCTCATGACCTAACATCATTTTGGCCACATGCTCATTTACTGGGTCTACTGCCTTTTATGAACTTTTCCACCATATTACCAGAGCCTACAAGATATCAAGATATCAACTGTACAATGTGTACCTACTCTTAGTGCAACTGCTCTACTCTATCCTCTTAGTGAAACGATCAATCTAATGGAATTATGGAATGTTATTTTCGATCATAAAAGCCATTCATAACACATTTTAGGTGTTTTAGAGAAAATATTGCATTCAGGATATCAACTCAGATGCCTGTTGTCATCCCATTGTATCTATGCCATTTGGACAGTTGCTTTTAAAATGATGTTCAAAAATAATTCAGTGTGGAGGCAAAAACTGAAATGTGGTTGGGTTAAAACTATTTGAAGACACTAAAATAAAAATTATACATTACTATAGTAGTTTATTTATTGAATTGCACATTTTCACAAATTACATAATGACACAGGAGGAATGTTACAATATTGATTGAAGAAAATCTGAATAAAACTACACTTGACATGTGAAACAGAAAAACATTTTTCTTCAATCATTTCAGGGGATTCCTGAAACTGATTTCAAATGTATCTTGGTAAATAATAGCAAACATTGTGACAATGTTTAAAAATTTTATTTTTCTAGGAATAGCTACATAAAACATTTTATTTGGAAAGTTCCAAAAGTGATTTTCCTCTATAACAAAGTGGCAAAACATTATTTTCTAGAAGAAAAAAAATTCAAGACGAATCTAAACCATAGTAACTATGTGGATAGGTGTTGATAATTTATATATGTATACATATTATTCACACAATTAATGCTGTACAATTAGATGTAGTGACTGCAATCCAAATTATAATGTACTTAACTTATAGTTTGAATTTTTAAAACCTTAACTAGGCTAACTAGATATTCATCAAATTTATAAAACGTATTTTTTATACCGCAGCCAAAGCAAAAACAATATTTTGAAATTATAATCTAAGCTGGCGTGTACCAGATCAGATTATATAAAAATATAAAAAAATTGAATTACTCTAATTGTTAATCAGTGCCTACTTCTCCAAAGTTTCCCACATATACTGGTCGCTACATCAAATGCAAAAAGTGCAAGATAGATGTTGATTATGTAGACATACTATGTGTTAATTAGATATTAAATTTAATGTATTGTTTTTACATTATTTAATAGTTAAATGTTCCATTAATCAAAGAAATTAATAAGTAAGGACATCTTGAAGATTCAATGTTGTGTGAATAATCTGTATTATCTGTCCACATCCTTCCTATATATCAGTTCGACCTGTATAACTACGCGGCGTACTGGCTAGTGAGCGGGCGGCGGTTGTGAGTACATGTTGTAGTAGGTCTGTGGCGCGTCGTGTCCCCCCCTCCCCCGGCCCCTGCCGCGGTATCCACCCTCTCTATTACCGAAACTCTGCCTGTTGTAGTCGTTGTAGGAGTTTTGGTTGTCATTACTGTTGTCCCAGCGTGAACCTGTTCCATCAGATTTTTTTATTAGAACCAAATTTGAGCATGGATAGCTAAATTTCAATAAATTCATTTCAGTTTTGACATTTGCACTAATTAGTACAAATAAGTACAAAAGTACAAATTTTCCATTAAAGCAGGGTTTGAAGTAAGATACCCCAAATATCATCACTGGCGGTAGGACCTTCTTGGGAGTCCGCACGGGTAGGTACCACCACCCCGCCTACTTCCGCCGTGAAGCAGTAATGCGTTTCGGTTCGAAGGGTGGGGTAGCCGTTGTAACTATACTGAGACCTTAGAACTTATATCTCAAGGTGGGTGGCGCATTTACGTTGTAGATATCTATGGGCTCCAGTAACCATTTAACATCAGGTGGGCTGTGAGCTTGTCCATACATCTAAGCAATAAAAAAAATACTATGGCCCCACAGTTAAAGCTACTGGCTGGACCATCATCAATGTTATGGGCACCACAAACACCCAAGAACTTTTATGATTGGGAGATGAGCTCACGGCTCATCTGATGTTAAGTGTTTACCAGACCACGCCTTACAACTTGCATGCCACCTCGAAACATGATCTTCGGTCTCAATTGTATAAGTGTAACTAGTTTCCCACTACATGACCGTACTGCATCGTACCTACCGGCGCAGTCTTTCGGTCCTACCACAAATAGAAAAGTATATTATTTATAAATAAGATTATATCTTTTAATTAATATGTTAATGACCTCTGTCCCCGTAGCCACCACGGCCCCCACCCCGACCCCCGCGTCCCCCGCGTGAGCCTCCATCGCGTCCCCTGCCGCCGTCATCTCGGTATCTTGAACGACCTGCACCAAAACCATATCTCATTAACTATAATGAATTATTTAATCTAATAAACCAATAACAACAAAACAAAAATTATGGCATATTAAAAAACAATTTTATTTAAAACTAGTCTTAAATGGTTAACAAAGTTATTCAATTACAGTTTTGTGTTCATTTTACAGTGCAATATATGGAAACTTATTTTGGGATGACAATGACATCATGCAAGCCTCAGTTCAAGTTATATATTTTCTGATAGTCTCTTATTGTGTATGGCTTTGAATTTTTTTCATATAAATGCATGAGTCTTAATCTTACCGAATTTTCCTTTGAATCCCATGCCACATTGCGCCAACTCTAGTAGTTTCGGATTCACAACTTGATTGGCTTCCTGAAGTACTGACATCAAATCTCTAGCCTGTCAATAATATTTCATTACCCTTCATGAGTTTGTGAGTTGTACTATTGAGAACATACATATGCGGTGATGGAAGATGTTCATGGTAAATGATGAATAAATTATATTCAATAGTTAAGCAAAAGACTGGAGAATGGCAATAAGCACAATATTAACTTCTTCAAAGACTCTGCACATAAATGTGTACATTTGTTTTTTTTATATTTTTGTATTTAATTTTAAATTAAATGGCCACATATGTGGACATATGTTTTTTCAATGACTATCAAGTATTTTTGTATTTTTTTTTACTTATTGAATTATTTTTAATATAAAATGACCAAAGTAATGATAAATAAAAAAAAATCATACTTTTTGTACTTAAAAAAAATCATCCTTGAAGTGGTTAAATAACAAATTGCTATAATATTACAAATCACAGTAATATTTTAATAAAGAATTATAAATAAGTAGTAATTAGTATTATGGAATATCAACCTTTGCTGAATTATTAGGAGTGAAGAGTGTGTAGGCCGTGCCGGTGTTTTGGGACCGTCCCGTCCTGCCGATACGATGCACGTAATCCTCAGAATTATTTGGATAATCATAGTTTATCACAAACTTCACATCTTCCACATCTGGACGTCGGAGAGAAAATACTTTATTATGACAATTGTAATTTTTTACTAGCTCCTTGTTAAAACACACACATAGTACAAGAAAAAGAAATTACTATTCAACAAAAACAAACGCAAGTTTGAGGAAAACGTTCGGTCAATGAATATAAGGAAATATAAAAAAAATAGAATATCATGATTTTATTTGAACAAGAGTTTATATGAAATTTTATTTACTATCTAAATTATGGATGAAACCTCCAAACTGATTTGAGCTGAAAATAATCACTTTAATATAATTAATTTCACTGAACGTCTAATCCTAATCCTCAATTCAATGAACCAAACACTCACCTCAAACCATGAGAGCCAAAGTAATATTTACCTGTGGCAGCTCAGAGTCGGCGTTGACCTGCTGGAATTAACTGTATTATGCCCGTCAGTGGTCCCGGAGTGTTGTAGGCCAAGAGTCGGTGTGCTGACTTTACATTACCCTCACACTCAATGTTCCATGAGGTGATAACAAGTGTCACGCTGTCAGGTTGCGTAGGGTAGGCCCTTTATTTCGTTACGAAAATCTCTCATGACAATTAACCAAGCATATATTGCTCATTTTGCTTTCATTTATTCACATTCACACTTTTGTGTTCAAAACTACCCCCGAAACTGAGACCCTTATTGTGAAATAGAGGCAGCATGCTCATTCGTACAGTGTGCGCTGTCGTCACAACGATTACATCGTGAATATAGAATGTATATTATTTGAATGGTGAAGTCAGCAACACACACCTAGTCTAGCCTTTATGCCTGCACGCATGCGCCTCTGAAATAGAAAAAAAAACAATAATGCCGAGTCAGTCATGGAAATTTGTTCATTATCATCGGGCAAAGATTTCATTTGTAACACATATTTACTTTATTTTCATTGTATAAAATAGCTTAAAAAATTATTTGGGTATTTTTAATTTCTTTTGTTAGCAAAGATTATAAAGACAGTTTGTTTCTCCGTGAACTCAATACTGACAATAATTCAGTAAACACATGCTACAAGTTATAGTATATCGTAGCCCGAGAATAGTTTTAGCCGTGGTATAGCTTTGATCCATTGCTCTCTTGTCCACATTCCAATATTCACTCCACCCACAAAGATTTTGTCAAAGCCGGCTCGTGCTGCCCTTGTGAATACTGGAAGGGTCTGTGTCGCCAACGACACCAGCAATGCATCAGCCACATCCTCTACGCCCCTGACATCTCTTAGACCTAACACCCCGGTGAACAGTTCGAGGTTGTTTAACTGAGATATAGTGCGATACCTATTGTCCGTAGTTTATAATTACTTTCACTTACAATAACATTAGAATTCTACATTAATATAACATTTAAATTGGTTTTCTTGAAAATTTGTATTTTTCTTGTTTCTATCTATGGACTGTAACGTATTATTTTAAAACGTATTATTTAAAAAAAAATTTTTACTAGAGGAAAAAAAATTGAAAAGGACTAGTTACGAACTATAGATCTCGCGACCTACGATAAAACACCTCAAAACTGTTTCCAGAACAAAAATCTTCTGTTTGATGCCTAATTTTGTTTTACAAGGCAGATGCAATAATTACAAAGAGCACAATAATCAATATAATTCAGTCAAATTTTAAGACAGAAAAATATAAAGCCTTCCCTTGTACTAAGCCTGTATAATAAAAGAACTTGAATCCTAATGGATCAAGCAAAAAGTTAAAGTTGTCTTTTGACCTACTTTTGTCAATTCTTACATCTACGGTGTAATTATTGATTCCTTATCAATGGCCGGAACATTCACGGCATCAATTTCATTTGTATTTGAGGCTCAAACATCAGATAAACAACTTCTGGGCAATTTACAGTACACAGTTATACAAACAGCACATTTTATTTGTGATCCCTTCATGATATTGAAATTCATATTTCAGTGTTAGACACAACAACTTATTTTTAGACCATACGGATTTCTTTACAAATTTATTTCTCGTAAGGGTTTATAGTTTATCACAGTGTGTGGAGTTATTCAAGATAGGAGCACAGTTGTGCCGTTGAGCATCAAATAAATTTTATTTCACTAAATGAACGGAATTTTTAAAGAGCAGTCCGTTTGCAATATAGGTCAGCTCTCGCAATTTAATTAAATTTGATTTATTTGGGACATAAAGTAATATGATAGTGTAATTTCATGAGGGACAAAGTTCTTCGGCTCACGTGGCAGAGCGGTTAGTGGCAGTGTGTGACATACCGAGTCCCCTGGCGGCGACGTCGGTGGCGACCAGTATGGCGGCGGCGTGGTGGCGGAACTGGTTCAGCACGTAGTCGCGGTCCTGCTGGTTCTTGTCCCCGTGGATGGCGAGGGCGCGCCAGCCGGCACGGTTTATCGCCTTACATATGTCGTCAACCTACAGATAATGTTGTGGGGTCATAGCCCTTGTAATGTTACCACATAACTCTTGTGTGCAACAAGTATTGGCATTACATACGTATTATTGTTACAAACGGTTATGTTTACTGGGATTTAGGAAGAGTTACTTCCACAGTGAAGAAATAACATCGTGTAATAAGAATCAAATCTGCCAAATTATAATTTGGGTAATTAGTGGTGATAGAACGCCTTGTGAGTACGCACGGGTATTCCCGCCTATTTCTGCCTGATGTCTTTCTGAGGTCATAAGCAACAGCTGGCCTGCCCTCCAAACCGATACGCATTACTGTTTCACGGCAGAAATAGGAGGGTGGTGGTACCTAGCCATGCAAGCTCACAAGACGTCCTTCCACCAGTAAGGCGGAACTAATTGTTCTGAAAAAACTTCTAAATGCACTGACCCTCCTTTTGGTTTCAGCAAATATAATAGTTTTGGTTTCCTCCTCTGAAGATATCTCAGTAAGCAATGTAATCAATTTATCATTCTTCTCCCATTCCTCACAAACATCAACAATCTGGAGGATGTTGTGGTTGGCCGAGAGCTCGAGAGAACCAATGTTGATCTGGATGTAGTCATGCAGGAACTCTTCAGCTAGATTCTGTACTTCTCGGGGCCACGTAGCTGACCACATCAATACCTACAAATGATATCAACATCAACATTATTCATATTGCTCTTCTTGAGACAATAGATTGAAGTCTCCATTACAAATTAACAAAAAGGTCTTAGACATAATATACTTACGACAGAAATAGACAGAATAAGAAGGCAGGCTTTTTATAGCCCAACCATTGTGCTAAGTAAAACAAATAAAAGCACCAGAAACTGTAATATATCCAATTGATTCTTTGCTACGAGAAATCAATTGAATAAAATAATAAAGTTGAAAGCAATATGCATAGACAAAAAAAACACTAATAATGGTGGTTGGCAAAGGAAAAAACCAAGTGACAGTGGAGCTAAGCAAAGGCACCAAAGCTAAATCTAGGAAATTGTTACATGCACATCAACAACTAAGCAAAGTCAGTTTGAAGTGAGTGAGCTAGTGCTTAGCTTAGCCCAGTTACCAAGAGTTGGTACACACAACTGACATTGTTCCACATTTCCAGCTAGTTCACATTGTCTAGTTTACATGAATAATAATCAGCATATGACTGTGTCTCTAATGCCCATGAGTGAATACCGTAAAGTGAACCATACCCTCATCAGACTATGCAGACAATAAACGAAATAGCTTGTAGTCTATACACAAATTTGTAAATTTACCCTAGCCATATAGCTAAGCTAAACTAACTTAGCTTGCCTCTAAACTGCAACTCACTTAAATATGCAATATTATAGTTCAAATTACTCACTTGTCTATCAGGTCTAATCTGTTCAATAATCTTCCTGATCTGAGGCTCGAAGCCCATGTCCAACATTCTATCAGCCTCATCCAGCACCAAATAAGTGCATCGGCGCAAGTTCGTTGTCTCTGAAAAATCAACAAATCGTGTAGAGGAATTATCTAAAATTATAAAATATCTGCTCATAAATGAGAAACTGATCAAACAGTAAATATAGTTGTCAGAAAAAATAAATAAGTCCCAATACACATCATCCCACTTTTTATCATCTTTGAGATACAATTTTCTGCACCACTGCACTAATTGCAATTATGGTTTCACAAGGAGTTTTCTACAAGCTTTTGATTATAAAAAATATATTGTTTGTATCGGTTAAACCTCTTAAACTAAACTAAAACTACTTTCACTTATCTATTGTGTTTTGGTAATAAGGGATTCTCATGGTAAGCAAAACCTGAATCAAAATTAAGGATTAGTGCTAAATAAAGAATTCTTCAACAGTCAAAAGCAAAACCCACAGGTGGAACCCATTTAGTTTCTCTCTGAAATTTGCAGTGTGTCAAAATTCTGATCTTGTTGTAGATTCAATGAAGCACTGATCTTACTAGGGCAGATGTTCGAAAAGTCTCTTAGGCTGAGACCTGTGAGCCTGGTGAAACCAGAATAGCCTATCGAAGCTATTACTAATTAGACCAGTGTAAATTTTTAATCTTACTCAGTTACTGCAATTTAACACAGACAATGTTCTGATGACCAGACCTCATGGAACTGGAAAGGCCTCCCAGGTCACTCCCACACACAGAATAATCTATTGCATCATTATGGAAAGCTTCTTTTAAAAAAAAAACTATTAATTTATATATTTTTACAATATTATGTTGAAAAATTCTTACCCTTCTCCAAAAAATCAATGAGTCTACCAGGAGTAGCAATAACAATTTCCACTCCCCTCTCAAGACATCTGCCCTGTGGTCCCTTTGGAGCACCACCAAAGATACAAGTGTTCCGCACGTGGATACTTTGACCAAATTCATTGGCAACCTGAAAATGGCAGATTCAGATAAAAATATGCTTTTTAAAGGTAAAAGAAGCAACAACCATTCATATAATAATTTTAGCAAATCAATATAATGGTATAATTATTAAATTCTAATTCCAATTTCTGCCATGTTATGAATTTTAGTTTTAGAGGTGGGATAGAAATTATTCTAATATAATTCAGTGCAATGGGAGTCCAACTTTTTTCTTATTAAATTAGTACCACTGTTATATTTAAGTAAAATTATTTTTAATGTCAGTAGCTTTTCATGTTTTTCTTGTAATTTTTATTATTATTAGTGCCAGATATCCTAACAGGTAGAGCTGCTTCTTTGTTAAAAAATCAATTGTCCCCAGGCCTAAACATTTTTAGGCAGATTAATATAGTTTTATAAAACCACTAATATACTTAAATTTTTTGGAATTAGTATTTAGATTTCATAATCAACACAAGGTCACTAAATAGATATTGATATACATTAAGTCAGATTAAATTTACATGATTAAGCTATAAATCTAGTCAACAGTTTGTAACATGTCTATTTATTTTACACACACAAAACATTTTGTTAATGAATATGAACAACAATTTTGAATTTTTTTAAACTAATTTGTACAAAATGTAATTGCTTTAATAGATTACACTAGGTATTCAAAACCTAGATTAATAAATGCCTATGTGTCATATATACTGGCTGAAAAATGTAGACTAAATGAACTGAATACATATTTATTAAATGAAAGGCATAAAGCTAAAAACAACAAAAAAGCAAAAAGGCTAGTGTTAAAATAAAAAATAACAGTGCTGATCTAAACATAGGTTACGTTCAGAAACCATGCCTATCAATACTGTGTTTCTTAATGTTATATTTCTCAGATACTGAATCAAATGGTTAAAATTAGTTTCAATCAGGTTTTCGAACATAGCCTGCCTGTGGCTGAATACACTACATTTCATAATAATTAAACAGATTTACAATTTCCATGGGGGCTGGATCGTCCATCAACTCAGGGGCGATCGCTTTCATCCCAATCAAGGTCTGTCACCACCAAAGGAAAATACATTTCATTATAGCTTTAGAATCTAAGGTATGTCAATAATAGGCAGGCCAATGTCTTTGAGCAAATATTCAATAATTTACTAACAGAAGTTATTTAGTAGGTTTTTTTTGTAGGTAATTATTAGTAAATTATTGTTAACATGTATATAAATTATTATGTACCTTTCATTACAATTATTAATAATAATAATAATAATAAAATATAAGCATTGTCTAAACACTGGTATAGTAGGTAGAGTAGTATAAGCATATTTTTAAGATCATTAAATCTGCCAATTTGTTCCTAAGCTTCATTTCAAATTAAGACCTCATATTTTAGAAATAAACAAACCTGCTGTATTTGTTGGGCTAACTCTCTTGTTGGAGCCAACACAAGGACTATTGGACCATCATCTCTTAGCAGACGCGGTTGATTAATTATGTGTACTATGGCTGGTAAAATGTATGCCAAGGTTTTGCCTGACCCAGTTTGGGCTATGCCCACCATGTCACGGCCAGAGAGAGCTATTGGCCAGCCCTGTGCTTGAATAGGAGTGGGGTTCGGGAAACCTTGTTTTAAAATCTCTTTCATAGCATAGTCAGGGAAACCACCCTCTTCAAAAAATATGCTAGGGGCAGGCACGTCTCGACCTTTCACAGTTATCTGATGTTGGCTACGATAGGCCTCAATTTCGCTTTGAGTTCGACGTTGAACATTCGGATGAGGGACATAGAAATTTTTCTGGAATGGTGTGAGCGTTACGGTGTCCCAGTGAATTTTTCGAAGGTTACCGCCAGGCTGATCATTTTTGAAATTGGAGCGATCATCCCGATTCCCCATTCTCCCAAAACCCCTGCCGCTGTCTCGTCCTCCACGGCCGCCATCCCTACCGCCGCGTCCACCATCCCGACCACGACCTCCGCTAAATCGACTAGGTCCGCGCTCTTGTGACCTGTCGCTACCCCGACCACCGCGGCTGGATCCTCGCCCTCCGCGACTCCCACCTCTTCCACCACGGCCACCACGTCTATCGTCATACCTATTAACGTAAATATTTAGTATATAACTGTATGTGGGTCGAGAAAAGAATTACATTTTTAAATAGTTTTGATTACTTACATGATGCTAGCTTATATGAAGTAGTTTAACTACCACTCTCAATTTACTATTTAGAGTAGGTACTTTGGTTGCAATTATATTACGTTTAAATTAAGCAATTATTGATAAACACAGTCGCAGACATATTAGCACAACTGATGCCAAAGCCAAACGAGCGCCATGTTAGTTCTCGGTTTTTTTTGACAAGTGACAACTCACTTTTAAGGAATTTTAAATAAATTGTAACTGGTTTATTACTAGATTAGCAAATTACTATTTTAAACAATAAGTGTTTTAAAAATAAATTTGCTACATCAATCAATGCTCAAAATTAGGAGTTATTATGCTGCTCGGCAATGTAAATACTTAGTAAATCACTCATTTGAATGGCTTCCGTCATGCGTTGTTCAATTTGTCGTTTTGAAGCCCGCGCAATTCAAATTTAAATAGGCTTAAGTTAACAAACAATACTTATTAATATTTATAATTATTGTTCATAACATAAATAAAATAGCAACGCTGTAATTTTACTAGGAAATAAAAATGAGCTATTAGATTATAGAACTAAACGCATCTGAAGTTTTTTTAGGTCGTAGTAATTTCCATTTTTTGCCATCAACAAAATATTGATCACACACCCGTCCGTGAGTGAACCTGAATCATTCCGAATTAAATAACAGAAATGGACGCATCAGTTCCAGTTTTTGAGAAAACTCATCCTCGTTTAACAGTTTTAGATTGGACTAGGAATATTCAAAAGTTACAAAATGAGGCAAGACACCGGAGGTTCGAGTCGTACGAATTACGACAAAGAGCTAATCAATTGCGCAATGAAACATGTATTACTACGAGATGGGATACTTACGTTAATGATGAACTATTAAGGGACAGGTAAGTAATGGTAGTAATGGTAGTAGTTAAAGTGGTTTAAGTTTTAGACGTGGCTAGTAAAGCTAAGAGTCAATTTTTATTCGTTAATTTGAAGTGAGAACAAAATACTGATGTTATGACCTCTAGTGAATCCGCACGGATAGGTACCACCACCCTACCTATTTCTGCCGTGAAGCAGTAATGCATTTCGGTTTGAAGGGTGGGGCAGCCGTTGTAACCATAGTGATACGTTACTCACGCTAATAAATAAAAAATATTATTTCCTTATTCGATCCTGAAAAACATTATAATGCAGTAAAACGACAATATTAATTTAGTACGAATACGAACCTCATTAAAAAATTAATGTGGGACCTTGTCTTCCCAGCACTAGTAAATTTCAACTGAGACTATTTAGGTGGTTATCTAGGTGGTTTATGTATAGACGTAAATATGTATTTACAAATTTTTCTTCCGCATTATATAATGGATTTTATCATCAACGAATTTATTTTTCTTGGTAAATTCATCGTTTTAAATATATTGCGACGAAAAACCTTGTTAGTTCATATCTCAAGGTGAGTGGCGGCATTTTGCGTGGTAGATGTCTATGGGCTTTGGTAACCACTTAACACTAGGTGGGCTGTGAGCTCATCTACCAAAGCACCACCATCCACTATACAAAAATAATAATAAAAACAATTTTTGTAGCTAAAGAAGGGTTAATTATACGACCATACCCTTAAAAGGTTTTTTTTTTGTTTCCTGTATATTCTTTACAACTTACTGTATTACTTCAGTAAGATATATTATTTTATCTTACCTAATAATTAACTTTTTAAGAATCTTCGAGGTGCAATCATGGCGTGAAAAGCAAAGATTCACACGGGATTGCGTGCGAGATGAGATCAGAGCTTTAAAGGAGGAGAAGCATGCAACAGAGTTACACTTAGAATCACTCCAGGTGCCGCTCATGATAGTTTCACAGTGCCTGTCTAACAGGGACCAGAGAGTTCCCCCTGAGCTCACTAGAGACCAGCTAGAAGAAGAATTGAAGAAGGTAAATTAAAACTTATTTAGGAACAGAACAGCATCACCCATCTCTTCTCGGAAGTATCGTAAAAGATGACTAAGAAATTCACCGGAGAATGAGCGGAAGCCTTCTCTGAATTATTATACTAGCAGTAAGATCGCCAATTGGCAATTAATGGTGATACGGCGTATTATAAGCCCGCACTGCCAATGCCATTATATCTTTAAATATTGCCTATATCTGCCAAGAAACATGCGTTCCAGTTTGAAGGGTAGGACAACTGATAAACAATTGAGACTTCAATTTCATGTCACAAATGGCGCGTGCACGTATGTGGCTATTGGCTCCGGTAACCGTTTAACTACAAGGCGAACTGTGAGCTCGTTTACCTGTCTTCGCAATAAGTAGCCTTTGACAGATGAGTGAAAAGTAGTTCATATAACTGTATCGTAAAAACCACGGTTCACCTACTTCCAGGAATCGGATTGGTGACTCGTAGAAGATTGAATTAAACACCAGATATATACACAGCTGTGCTTAGTGCGAGTTTTTTTACGCTCTCGACAACGTAAAAGTTAATTTAAATTTGTATGCAGTTGGGATAGCGCCCCTAGCGGCAAACGTAGGCAAACGTTCCAACTCTCAAATTATAGCTAACTTTTACGCTATCGAGAACGTTAAGAAACGCGCACTAAGCACAAGGATATATATGCACAAGATAAGTTTATACTTATTTATAATTTTAGGAGCTTCACATAATTGAGAATAGCAAACGAGTCCTGAAAGACGTATGCAACATGGGCTGGGAGAAGATTAAAGATCTAACCAACGTGCTCTGTAGACTGGAGAGGGAGATCCGAAACAAGGACGAGACGCTAGATTTGGAGTATCACGTCAAAGACTTGACTAGAGACAGCTCCGATATTTCATTTAAGCTTCATCCTACCAGGATACCTCCTCAGTAAGGAAGAATTTTAAGCCATGGATATTTATACCTAGGTCTTTAGGTGGATCAACTACCAGCTATAGGCCGCAGGAATCCGCTGGATGCGAGCTACGCAGGACTCGTTAATGTGGTGTACCTTGAGCAAGGTCTATGTCTAGCAGAGGATGTCTGCGGGCTGATGATGATGATGATGCGTTTCTAAATGTTAAAAATTAGTGGTTATACCGATGTTTTGCCTATTGCTGTAGACGAGCATAAGGTCTACCTGATAGTATTTGGCAACCTGTCGAAAGAGCCACTTCAGGAATAGTTCTGTTTCTGCTCATCTTTGATTTACCGGTCACCGTCCTCGTCGAACCCGTCGCTTGCGACGAAGGGCTCGACGAGCGAACTAACCCATAGACACAGTCCACTGAGTTTCTCGTCGGATCTTCTCAGTGGGTCGCGTTTCCGATCCGGTGGTAGATTCTGCGAAGCACTGCTCTTGCTAGGGTCAGTGTTAGCAACTCTCCGGTTTGAGCCCCGTGAGCTGACCTACAAACGTTAGGGCGAAGCTGAAATAGCCTCTCAAGGCTATCAGCATAGGTGGGGAAAAAAAATAGATTGATGTCCTGAGGACTGACGCTGGTGACCTCTGTGTGTGACTAGGATCATGGTCTTCTGCGCCACAAATTGAACCTGATTAATCCAGCGCACTGAGATTCCCATCCACCGACTGTAATTATTACCTTTAATGAATAACTGTTTTTAGTACAATAACAGAAATAAATTACGTCGAATGCATAGAAAATACAGTGAAGATAGCAGAAAGTCTTATGTCCGAGTCAAAGAACCTTCGGGAGACGATGTTTAGGAGCCGAGAACAGGCCCGAAACCAGATGTACGCGCAGTGCCAGACTGTGGAAATGGTGATGAGGAGACGGGTTTATGATATACAGAGGGGGAGGAATGAGATGGAGTGGCAGAAATACAAGGTGACCATATTGATAATAAAATTTGTAGTTACACATATTTCAGAATATTGAAGCATCGATCCTGTACGCGGGTGCTAATTTTTCTAATTATAATACTTAGCTTAGCATGCTCACGAACGACTTCTGCGATGAGCTAAAAATATCATATATTTTTTTTTTATTGCCCTTGTAGGCAGACGAGCATACGGCCCACCTGATGGTGAGTGGTTACCGTCGCCCATGGACATCAGCAATGCCAGGGGCAGAGCCAAGCCGCTGCCTACCGAAAGGCATAATAAAAAATAAACCTGCAAAAAATTACAATGTTACAAAATTATAATTACTTTAAGCAATTGAGACACAAATCAACACGTTTATTTATAGCTAGAAACGAACATGCAGAAAGTTGATCGAGAGATCGAGTCTCTTCGAGCAGCGGTCGCTGACAAAATAAACCCAACTAAACTGGTCGAAACTAGGCTGGAGACCAGGACTAGAAGACCTGTGCTTGAAAGAGTTGATGTGAGTTTCATACATGTTGTTTGTAGTGGCTTTTTCTTCTGACAGTCAGATTTGACAAATCAATCAAATTTTTCTCCTACCTACGCCGAAACTTCGGTTTTCCTCCCGCTGTACAGGGAAGAAAGTCTAACTTTTCCTCCCTGGGTACAAATGCGCATGCGCGTTAGTGTCTACGTCTGCTCTCAAGCACCTAAAATTCTCCGCCATTGTTGTGCTCGGGTAATTTGCAATATTGTGTTTAGTGTAAAAGTGAAATAAACTAAATGCAATAAAATTTAATACTGAAGTATTAAACAAAAATGAGTTCATCAGACAGTTCTTATTCAATTAGTAGTAGTTTATTTAGATATTAAAAAACAGTTAAATTGTTTTTTTATGACTACAGGTGGGCTCCGCCCCCCCTACCCCCTGCCAGGGCTTCGCCCCTGGACCCCGACTCGGTACTCCACGAACTTTCGGCCTGGTAGGAGAAAAAATAGTACCTATGTGCACAGCGGGAAAAAAGTAGGACATCTCATACCTCGTGTAAAATTGCCACCTGAGCCGAAGGCGATTGTACGATGTACTATTTTTAATGTCAAATTTTTGCGCGGGAAATTGCATGCTTGTCAAATTATAACCATAGCAAATACACTTAAACTGTATGAATTTTTAAGGATAAACCTATGCGAGGACTAATAGAAGAATTCGAAAGAGTGCACCTGAGTCATAGCAAACTTGAGAAGAAACTCGAAGACGCATTGTAAGTACAGTTCTAGTTACCAGTCAATTATTACATTGACGATATAAGATAGATACAACAATTATGTGTACTGACTGACAACAGTCGGTCCAAAACTAAAAAGTTCCTTCATACTTGTCAGAACAACGTACCACGGCATGTACAATCACCATGAACGCCTCACCCGGGACCTGCAGCACAAGAACCAGGCTCTGGAGACGGACCGACGGCTCATAGAGATCCGGAAACCCTTGCATGCACCCGACGACACACAGTTCAAGAGGAACGTTGGCTATTGTCATATGAAGGACGAACTAGTTCCCGAGTAAAGAATCGACGTGTTCAATCCAGTAATTAAGTGATTGTTTTCATAATGCGTATTGGAATACTATTAACGATTGTGTAATTTAAGTGTGTATAGCTCAAGGTCACGCCTACCTACCGGGAAGCTTTGACTGCGTATTGTAATGAGATTTTCTAATGCACTTAAAATAAGCTAGATGCTTTTAACACAAATTAGACTCGCCATCATGCTATGCAGCCAGTAAGTACATAGCTACTGCAGGTACAGTTTTTTTTCTCCTTATTTACCATTTGCCTTGAGGAGCTATTCTGGCTTCATCAGACTGGGGAGGCGAGGTCACGGGGCTTAGCATGAGATTTTTTGTAACATCTAGCCCTAGTAAAAGCAATGATGTGACCCACTGAGAAGATCTCGCGAGCAACTGAGTGGGTTGTGTCTGCGGGCGCACTGTAGCGATGCAGGGAGCATAAGGCCACAATCACACTACATAGTTAGCTGAAGGCTGTTTGCAGATTTTCCCTTTACTCTAACTTATGATCACATCATATAATCAGTTGATTTGTCACAATTTTGTTTCCCATATTCAAATACACAAAAATATCACAAGTTAAATTAAGCTTAAAACATTGAATAATTATAATTGCAAGAAATATTTAATTAAATTAGAAAAAAACATTGTTTAACTTTTTGTTCATTGGTATTAAGTATTATGTCCTAAATGTTTCAATAAAACGTCCTACTAAACAATATTATTGTTTATTAAGGCATCGGTGTTACAATATATTTTACTTATATATATTATGATAATACAACAAAATGCAAATGTTATTATTCTAAGCTATATAATTATTATTTTAATTATTTAAAACTTAAGTAGGAATGTGATTCTAGAAGAAAGAAAAGTGTTTTAGCCATAAGAAGATATTATGTCAGCTTTTACTTCTGAACGGTCTTATAATTACTATCAATTACATAGCATGTCAATTTTTAAAATACAACTTAAGTTATCTAAAACATATTTTAAAAAATAACAAATAACACAAACATTACATATCAGAGTTGTATTAATAAATTTTTTGGGACCAGTAATTATTATTTTACTTTGACGATTTTATTATACATTTCTAAGTAAACAAATAAAAAAAATTACATAAATTTTTTATACGTTTGAATAGTAACCGTTCAATAATAATAATAATAAAATTGGCAGTGCTTTCATAATTTCCAAAACAAGGTAGAAAATTATCTAGTAATAATCACATAAAAAATAATATAAACTTAAATAAATAATAAAATTACAATTAAGTATCTATTATTTGGGCATTATTGAACAGGTTGCAAATCAGGTTTGGGTCCGACCTCTATGTAAGCCGTTTCCAAAAGCGTGCATATTAAGTTCAAATTTTCATTGTCGATTTTCCTGCTCGCTACCAACCTTATGGAAGGTTCGGGACAGTTATGTTCGACGTCTCTCAGATAAGCGGACACCGCAAAGGCCACGCCTTTCTCGAAGCAATAAGCAGCAATGTTCCTTAAGTACGAATGTTTGAGACGATCAGTCAGGTCATCCTTGAGGTAAACATGTTTGATCGGAGATATCTCATCACCGCTATATCTGTAGTGGTCTAACTTAGCAAGAGCCCTGAAAATATCAACAAATAGTTTGTCATTATGAAAAAAATTGTGTTTCGTGATATGTTCTTTTTATGGCACACTTAGAACTATCAAATAGTTAACACATTAAGTTCTAAAGAGGGCATTTCATGAAAGTCACTTACATATAAGCATCAGATCGAAATCACAGCTATGCACTATCACTGACAATTGATTTTTATTTTACAATGTTATTTTTAGTAAATTTATTTCCTGCCTATGCTGATAGCCTTGAGAGGCTATTTCAGTTTCACCCTAACGTTTGTAGGTGAGCTCACGGGGCTCAAACCGGAGCGTTGCTAACACCGACCCTAGCAAGAGCAGTGCTTCGCAGAAACTACCACCGGATCGGAAACGCGACCCACTGAGAAGATCCGGCGAGAAACTCAGCGAGCTGTGTCTGGGTTAATTCGCTCGTCGAGCCCTTCGTCGCAAGCGACGAGTTCGACGAGGACGGTGACCGGTGCTTGTGGTGCCTAAAAGCACCGTTAATGGATCAGGAAGATATTTTTAGTAAGCACTTGTGACCTTCTTTATTTGTAGATTTTAATGTAAACAGTGATACCTACCTACTTGTCAACTTGATACAAGTATACTGGACAAGTATATCTTTATCTTTTAGGCTGTGACAACTTCCAAGATTAGGTAAAAAATTTTGAGGGTTATAATGTTTACTTGAATAAGGTAAGTAAGTAAGGAGTTCTTAACTGCGGTCTGATAATAAAAAAGTAAACAGACATCTTACTTATTCATCATCTTAGATCGGTCATTGAGCTCTTCTATGATTGAAGGTTTTTCCTCCAGAATGTCTAAAGCTGAAATGGCAGCTTGAGTCAACATGGGCGGTAAAGATGCACTGAAGCAGTACCCTGAAATGGAGTAGTTAACAATGAAATGCAAAACTTGTATAATAAATTCAACCTTTGGTCTACGTTGAAACATAACGAATACTAATATAAATTTTAGTTAAGCAACTACACTAAGCATTTGTGCAGAGTTTATCATAGTTGGGTTGAAACTTTTGTTTTTCAAAATAAATTAACATACAATATGAGAAAGTAATTCCAACATCAGTACATAGTATAGAACAAAGTCGCTTTCTCTGTCCCTATATCCCTATGTATGCTTAAATCTTTAAAACTACACAACGGATTTTGATGCGGTTTTTTGTAATAGACAGAGTGATTGAAGAGAAAGGTTTATATGTATAATAACATCCATTAAATAGTGGAGAAATCAATAATAAATTACAGTTTCCGAAGCGAAGCAAAGGCGGGTCACTAGTTATTTATAAAGGATAGAAATATATTTACAGAACACCAGCAATACTCTGCCTCCATATGTCTAGTTTCCTGAACCCTTTTAATCCGAACTCATATGTAAAATAAGTAACAAATTTACCCAGTCCCGATAATCTCTGATGTTCGACGATGAAATGTGTACCGGCACAGAAGCCGCCAATTGTAGCAAACGAGTGCTCCAGTGAACCAACAATGAGATCTATTTCATCCCGAGGAATGTTCAGGTATTCTGTAATACCGCGACCATGTTTGCCTAAAACCTGTCATAGTACAACAATTTCAGTAAAAACTGTTTACTTAAAATGAATACCATTAAATTGTGTAAAACTCTGAATAAGACAATTATTATAAGCATGACAAATCTAGAACAAAACCGTATCCCACTTGTCACTCTCACAAGACATGAGACATGATGTCTGTATACCTACTGCTGGTGGTAGGATAGAGTCCACATGGGTAGGTATCACTACTCAGCCTAATCCTGTCGTGAAGCAGTAATGCGTTTCGTTTTGAAGGGTGGTGCAGCCATTGTACTGTAAAAACTGAGACCTAAGAACTCATGTCTTAAGGTGGGTTGTGGCATTTACACCATTGCAGTGGCTGCAACGAGGGCACGGCGGAGCACACGCTCGCGTACTGCCCCGCTTTCGCGGAGCAGCGCCGCGTCTTCGTTGCAAAAATAGGACCGGACGCTTCCGACCGTCGTGGCTGCGATACTCGGCAGCGATGAGTCCTGGCAGGCGATGCTCGACTTCTGCGAGTCGACCATCTCGCAGAAGGAGGCGGCGGAACGGGAGAGGGAGAACTCTTCCTCCCTCTCGGCGCCGTGCCGCCGCCGTCGAGCCAGGGGTCGGAGGAGGGCGTTTGTCCAGCTCCGGCCTCTATGAGGAGGCAGTCTCCTCCCGGTGATGGTCACGGGGCGACCCAAGGGGGTTGAGACTGCGCCGCACGCTACCGTCACTCTAGCGCGCTGGCACCAGGAGGACCGGACGGCGCGTCGGCGACTGCGGACTGCGATGCGGTCCGCATTTTCGTCGTCGCTGTCGTCGCCGAACATACTGTGGAAGAGCAACCCGGTCGGCGGTGTATCGCGTTCCGACCCGGCAGGCTGGTTCTGGCCCAGCGGGGTATCCCGGAACACCAGCGGCATCGCCCGGGCGGCCTGGTAGGGCCGCCGTACCGCGGAGACTGACGTCGTTGGTTGTCGACTATCGCCTCGACGACTCGTCGGTCGGGCGTCCTCGGGGTGGCGCCGCGCGTCTGGTTGTAGTGTAGACCGCGGGAACCCCCCTACTCTGACCGGGTTTTGACCCCGGACGGAGATCGGACGCCGGGTGTAAGAGTGCAAGGGAGTCGTTTAGTGGGTGGGCCCTAAATTCCTTGGGCCCGCGGTCTGCTCTCAACACCTGCAGATCGTTGAGTCTCACATACCCCGCGCGCCCCCTAGGCGCGGGGACCTCGTAGGAGGTTCGGCCCTCGGCCCGAAAAAAAAAAAAAAAGAGTTGTGGCATTTACGTCATAAGTGTCTATGGGCTCCAGTAACCACTTAACACTAGGTGGGCCGTGAACTTGTCCACCCATCTGTGCAATAAAAAAAACCTATAAAGCAAAACTTAGATATGATGAGAGTCAACAGACTTCAATATTATTATAAAAGATTATTAGATATTATTTGATAATATTTATGATAAAAACAGAGACTAGCAAAAGTTGCATAACCATTCTTCTTCAATTTAATGTTATGTGAATATACTTAAGATACAATTTTAAGAAATGCTGCTTACACCAATTGAGAGACTCTCGTCCAGGATTATTCTCAATTTAAACTTTCTAGCTAATTCTACAGCTCTCACTAATGGGCACATTTTTCCAGTATTTAAGTAAATTGCCTCAACTATGAGGAATGCTCTTCTCCGTGAGTTTAACTCTTTCTTTTCAGAAGCTTCTAACAGCTGCCTCTCTAAGTCATTCATGTCATTATGTTTGAAGTAACAAATTTTGCTCCTAGATGCATCAAGACCTTTCTGTATTGCAAACCAAACACATTCATCCCTGTAAAGAGTTATGTTAAATATTATAAGTGACATATCCGTTTTAATTTCATCGTGACTTCAAGCAGAAGATGCCCTGGGTAATTCGAGCGGTGCAACTGCACTGGTGTTCAAATCTTGCAATATCCAAAGGCACACATTACATTATGTAATAAAAATTATGATTTGGACAATTACTGGTGGGGCATCTTGAATCTTGACTATTTCTGCCATAAAGCATTAATTCATTCTGGTATGAAGGGTGTGGTGGCCGTTGTACTATAGAACTGAGACTTACAACTCATGTAATGGTAAGTAAATGGGTAGGTATAATTTTATAAGGTATCATGTATGTGTTCTCTCATAGCTATCAGCAAAAAAGATACGATTAGTAAAATTATTTAAATCAACTTACACAAAAACAATATCTTTTCGTTTAGCATAGGACGGAATTGCACTAGCTATGGTCGAGAATCCGTATGAATATACACATGTTTCCTCTACCTCTAGGAACTTGGCAAGGCGTTCTTCTAACTCAAGATGCACATCTATAGTGCCATAAAAGCCTCTAGGTCCACACGAGCCTACACCATACTTTTCCATAGCCTTCAAAGCGCTGTCTATGATTGTTTCATTTTTATCCAAAGATAAGAAACTCGTTGAACCAAAATTTAAGACATTTTCATTTAATGTTCCCATTATTAGAGGTTCCTCGACTTCCACATCATACTCGACCAATGGTTTTGGGTTCCACTCAATTGGCTTCTCATTGCTGCGAAGAACATGGGACCTCGTTCGTTTTTTTGACCATAAGTAATAGGTTGTGATAAAAACTACTTGCAAGGCAATAACCAAGGTCCACCAGCCGGCCTGCAAATTATGTTAATAACAGATTATATTCTATTATTTTTAACAAACAATTATAATAAACAATTACACCAATACTAACCATGTCGTGACTATCTATATAAATCATTTTTTATTTAATTCCAGTAAGATTTATAAATTAAAATTAAGGTATCAATAAAATTTACTTTACGATTAATTACGAATTTACGATGGCATAGATTTTTTTAAAGGGATTTTATGACCTGGTAACTAAGACCTTTAAGTCATGTCTTATTTTAATTTTATTATTATTTTTAAGAAAAATGATAATATTGAGTGAAATAAAATGAAATGGAATGAAATGAAATGAAGATGATTAATTTGAGACATTAATCAACTGGGATGAAACTAAATGAAAAGAGATGATGTTGGATGAAAAATAATATCAGTAAAATGGTGGTCATTTACTAAGATTATTCAGTGGACTTTTTGGAGGATCCTGAGTGAATTTATGTGATTGGTTTTATTTTGTCTATTTAGTGTTTCTTCACCGGTGGTTTATTAGCTGTTTAGTGTTTGTGAAAGTGTACAAATGTGGAAAAATGAAACAAATCCGCTGAACGTAACTTCTCGGGATCCTTCAAAAAGTCTACTGAAAAAGTCTCAGTAAATGACCACCATTTTACTGAGATTATCTTTCATCCCATATCATCTCATTTCATATCATTTCATTTCGTTTTCTTTTCGTTTCATGCCATGTTTCATATTAATCAATTTCATTTCATTTCATAATAATATAATTGTTCATATAAAATAAGTTTTTTCTAAAATTAAAATAAGTCTTGGCGTAAAGGTCTTAGTTACCAGGTCATAAAATCCCTAAAAAAATGGGTGGGAGTATGGAGGGTGGGAGCCGTGGGAGGCAAACAAACAATTTAGTGCATAGTACTGCATAGATTAAACACTTATTTTAATGATGCTAGTGTCAAATTAAACTGAAAAACAGTTGTTTTTCTAATGAAGTATGTAATCTAAATTCATAAAACCATTTCTTGTTTGTATAAATTATGTCATAATGTTTCTGCCAATGAGTTGTTCCAAATAAGTTTCCTAACTACAAATATAAAAGGCCATCTTCCGTTCTTAAGCACTGTAAACCATATAAACATTCTAACTTAAACGCTACGAAACTGCAATGAATCTCGGTGGGACATTACGAATTAACAAGTTCGCTTGTTTCACATTGGCTTTTGTATTATTTCTGATAATATACTGGCGATCCGGAACATCTAGCTATCCTACAGAGAAGAGTCACTTAGTTAATTTAAAGAGTTTATTAAAAGCCGCTATCTTAGCCGCCGAAGGAGGAGGCAAGAAAGTATTGGACGGAAAAAATCATATTTTGAATGTTAAGAGTAAGGGTAAAACTTTGGAAGGCGCCAACGACCCTGTAACTGATGTTGATTATGCATCGCATTGCGCTATGTATTATGGTTTAAAACACACTTTTAATAATATCGATGTGGTCTCTGAGGAGCATTCGAAGAGTGATAGTAGCTGCGAGGAGGTGCCTGCTTTCGACTTGGAGCCCGACATCCCCGGGAATCTGAACATTGAGCAAATGCTTGATGAGCTTGTGCTTGCTAAAGATGTTGTTGTTTGGATCGACCCATTAGATGCCACCCAGGAGTATACAGGTGTTGTTTATTGTTAGTTAATAGAGCTGAATGTAGGTTTGCAATGATCACTTACACTATGAGAACGGTGAACCTAGGAAAATCCCTCAAGAATATTAGTATTCTAGGCAAAAAAACTATTCACAAGAATATTTTAAAATTTAGGTTCATATATTATATGATTTGAACTTCTTGATGGCTTTGGTGTTATTAATTTTTCAGTTTTATATATTGGTTTTATTGCAGTTTGGAGAATGATCTCATGGTACAACCTGGTGCTATGCAGTTTTCACATTCCATAGACATCAAAACACATCTGGTGACATAAAAATTTCTGTAATTACAAATTAGTCCAGCTGTTCTTAAGTGATGTGCTTATTACTTAATAGATAGATTACTAGTTGTAGGATGTGTGAATAAAGATTGATATATATATATANATATATATATATATATCAGTACATCTGTTTATCTTCCCAATGTGCCTACCACGAAGCAAATCTAAATTGTTTCAGAGAAACTGTACCAATATGTTACAACAATGGTATGTGTTGCTATAAGAGGAGTGCCAATAATAGGAGTCATCCATTATCCATTCACACAGCAAACATATTGGGCATGGTATACTAAGAAAACATCAGCTAATATGCCACTTGTACCGCATGTAAGTTGCATTTTTCACTTTGAACACATAAATTAAAGAATGCTATAGCTTATTTGTGAATTGCAAAATTAACACTAAAATTTGACAGTTTTATCCCAAAAACAAAATTTCGATTAGGGATGTGTGTTCGCAAATTAGTAATAAGATGATTACTTAATTCACTCAAAATATTCTGATGCAATAATTATTTTGAACGCAAATTTTATGACACTATGAATTTTCTACAGAAAGAAGAAAACAGGGAACATCCTAGAGTGGTAATTTCTCGATCACATCCTGGAAAAGTTGCCACTGTAGCCAAAAGTGCTTTTGGAGACAAGTCCAATGTTTCCAAAGCTGCTGGAGCAGGATTCAAGGTAATGGAAGTTGTGAATGGCACTTACGATGTTTATCTTCATGTAACTACTATTAAGAAGTGGGATATTTGTGCTGGAGATGCCATCCTAAAAACCGTTGATGGCAAAATGACCACAATGAAAGGTGATAACATTGATTATTCAGCAGATGGCCATGTTGCAGTGACTGATGGTATTTTAGTTACAAGGTATGATCATGATTATTACTTGAAGAAAATGCCTTCAATAATTCACTCCATGCATTGAAAGGGAAGAAAACTCAAGGACTAATTAATGGAACTTTAAAAGTCAGTTAAATGAAGTTGTGACTTAAACAATTTTATGGGTTAGTGAAAAAATGTTGTAGGTGTGTTGTAAATTAATTTTGGAGACTAGGGTGTATCGCAACTGGTCCAGAAGCTGAAAAGTGGATACCTTAACCTCTTAAAACATTCAGGTAAAACCAAATAATAAAATAGTTTCAGCGGTCATTTTAATTAAAAGGTGTCTTGTGAGCCCTCAAGGGTAGGCAGCCTACCATCATTTTACTAACCATACATACCAAATCGGCAGTAGGCTACCGCCACCCCGACTACATTTGCTGTGGAGCAGTAATGCATTTCAGCTTGAAGGGTGTTTGTTGTGGGTATGTTGCTTAGATGGGTGGACGAGCTCACAGCCCACCTGGTGTTCAGTGGTTATTGGAGCCCATAGAGATTTACAACGTAAATGCGCCACCCACCTTGAGATATAAGTTCTAAGATCTCAGTATAGTTACTGTTTTACTGTAAAACTGATACTTTGAACTCGTGTCTTAAGGTGAGTGGCGGCACTTATATTTAGATATTCATTGGCTCCAGTAACACTAGGTTGGCGGTGAGCTCGTCTACTTATCTATGCAATAAAAATTGTAATGACTATACCTATATACTATACTATTGATACCTGAATCTCATGTGTAAGGTAGGTGGCGGCGTTCAGTCTATAGTCTCCGGTGACACCAAATCCAAATCCAGTGTGCATAGTTGCGAGTTTTTTAACGTTCTCGATAGCGTAAAAGTTAACTCTAATTTGTATGGAGTTGGAATGTTTGCCTACGTTTGCCGCTAGGGGCGCTGTTCGAACTCCATACAAATTAGAGTTAAGTTTTACGCTATCGAGAACGATAAATAAAACCGCAACTATGCACACTGGTGAACGTTGAGCTCGTTCATTTGTCTTTGTAATAAATAAATAAAAAAACTATATTTTAATCATCGAACTTTTAATTGAACCCCGCATTCTATTTGCCTTCAAGATTGATTTGATAGGTTAAATAAAATGTTAACCTATTAAAACTGAAATTAGATGAGTACATGAATATTTTATTATTTTTTTATTATATGAAGGTAATCCAAACCTTCTCAGTTTCGGAAACTGTTGCAATTACTTAAATACCTTCATTTGACTCTAGTCTGAATTTTTATTGTAATAGAGAAATAAATTTTATTGAACTTCATTTTGTGATGTCGGTATGTATTAAATTTAATAACATTTCGAATCAGGGTTGCTAATTCTATATCGATTCTAATTGTAATAAAAATGTACAGATTGTTTTAAAGTGATAGTTGTTTAAATTTGATATTTGTTTTGTTCCTTGAAAATGACAGCATAAAGTTCTTAATTTATAATTCAAAATAAAAATAAAATATTTCAAAATAACACTGTATGTAATATACCGTAAAACGGGGTGAACACGCACGATCCATAGCTTTGGATTCGATTGTTTACATTTTTTTAAAAGGCTGAAATAAATATTAACATCATTTTCAAATGAGTCTAATTGTTATTTTATAATTTTATGTGTTTTAATGATCTGAATGATGATTACTGGGTTAATAGAAACGGTATAGGGGGTGAATAGAAAAAAATGCTAGGCTTGTTACATACTAGATTCCTTTAAAATCAAAAATTAGTGGGTATCATCTTAAATATTTTTTTAAAAACGATCTCGATAGGTAAAGTAGGTAGGTACCTACTAATTGTTCGATTCCATTCATTCCGGGTATTTTTGCAAACTTGAGAATGGTGGTATTGCTCTAGGTTTTATACCCACTTCTAGAGGCGTCTCCAGCCTATGTAATGCGTGCGTAATAATTACTCTAGCGCCCATTAGTAAGCGGGCGGTAACGAAAATGTTTTGTCAATATCATAAAGTGAAAACAAAAATAGCTTTCATACTAATTTCGCTTCAATCCGGCTAATGGCTATAGGTCCAGTACCTATCATCTCATTCAGAGTACGACTAGGTGACCTCATGGGGCTCTAACCTGACGACGTTGCTAATACCACCTCTAGCAAGCGCAGTGCTTCACAGAATCTATCACCGGATCGGAAACGCGACCCGCTGAGAAGATTCGGCGAGCAACTCAGTAGACTGTCTGTGGGTTATAACTCGCCGAACCCTTCATCGCAAGCGACGGGTTCGACGAAAACGGTGACCGGTGCTTGCGGTACCTAAAAGCACCGTTAGTGGATTGGGAGGATCCGAAATGACGTGTTAAGGGCGACGTCGACTGTTTACCGTTCGGTCCGCAGGATCGGGTATTAGGATAATAATCATTCACTAATTAAAGCACAGTGATCGACCGGCGGCGACTGCTTCCGCCCTGCCCGCATACATTCCCCTCAAAGACTCGCGAGGGATAACAAATAGGGATGTGCGTGATATAATATTTTTAATTTAATCCAGGTTATAAACGATCTTTTGTTATTTTCAAACCCGTTGCACTATTGTAGCGTTGTTGACTGACAAACATTCAAATATACAAATTTTCACGTTTATAATATTTATGTTGATGTAATAATAATATTGTGCTGTAATTAATATAGTTGGCGCTCCGCTAAATATCTTTATTATCTGTGATAAAAATATATTGTATTTTTATCGTCATTTGCGTTACTTTTGGCCATTGGTTGTGTTAAAAATGTTGATGTATAATGTAATTAGATCTTAAAAAGTTCGAACTTATATTAAATGTTAGCTGTAAATACATAAATTTATAATACCTATTGTTTTTTCTTATTATGTACAAAATTAACAACAGCCTAGTATAAAGTAAATTTATTTATCTCTGAATAAATTAAATTATTATTTTTTCATTATTAATGGGTTTTTTTTTGGCACGAATCATCAGTTTAATGTCAACTCCATTGAACTTCATACTTTTTATTCAAAACGATTTTATGTATACCTACCAATTTACTAGTACTATCAGATATATGATATTTGTAATAATAAGCTTAAAGTAGATAAAAACATTTTTAAGAAAAATAGGACAGTTAACCGTTGAGTGGTACTTGTACAAAACAAAAAGTTTTTAGTAATTTTAATCATTTAGTTTAAGTTTATTAAAGTTATTGTTTTCAATTTCCATAAGTTTAAGATAGAAAAATAGATTTTATTTTTGTATTCCATCGCATCTATTCTAAATCAGGTCAAAAATGCAAGCGTCAATTCTTCTGTTTCCATTGGTTCCAATATGAATAACATAAAATAAAACAAAAAAATCACATTGAAACATATGAAGGTTTTATTAATGAATTTTCAATAAAGCTTAAAATATCGGTACTAATGACCACCCTTTCTCTTACTGCTGCGAAGTAATTGTGCGGTTCGGTTCGAAGAATCCGCAGACCTAGACCTCATGCCTCAAGGCAGTATCAATCACACTGTAGCGTCCTTTGTTTTAGTGCTTAGCAGGTGGACCAGCTCATCGCTCACATAGTGTTCAGTGATTACCAGAGCCCATAGACATATACAACGTAAATGCCCCCACCTTGATACACGAGTTCCAATGTCTTAGTTTAACAGTACAACGGCTGCCCCACCCTTCAAACCGAAACGCATTACTGCTTCACGGCAGAAATAGGCACTTGGAGTCTGGTAACAATTTAAGAAGAGGAGGGCCGTACGCTCGTTTGCCCATTCTCTAAATCTTCCCGTAAAATCAAGTGATAAAACGTGTTTTGACTATTACGTTTATTTAAATAAATTAAGCATTTATTTTGATACATAAAAGACAAATAAAATCGGTGAATCAGTATTATTACAGGAATGTGTTGCTATATTTAAAAAAAACCTAATACATGAATGTCTGGTAGCTCTCTATATAAACCTAAGTTTACAAATGGCAAAAAAACATACGAAAAAGAGTAAAAGGGATTAAAAAATAAACTGCGTAATATTTTTGGTCTAAAATTGCTTAATGTAATTAATCTTTGCTAGTTTATGTTTTCAAATTAGTCAGTCAGACGATAATTTTAACTCGCAATCACTCGTTCCATTAGCAATGAAAATATTGGTGTCAGGCTGCTAATCGTGAGCGCTCCTGAACACACCTCACGTTCCGTATATACAGGCAGTGTATATGGACCGTTTGCAGAAGCGAGACAACTGCTTCGACAAAAAAAGCTAACAATATTCCTTTTTCAAAATCTGAACATAACTAGAGAAGCACAAAACAGTTCAGCGTCCTCGTATCCTGTTCATCAATCGATCTTTTTTCATTTGTTTACAAGTCACTGATAAACCTTAGGGTTACCAATTTAAAAATAAAACGTTTTTTCGCACATTTACAAGATTTTTTTTAATAAAAAGAGAAAGTTAAAAGATAAAGCAATTCCAATCCCTAAGGCGAGTCAGTAATTGTGCTCGATTGCGGCACCAACGAGCATGAATACTTGTGTATTTTGTGAGTACGTGAGTCAGTTACGTTACTTGAGACGCGTGCGTGTTTGTATTTAGTTGCATTAAACTATTTTATTGAGGGTAGAAGTAAGTAAGAAGTAAGGTCTCAGTGTATTAAAAACTGTCCGTTGAAAGGGAGCTAATTAAGGTGGCCTACAGTAGCAAGTGGAGAGATTTAAACTGCCGCACTCCACTTCCAACACTAGCGCTATGTCGGTGAATCTCCGAACTACAACTTAATGATTACAGGTCAACACTTTCAACTTGTCCCCTACACAAGACGGTGCTCCTTACTTCTCCCCTGCATAAATTACCTAAAATAAAACAGCGTTGTCTTCGTTTTCGTGAACTATTGCATACGCCCTCTACATGGGCACAAGGCATGAGTAAGTTGGCCACAACATTTTTTTTTATTAAGCTTTTATAAAATCCAAAAATATTAACATATAATTGTATGATGCAAAAACAAATGTTTTCAAGCTCTTAACTAATGACTTTCCAACTCATTTAATGTTTGGTACTGAATTAAAAATGTCAGAGATTTTTGTTTTTTAATATTTGATTGAGAGGCACACAAGGCACGCTATAACATAACTAAAGCAATTCAATTATCATACATAATTACATTTTACTAGTGTATTCGTGGGTTATTGTTTTACGATCCAATTAAAATGCGGTAATGATAGTTTGCGTAACCATTTATTTGATTTAATAATTTAAATATATTTTTTTGTTGTTCGCTTGTTACATTAGTTTACTGATTGAAATGCCGAACTTTTAGAACGGAAATGTATAGAGTGTTATTTAAAAATTCACAGTTTAAAGAAAAGGGGCTAAGGGAACAATAGGTTGTGTCTTTTACTTGTTTTAATTTTGTTGTTCCATTTCAGTTTCGAGAAAAAATATTTTACGAACATGTATTTCATTGTTTTGATTTTGAAATTAATAAAAGTTATAAATAATGTCTTCTTCAATTTGGCTTTTATCTGTAATGATCTGTGAACTCGACTTTCGACTTTTATATCGAGCTGAAATTAATGTGAGACAAAACTGAAGATTTATCCGGATTCGAACTTTTTCCGTTTCCTTCGCATGCTTCTTTAGTGCAGACTTAATTGAAAATCATCAGCATTCATTAACTTGACTAATTTGGACGGTTCGAGGTAAAAAGATGAAAAAGATGCAAGTTCATTTGGATCAAATAATAAATCGTAACGTTAAAGATTATTTATAAACTAAAATTTACAAGATTTGAATAATTACATTAACTAAAGGTAAGTTGTATGTACAGTTAATTAAACAAGAGTATGTCGTATGAACAAACAGTAGCATTTTCATTTATCATTGTATGCCAAATACAATTGAATTTTTTATAAACATAAATTATGAAAATAAATATATAAAAAACGTATTAAATGTAAAATAACAAAAAAAAAACTCGAGTTGAATCTGCGCTACTCAAACGAAATGCTACTACTACAGCCACCAAATATTTTGCTCTGACAACACCGGTCGACTCGAGCCGGCCCCAGCGTCGAGTCTTTTAATCACAAGAAACAATCATAATTTTGCAAACGTTTTTTTTTACAGGATAAATTAAAACTTATCAACGAGACACATTAATATTATACAATTTAATTACATATTACAACCACACCATACTTAATCTCAATTTTGACTTCGTTCAAGGACAACGAGAATCAGCTTCCATCGCACGAGGACACGTTGTCTGTCCGCAAGTCTGTCGTGCGATTATCGCTGTCGACTGTAAACATCACTAAATTCGCGTCGCCTTCGTTAGCTCTGGACAACAACGTTCCTCAGCCCGCTCCGAATTTCGTACCGTGCAAATCAACGTTTATGAATTTTAAACGATCAGGTATTATCGCACATACAGTGCTATAACATCACTTATGCAAATTATGTAATTTTTCAGGAGAAGAATTTGAAAATTCAACTAAATATTACTGTTATATAGTTCTTCTCTATTAAAGATTTTTTTTATTGCGTAGGTTGGGGGAAGAGCTTCAGGGGGAAGAGTATCAGTAAAAGCAAACGTCTCACTAATAACTATAAAAAAATTTGATTTTCTCAGACAAGAATCGCATAAGTGACATTATAGCTCTGTATGTGCGATATGATCGCGTTTGTGACGGACATTTTGATCCTCGTTGAAGAAAATAAGTCCGTCGTTCGACGCGCCCCGTCCCGGACTCGTTCGCGCACCGTACATCCTCATTATTATAACACTTATCACATACTGAGATTTAATCATCCATGTTCGATAGAATGAACCGCATGGCTTGCTACACCGAATCATCTGGAATAATTGAGAGAGCGGTCAATGATGGCTTCGCTGCGTCAGATCTCGGCGCTACTTGTCGAGGTGAGCGGTATCTAATATTCATTGTATTTTCATAGATACCGTTCGTATCGCCTTATCGAAGCGCAAAAAGTACAGAATAAATTCATTATATTAAATTTATGCAATTTTAATGACTCCTTAGTTTCTTGTTTTTACTTTTTGGTCGAAACGCAATAAAAAAAAACAACATTTGAATTTAGTATTGTCATTCTCGTATTTTCGCGCCCATCTTTATTAAATATACTTTTGAATTTATAATTTAGTGGGTAATTGTGGTGGGTGAAAAAAACGGAATAATTTTGATGGTATTACATAAAAGTATATATGGGGTTAAATGTCTCCGTTCGCTTGCTACTTTTTTTTAATGAATAATATGCGTTATGCACGGGTTTTAAGCTCTTATTGCTTTTATTTATATTCATTTTTTTTTTGTTCTACCCACGAAATATGTTTTAAAACCATTTCAAATTTTCACCTCACGATCACTCATTAATATCGGTGTGGTGAAATTCGATGCTGGTATCTGGATATCTCTAATGTAAATGACTTCAAGTCTTAAGATAAAGACAGTTTAATGTTGCAATATATGATACGAATGGACAATGAAAAATAAAATCTTGCTTCACTCACCATGATACCACCATTTTGTTTTCTTAGGATTTTTATTACAGGTTTTAACGTAGAACGAATTATCAGGCGGTCGTCTCTGGAATGTTAAAATTGGACTTTATATATTTAATGATTAAAAATTACTTCTGTTATGAAGCGAATCGATGGGTTCCGGGTTCAAGAGTGGTACAGCTGTCACACAATATAAATCGCACCTTTAAAATTATAGAGGTCTAACTCAAAATATGTGTTTTTTGGAAAACATCGAATAAAGTTTTCAAACCGAAAAGACGTAGAGGAAAGGACGTAGTGAAAGAGACCGATAGATAAGCGTGTCCCTTTATATACTACTTTTGGTAATTTGATTATTAACAGTCGCTGAAAAAGGTAAGGTTCTAGGTAAATTTTTGAATTAAAGTCGATATCCAGAAATTTCGAAATAGGTCTCTATAATTCTAAAGTTCCAATGGTCTAAATTTAAATGGTGCTTCCACGCCGTGTTTCATAGTGGTTCTCCGCACTCAGGTTGTGATGTCTGTAACCACTTAACACCAATAAGATCAGCTGTCGTCGAGTGCAATAATTATCGAAAGGATTTCTTTTAATTGCACAGACGGTTGAATGAACTCCAAGCTATCCTGGAATTTACTGGTTTACTGGAATTCCCTATAGAAATTACAAGGCGAATTGTAGTCTCAATTGTAGATATTAACGACTGTACCACTCTTTTCAAGACGAGACAACGAAAACAAAATATTCATCATTTGCATAGCTTTTTATAACAGGGAAAGCTGAAAAGTGACGTATAATTATTAATACACTTAGGTCCATAATATCAATCATGATTTATGCGAAAGATTAATAAAGCTTGATTTCGAGTGGCCATTTTGAAAAGAACCGTTTAAACCCAACGCATAGTTTAAGCTTTGAGATAATTTAAGCTACGGAGGTGAGTTTAACACTGATTTAAATTACGAATTGATCTTAAGTGATCGTTTAAAACTTCGATATTAGTTTAAACTACGATTGATATTATGGGCCATAGTCGAGGACGTCATTATGCGAATTACAGTGGACTAATTTTAATAGTGTTCTGAATTATAAATGTTAAAGTTTTTGGAGAAGATGTCCCGATTATTTTCGCATCAAACGAGTGTTCGAGTTTAGAATTCGCATTGAACAGACTTAGTAGTGTTTATTCTTTTTTCTTAAGTTTTTTTTACTGGGCAAATGCATTTAAAAAAACTCGCTTCTTAAAGGACATGGACCACTCTCCATACTTTGCACGGCCCACTAAACGAAGTTCAAGGACAGCGTAGTTTTTTTTTTGTTAAAGATCAATAATTATTCACAATGTAATGATTTATTCACGGATTTAAAAGTATAAAAATAGATTTTTGTTTAGATATAATATTTTATATTAATTTTAAAATCTATTAATTAAATATGTTAATATATTTTGCTAGTTTTTTGCATTATAATGTTTTTTTAAGAATATTTAATGTGAATTGTTTAAAATATAAATAATATATTTTACCTATGGCAACTCCTTCAATATTATCAATGTAGATTAGTCATGCTGATTTCTTTTTATTTATGATTTTAATTATCCCACCATTAAAATGCCCTTAAATTTTATAATAAGTATGTAAAAATGAAATGTTTTTTTCTATAGATATTTCACTAATGTCCTTGAGAGCACGAGTAGCTGGGTCGAAAATGGCCCATGTCCTATATACTACTTTCTTATTCAGAGTTATTTTACTGGATAAACATCTAGATGCATTAAAATAACTCGCTTCTTAAGTTTACACTACCTTCTTATTCAGAGATTGCGTCAAGGTCCGTTATTAAAATAGATCATAATACCTTTTCCTTACAGCTACTGAGCATCGACACGATCGAGAGGCAGACTGATTGCACCGACAGCGCCGGCGACCAGTCGTCGGTGAGGATCGAGAGGCAGATGTGCCCGTTCGAGTACACGTGCGGGTGAACGGGAATGTTGTTGCCTATGAACGTTACCTGTACATACGCAAAATTTCGTTTTCAATTATGCGACATCGATTATTTTTTCTACTAATTTGGAAGTTTTTTTTTAGAATATTTTTTTGGCAGCACCAGCTGACCTGTCCCAATTTCAATTTAGTGATTTCTGTTGAATCTATTAAGAGCGTTCAAAAATCAAATTGAAAATTTTGTAAGCCTTTGGAAAAATATTTATTTGCTTATACTTTAATTTTTTTATTCGGACTATAGCCTGCAGTTGTTGCATTTCTCTATAATTAACGGACGTAGTAGCTTTTAAGGCCACGGACGCTTAAGATAAATATAAACACCGTTCCTTATTTAGCAAGAAACAATAGCCACGCCCCTGTTGTCATATATTTAATCGAAACGATGTGAAAATATTTTATTATCATTATGATTCATAATCTTGTTTTATCTTGAAATAGATAAAAAAAACGATTAACATATTAAATGAATCTCTAATAAATACAATGGCGCTTCTATGATAATTAATATATTTTTAATCACTATCTATGACCATTTATTTTGGGGGGAAAATTAAATATAATTTAATTCTATCGCCTCTAAATTTCGTTCAGCAGTGCCTGTTCTAATATCTATAAGTTGTGATTCTACCCCCCCCCCCCCCCGATCCACTAACGGTGCTTCTAGGTACTTAAAGCACCGGTCACCGTTCTTCCTTCTTCGCAAGCGACGGGTTCGACGAGTAAATTAACTCTCAGACACAGCCCACTGAGTTTCTCGCCGGATCTTCTCAGTGGGTCGCGTTTCCGATCCGGTGGTAGATTCTGCGAAGCACGACTCTTACTAGGGTTCGTGTTAGCATCGTCGTCAGGTTTGAGCCCCGTGAGCTCACCTACTAGTTACGGTTACGCTGGAATAGCCGCTCCAGGCTACCAGCTTAGGTAGGAAAAAAAAAGAAAAGTGGTTCTAGTGATAAACTTTCATAATATTAAGATATTGGGTATTTCGTTTGGCTTTTGCCCGTCACAGATATTAAATTTTACGGTTCAATCTACCATCCGTCAAATCATTCGGCCTTGACCACGAAAACTGTAAAGTATCGCAAACGTCAGCAATAATAATATAATGACAGTGAAAAACGTGACATGAAACCGTAAAAGTAATTTTATATGCACTTATTTTATTTTCCTCTGGAAACTGAAATAAAATATGTATTGCGTAAATAATATAAGCGTGAATATATAATATTTTGCCATTAAGAAATTGGCTCTTCTGACAAAAATATAAATCTTTCTAGGGGTTGCTATAACACACGACGAGATAAATATTAAGCCTAAATCCTACCAACGACAATTTCAAGATAATCTTGCTAAATTCCGAATCGTCGCGTCTTCTATCTACAGAGGTCATTCGCTCACTGGTTAGAAAATGTTTCCTATGTCGCGGCCTGTTGTATCTCTAAACTACAAATAATACAATCGAAATTTGATAAGTAGTGGAAAGGCATGTTGCACCTAAAATTACATATCATTTTTCATATCGATTTTGGTCTATAGGTAGATTTCCAGGAAGGTTGTAACTTCAAGTGCAGATATTAAAAAAAAAAAAAACTTGTTCTATTGAAACAGTGGCAATTACGGTTGCCGTGTAACATATTAATGCTTTTCCTTTTAACGACTCATCGATTCATCTTCACCTTGAACATTTTTTATTTATTGCTTAGATGTGTGGAGAAGCTTACAGTCCACCTGGTGTTAAGCGGTTACTGGAGCCCATAGATATCTATAACGTAAATGCGCCACCCACCTTGAGATCTAAGTTCTAAGGTCTCAGTATAGCTACAACGGCTGTCCCATCCTTCAAACCGAAACGCATTACTGCTTCACGGCAGAAACAGGCAGGGCGGTGTTACCTACCCATGTGGACTCAAGAGGTCCTACCACCTGTGTAAGCCAGGTCTCTAACAATGCTTTATATAGTATTATTTGTCAAAAGCAAATTTTTAACCCTTTTTTTGCTCCAGAGCCAAGTTTATAATGAGTTGTGACCTTTAAAGTTTACGAACCCTTATCGCGGCCGCCGCTAATTACATATCGAACCTCGACGGGGCAACGCAAAGCCGCCGTCACACGAAACATGTCTTTTCGGATCCCCCGGATTCACTCGCAGCGATTTTAGGCTCTTCAAGCACCAATCTACGCCTACGATTACGACGAAGTTTTCGACGTGCGAACTAACCCGTAGACACAACCCATTGAGTTTCTCGCCGGATCTTCTCAGCGGATTGCAATTCCGATCCGGTGGTAGATTCTGCGAAGCACTCCTCTTGCTAGGGCTAGTGTTAGCAAATTCTCTCAGGTTGAGCCCGTGAGCTCACCTACCCGTCCGCGAGAATCGGGAATAGCCCCTTAGGCTATCAGCGACAAAGTAGGGTAAAAATAATAATTGTAAAACAAATCCGTAATCTCTTCTCAGTGATCGGGAATTTTGGTAATAATCACAGTTAATGTTCTAGTCTGTTATTGATAAAAACATTGTCGGTAATACTTAATTGTCTCTTTATATCGGGTTTGTGATTGCCGCTTCAAGTGATAACAAAACAAAAGACGCGTTGCGACATTGCTATTACAACTACGACGATTGCAATGACGATGTTGTGGTAATGATTGATAAAGTTTAATTAGATTGTAGATAAAGAGAGAGACTAACTGTCGTATAACCGTATGTTTGAGAGCATGGTAAAGTTGAACGGTATCATAGTAGATAGACCTCGGCAGGAAGTCGGGTTCGATAAGCTACATGATAGAACATTGGGAGCTGGTGGTAGGAGGTCTTGTGAGTCCGCGCGGGTAGGTACCACTACCCTGACTATTTTGGCCGTGAAGCAGTAATGCGTTTCGGTTTGAGGGGTGGGGCAGCCGTTGTACTGTATAAACTGAGACCTTAGAACTCATATCTCAAGGTAGGTGGCGGCATTTATGTTGTAGATGTCAATGGGCTCCGGTAATCACTTAACACCAGGTTGTCCGTGAGCTCGTCCAACCGTCTAGGCAATAAAAAAAATCAGCAAACTATTGTCTTCGAAACGAAGGCAAAACAATGAGAGTCTATAGTCGATAATTTCGCACGGAATCTTCACACTATATCGATAAAAATCACAATTGACTGTCCGACATACATACGGCTTGTACTCGTATTGTTTCGATCAGTGTTTGATGACCTTGCACCACATATATATACATACTAGTTTTAATTTAATTAAAATACGCAGTTTACGTGTACAAACCGTTTAGTTACAATTTTAGACGGAGCGGAAACAAGCAAAACAACAACATAATAATAAAAAAAAACACTGAGAAATTAAATTCTGATCGCGTCGAATTACTTCCGTGACCACATTATTTGGCACTGCGTATTGAATTGCAATCACTATTCCTTGGTGAAGGATGATAGACAAAGACGCTGTTTTATATGTGTAATGTTATTAAAAATGTCAATAATTTATTTTTTTCTAAGCTTATAGCTTTGAGAGGCTATGCCAGGGTAACCTAACAATTAGATGAGCTCATGAGGCTCAAACCTGACGTCGTTGCTAATACGAACCCTAGCCAGAACAGTGCTTCGCAGAATCTACCACTGGATCGGAAACGTGGCCCACTGAGAAGATCCGGCAAGAAACTCTGTGGACTGTGTCTGTGGGTTAATTTACTCGCCGAGCCCTTCGTCGCAAGTGACGGGATTCCCCCATTCTCTACTCTTCACCTCCAAATACAAAATCATTAAAATATAATTGAATTTCCGATGTTCCGTAATTCGAATGATTCGTTTGTGATTAGATTATTTTGATATGTTAAAATCTACATGTAAGCATCTACAACATATTATTATACTTTACTGGATCGAATAGCAGGAAGTGCGAATGATTCGTGCAAGTATGGAGATTAGATGAGATAACAAAAAAGTTTTCATGTACCTACACATTGTTATGAGTAACGGAAAGTTTGATGTTTGCCGAATATTATACTTTGCATCGCTATAGTTTTCAATCTCAAAGTCTTTAAATTACAACTTTTTGACAAACAGCTTCTAAGCAGCCTCAGAAAAAAATATTAAAAAAACGGTCGCCTCGCGATCTTATTTCCCGATCCGCTAACGGTGCTTTTGGATACCTCAAGCACCGGTCAACGTTCTTGTCGAACACGTCGCTTACGACGAAGGGCTCGGCGAGTAAACTAACCCATAGACACAATCCACTGAATTTTTCGACGGATCTTCTCAGTGGATCGCCTGATCCGGTGGTAGATTTTGCGAAGCACGGCTCTTGCTAGGGCCAGCGTTAGCAACGCCTCCAGGTTTGATCCCCGAGAACTCACTTACACGTTAGGGTTACAGACACAGCCTCTTAAGGCTATCAACTCAAGTAGGAAAAAAGATCTTATGTTTCTAATAACGAATATTATGAAAAAGTAGAAAAATGTCAATGTCCAATTAAACAAGTTGTCAATTATGCACACTGATACTATAGTGTGAGCAAACTCACGACATGCTCGCGGCTCGTGCTAGATAGCGAACACGGCTTAATTAAGCCATTGACATGCGTGCGACCAATTTACTAACACGGATCCACTTGTGGCTAAATTTAAATACGTCGAAAATAACGAGCGGAGTTTGAGAACTTTCGTATTCACTCACTAGTTAAATTAAAGCAATAATTAATATGATGTAACAAACTATCGCAACATTGATCTGCCATCATTGCTTTTGTAGCTGGAGGCGTACAGTTGTGAGATCGTCTTTATTAAGAAGGCTGCAAATAATCTTTAATATGCCCATATTAAATTTATTGAAAGTGTAAATTATAATGTCTTTTGCGGCCACTAACTCTGTCATTAGCATTCTCAATTGGTTGGAGAATTAAACAGGAAAGCAATCTAAAGGAAATCTGTAAGGACATATTTATGTTTCATATGTAGCAGTAATAAATATTATATAGCGGATAACTATTAGTCTCTCCTACCTCCTCACAAAATAATGAAATACCAGGATTGGGTTTGATATTCCATATGTTTGATGACGGAATTCAATACACAAATCTCGGTCAGAGGCGTCAACTACTGCACTAAGTGGTAATTCAATATTTACATTTTGGGTTCTTGTTGATTAAACATGATTTTTTTTCTAGATAAAGTTTTTTTTTAAACTTCTCTTATCTTGTATACATTCATTTAGATTGACAGTTAATAATACTAGTAATAAATATATAAAATACTAATAATAACGAAAGTGTGTCATGTAGCTAACACCAATACAATATAATCTAATCAGTCAGATAATGCATTGTCAGAAGTATTATCAATTTGAATATGAATAAGATATTGGTTTTTTTAATGCAATGCATATAAGATTCTTTCATTTTTTTTATAATAAGTTTTATTATTTGTAACATAATTATGTATTCTTTTTCATGGTCACAGTTTTATTATTTAATATTTATGAACTGAAGTTGATTTTTGTTTCCACTAAATTATTCTGAACATATTAAAATTGTATGCTGCAAAAATGATATGGTGGGCATCACAAACCTACCTATTAATGGCTCACGTCAAAAATTTAATACCACTGAAAGTACAGTGGGACAGGTGCATTAGTAAAATCTACAACGTGTAACTGATATCTAATGACTGCTTTACGTCAGGAGGGGGGATGGCTAGTCTAGATATGCCTATCTAGAACAAATAGAAAAAGATAAAATAACAGCAAAAATAATGTGCACTAAAGTTCTGTATATGTAAAACTAGAATGTGAAAAACCGAAAAACTTAACTGGGTTTAAAAATCAAATATTTTTGTTGCCAGACTATTTTATTTCATGAATGATTGTTAATAATTACATTATTTAACACCATTCGACTTTAACACTGAAGTGTTGTTTTCAGGTTGTTTATATACATAGTGTCTGTGTAGTTTCCCATGGGAATGATTCATTTTCGAGATAACAGTTAGCCTATATTACTCTCCGGACCCTACACTATCATTTGAAAAAATACCATATCGATCCATTACTTTGTTTTGAGGTGAAAAGACACTTTCAAACACACTTTCACATTTATAATATTATAAATGTATGGATGTATATATTTACCAGCATCATATAATGAAGCAGTTGTGCATTCCAGATAGGGATCCAAAATATGGATAGCCATTATACAATAATATTGGGGTTTCCACCTGATGTCTGAAGGTGGGTAGCAGCCTCTTACTATTTCTATGGACTCTAATAACCAATTTAAGACCAAAGAGCTACAAGCCCTTCTAGAGCATCAGCAGAAATAGATTTGATGGTAATACACCCCACTACCCGTAAAATTGTCTCAAACTTTGTTCGCATACATGATAAATTTGAACCATCTGATATATTTTGGCAGGTTAATCATACACATTAATATCAGTTAATCCTATCACTAAATAATTTACTTAAGAGATCAACTTGCATTAACAATTTAATAAAATGTACTCACTTCAGGGGAATCAAAGGGGTATTTGTTTGTGAATTTGAACTGCAACACGAACTTTTCGCCTTCATATAATGTTCCAGGTACGCCTTCCATGTGTACTGTCCATCTGTCATTACAAGTTGGTCAGTTACAAGAGGTGTGAACTGGATTTTTTTAAGTAATTATTTTTGTTAGCAATAATCTTTATAAGAATGCAAATTAGAAAAAATTCAAAACTTCCCAACACATCTAACCAATTTGATATTTTATTAAAAGTTTAACTTCGTAAAATTTCAATACTTAACACTTTAAAAAAAAAAGGTTTACCTTTATAATTTCACTAATAAATATCCTAGTTTAATTTTTGGTAAGAACTTTAAATTTAACTTTCGATGTAACGTAATAAAACCAACTCACAGTGTTAGATTTTGACTGGCCTGATCTCCGTCTACGGTGACTCCTGGAGGTGGTTCTTTCATCAATGACATAAGTTCTTTTTGAAGACGCCGCTGTGAATTTACAGATGTATAGTACATATTTACCGGTTTATAACATCGACCTGCTTCGTAGTTAATTAAGGAGATCATTTTGAACGAAATCGTTTATAACAAAACATTCTGATCACCAAAAATATTGTAGTAAATTGGTGAACCAGGAATTTCACATATTTGTACTTGTTATACAATAGCCATATACCGCAAAATATATAATAACGTCTTTTGTTCTATGCAGAACTGTTTTAAAACATTATTGGCTATAAATTTGTAAACAAACAGTTTCAATCTTAATAATTTTTACGCACCTCGGACGGAGACAGAGCCGCCATTGTAATGAAATTAGACGTATGAAGTTGCTATAATAAAAAATCATAATTGCACTTCGAAGGGTTGAACCAAAGAGTAGGGTAATCTGGTTAGATATGTATGTAGGCTCTATATTTTTATTCGATAATTCAAAGCCAAGTTTATGTATTTTTTATCTAAATTTTTAAATTAGTTTAGTACCTACTTAACCCTTTAAAACGTAGGTACATAGTTATTTATATAAATTTATGTAAGCCTCTGCCTTAGCAGTCTTCGGAGGTGGATGACTAATAACTTATTCGCGTCGGAAGCTTAGGGTCGATGAAATGCTATCATTGTAGTTCCAACGAGGACTGTCGCAGCATCTGCCACCGTCAAGCTGGAAATAGATATAGGTCTTATGCCCTGTTTCAGACTTTACAGGAGATTTATCTTGGAAATCCGGCTTAAGGTGGTGGCGGTGGCCGGAGATGCAGTGTGCGTAATGCATTTCGGAGTATCGCAAAAAACTTAAAGTCACAAATAGTTATTTGCAGGTTTTTTTTCCTACCTAAGCTGATGATCTAGAGACACCATGTCAGCGTCGCGTCGCCGGGCTATTAGGGGTGCTCACGGGGTTCAAACCTGACGATGCTGCTAACACGACCCGTAGCAAGAGCCGTGCTTCGCAGAATCTACCACTGGATCAGATATGCGACCCACTGAGAAGATCCGGCGAGAAACTCAGTGGGCTGTGTCATTGGGTCAATTTACTTGCCGAGCCCTTCGTCGCAAGCGACTGGTTCGATGGGAACGAGGACCGGTGCTTGGAGTATCTAAAAGCACCGTTAATGGACTGGGGAGATCCGAGATTATGTGTTTTGGGCGACGTCGACTGTTTACTATTTGGGCCGCAGGATCGGCTTTGTATAGTTACCGGCGGTCACGACGAGAGGGTTCTGTCGTGCCGATTTATCGAAATGCCATTGATGCCGACTGTAGATACTTATTGATGTACTCTAGGTCCAGGTCGTCGTTCCTAATGAACCACGGGGCTCCGATGGCTATCCTGCAAAAACAGGATTGAATAGTTTGAAGGGGTTTCAAGTTTGTGCGGGTAGCGTGAGCGAACACTACACTTGCATAGGTCATGACGGGCGTATGCAAGCTTTTTAGAGTGTCACCTTATTTCTAAGGGACAATTTACTTCGCTTATTTTATTTTTTATTGCTTAAATGGGTAGACGAGCTTACAGCCCACCTGGTGTTAAGTGGTTACTGGAGCCTATAGACATTTACAACGTAAATGCACCACCCACCTTGAAATATAAGTTCTAAGGTCTCATTATAGTAGCAACGGCTGCCCCACTATTCAAACCAAAACGCATAACTGCTTCACGGTAGAAATAGACAGGGTGGTGGTACCTACCCGTGCGGACTCACCACCAGTAAAAGTATCCTAAGTGTTATAAAGTATCCTATATTTATATTATACTAGCTGCCCTGACGTATCGCCTAACGGTCAATGAATGTCGTGTTAAAGATTAGTTGCACTAAATATCGCTTCCCATTAAGGCAGAACAATCCAGGCGTATCGTAGCTTGATATACATTTTTCTTACTTTACACAAAATAAATTTTTGAACGCACACATAAATATTTGGCAAACAATTAATTACGTATGTAAAAAAAACGATGGGTCCCTTTTTACTTCTAATGCACAAATAAAATAATCTGTATTACTATTAAGTCGTAATAAATGGTTGCTAGACATTTTTGCTATATTATGTGTACGGACCGTGTGCTCATTCTAGATCTGTGATATTAAGATACACTGGTACTTATTAACTCCATGGATACAGTATAGCACAGATCTATGGTATAAATATTTGACACCATATGGTGCGTTCCACAAAGCGCCCACGATGATCAAAATACTCCTTTAGTCGTAACACATAACGACCGCGGTCGTTGTGGTTGCGGCGAAAACGTCTCTTATGACGTCATGACTTACGCTCATGCGAAGCTCACGACGACCCATCTAAAAAGGTGGGGCGAAGTGATTGTTGAGAAAATTAGCGGCGTTTTCAAAACTCAAAGCATCAAAAATGGCGACCGTTAAGCTTACGTTATTTCATGCCGAAAGAAATACTATCTGGAGCATTATTGCGACCTCTTACCAAATATTCAAGTGCCGATGCAAAAGACATTTTAATTACATTTGAACGTAAATTAATTAAATACACCATTAATATGAAATATAAAAAAATAAATTATAATTTTTTTTAATATAAATCGATTTAAGCAATAATTCATTATGTTTATTTTGAAGGCTTACAGATTATAACCTAACCTTAAATCTTTTTATTAACTCGCCGTTTGTATTACTTACCTCCGCACTTAAAACGCTCTATAATCAATTCCACTTGAGTTTACGACAGTAACGCTCACAAGCAAGTGGGATGGGAAAAATTGCGGTCGTGAGCGTGATCGTTGTGAACCCTCATTGGAACGCACCCATAGCGTGATTTATGACCAGAGACGATACATTCCATATTTGTTTATGTATGATTATTTATGGGTTTGACAGTTTTGACTAGTTTTGAGTCCCCACCAAGGGCTTTAGAATAGAAAATTTAAAATAAATAAAGTATAGCTTAACTAATACGTATAGCAATCCAATAGTAAAGTAATATCAGAGAATGTAATATAGGTACCAATTAAATAGATATGAATATACATAAATTTTTAACAATAATTATTGGTCGTAAACTTGACAATAAGTATTGCCTACATTAACCCAAATTAAAACTGAATCATAAAATTAATTCCCATATTATTTACTGTGTTGGATTTTGTCTTCAATGCGCGAATTTTCAACTAAATATCATCATGGTATCGCACGGGAAAAAGACATCTGCTGAATGGTTTATAGACCAGTTAAATGTGGATAACGCTAAACGTTTAGCATTTGTGCTGGTGATAGGCTTTATTGGATATCATGGAATTCTACATTTGAGATATGGTTAGTATTCTTTTATTTTTCACATAGTAATAAATATCCAAAATTACTTAAGAATATTTTCATCATTTTGAAGTTACTGCCAACAAATATTAATAGAAAATAAATACATATACAACTGATGATAATAATTTGTAGCCTATGAGTTATGCTAAATTGCCTCATTATGAAAAGTAATATGTACATATACAGTCGTGGCCAACTAATTAGGGACAATCTCTAGTTAAGCCAAATTGTGAATTTTTTTATTATTTTCCAACGAGTCTTAGCAATATTCCATATCTTTTACATGTAAGTGTAATTAGTCATTTATGTGCGCGATTATACAAACAATAACAACTTCTTAAACATTAAACCTCTTTACAGTATAGCTGATACAATATCATAGTGCTATTGGTTCAAAGAATGCTGGCTGGCCATTTAATTAGGGACACTAAGGTATTGCGTTCTAATTTCAAAATTGGAATTTTAATACTTTTTTGTTTCTTTTCTTATTGTTTAGTGGTCGTTTTGGCGGCAATCCAGATTTTTTATTTTAAGTTTTGAGAATTATTTTGAAGAAAAATGGGCAAAAATAAAAGTTGCGATCCAACACTACGAAAAATTATCGTTATCGTTAAAAATAAAAGTTTATCGAGCGTGGTTGGTCATACCGAAGGATAGCACAACATTTAAATTGTTCAAAAACTATGGTATGCAATGCAGTGCAACATTTCAAGCGCTATAACACAGCTTTAAATGTGTCCAGAACAAAAATATCGAGAAAAACGACTCCGCAAGAAGATAGAATGATAACCAGGTTAGCTAAGAAAGATCCGTTTCTAGGCTCTATTTTAATTAAACACGAAGTGTTTGGGGCAAACGAAAGAGCCGGTGTATCTGCGAGGACCGTTCGACGACGTTTGGTAGAAGCAGGGTTGTTCGGTTGTTGAAGAAAGAACATAGAAATGCTCGTTTGGCATTTGCACGTAAATATGGACATTGGACCTACGCCCAATGGCAACATGTACTTTTCTCTGACGAGACCAAGGTTAATTTGATTTCTTCAGATGGAAGGCAATATGTACGGCGTCCTGTAAAAGCGGAAATGAATCCAAGATTCACAAAAAAACAGGTGAAACATGGCGGTGGAAACATTAAAATATGGGGTTCATTTTCTGGACGTGGAGTGGGACCTGTGAGGAAAGTTCAGGGTAACTTAGACCAACATCAATACAAGGCAATATTGGAAGAAACTATGCTTCCCTATGCTGAGGAGCATCTCCCTATTATATGGACGTTTCAGCAGGATAACGACCCGAAACATACCGCCCATTCAGTCAAGTCGTTTCTTACCAGTCAGTTTGTATCGGTGCTAGATTGGCCAGCAAATAGCCCGGACCTCAACCCAATTGAGCACCTTTGGCACGAAATCAAGAAAAAAGTTGCCACTTATCGTAATACAAATTTGGATGAACTTCATGAAGCTTTTTGTGAGGCATGGGCAAACATTCCTGTCGAAACATGTCAGAAACTGATAATGTCTATGCCACATCGGTGTCAAGCGGTAATTACTAACAAAGGTTTTGCTACTGGGTACTGATTTTACACGTAATAAAATGGAGCTGTTAAAGATATTATAACACTGAAGATTATAAGTTTTGTGTAACTGTATTTTTCATTATACTTTACTGTCCTTAATTAAATGTCCACTACAGAATTGTACCTTAATATTTAATACATGTTTAATCTTTGATATTAAATACTTTTTCTATTTATTAAATCTTTTATTTACAGCCATTTATAGCATAATAATCGGATCACATTATGCAAATAATAGGTGCTGAGAAATCAATAGGGTTTTATATTTAAATGTACATAACCGGTTATAGCCCTTCACTATCTTAAATGTCCCTAATTAGTTGACCAGGACTGTATGTATTATACATCATGCTAAAACGACTAAAAATGATGGTGGTAGGACCTCTTGTGAGTCCGCACGGGTAGGTTCCACCACCCCGCCCATTTCTGCTGTGACGCAGTAATGCGTTTCAGTTTGAAGGGTGTGGCAGCCAGCCGCATTAGAACTTATATCTCAAGTTGGGTGGCGCATTTACGTTGTAGATGTCTATCAGTTCCAGTAACCACTTAACACCAGGTGGGTTGTGAGCTCGTCCACCCATTTAAGCAATAAAAAAAAATCTTTTTCCAGGCTCTGACTCTTGCACTTGGTTGTTGACATCAGGCCGATATAAAGGTGATCATGAATGGCAACCTTATGGTTGTATGTTGCATCGGTATTCCAAAACGTAAGTTCCGTTATTTTTAATCACGGATATGATGAAGCCTGAAAGAATAAAATATTTTTTTTAAAATAGATAGGTATGTCATAATGTGTTACATGACAAGTATAAAACGTCTTATCAGTCTTAAATTTTTATTTATTAATTATTACTAATCCTAACGTAAAGTAAAATACTATTGTAGAAGCAATTCAATTAGGAAATGAATTAATGAAAAAGGAACAAGATGATACTAAGATAAATATTATATTGATATGATAAAAGTATAATATTCTGGAATGATGTAAACAGAAAAATAATTATTATATATCACATTAGTCAATCCATAATATACAATATAATAAAATAATTAGCTTTAGAGCTCTTATTTATTTATGTTATCATCTTTATAAAGTATAAATAAATAAAGGCACAATTGAAATCACAAGTTCCCAGATAAAAAGATACAAACAATATGAATTCAGAACATACATTTAATAATAAAGAGGTAAACGTAAAAAAAATGTGGATGGCTGCTTATTCTTGAATTCCACAGATAGATATATATAATATAATAGATATATAATATAATAGATATATAAACTACTCAAAACAAAATAGGCCCCACCATGTTTTATAAATGAATTTTACAGATTCTTTTTCTTTTTTCAGTTTTTATGATTAGGAATGAATAAATTAAGGTTTTCGAAAGTGTGTGAACATTAACAAGAGTAAGTTTTGATAATTTTATGGACTTTAGTCAAAATTTACAGTTTTTAGGAAAGTTGACAGAAATTATTGATTTAAGTAAAGTTTGATTTTGATTTTTATTATTGACTAAATCAATGAGTTTGGTGGTGCTTAATAGCGAGTAGGTCCTCCTCTATTCCATATGCACTCTCTGAATCTGTCTGGGACACTTTCAATCGAATGGGTGATGTTTTCCTCGGGTATTCGCTCCCAACACAATTTTAGGGCGTTTATGAGCTCTTGTCGATTAGTCACATTACTGAAGTTCGATTTGAGGCTTTTTTCAATTGGTCCCATAAATGTTCAATAGGGTTAACATCGGGACTCATGGCCGGCCATGGTAAAACCGTAATATTGGCTTCAGAGAAAGCTCTCTGTGTTGTTCGTGCTGTATGCGGGCGAGCATTGTCTTGCATAAAGACGAAGTTTTCACCCACTCTTTGTGAAAATGGGATGACATGGGGCCAAATTATTTGATCGACATACCGGGAGGCAGTTATGGAGCCGTCTTCCAGAATTACCAGCTCAGTTTTACCGAGCAAGCTTATTCCAGCCCACACCATAACATTTGGACTTCCAAAACGATCCCTTTCGCGTATGCAAGGTTCTGAAAAACGTTCTCCTTCTCTTCTCCACACACGCACTCGACGATCATCGCAGAAAAACTTCACTTTACTTTCGTCCGTAAAGAGTGTATTTCTCCAGTTGTCCATTGTCCACTTCGCATGCTCGCGAGCAAACTTCAAACGTGCTGCACGATGCGCTCTTGTCAATTTTAGACGAATAACACGAAATCTGGAACGTTGTCCGTCTTCATGGAGCCGATTTCGAATGGTTTGATCACCGATTCGTGTGCCAGTCGATTGCCGCAGTCGATTTTGTAAGACGCGGGCGGGAATCGTACGCTCTCGACGTGCAGTCAATCTGATATACCGGTCTTCCTGGACGGTTGTAGCTCGCGCTCGTCCTGATCCAGGTCTCCTCGTGATACTACCTGTCTCTAAAAAACGTTCCCACGCGTTTCGAATAGCTGGTCGCGACACACCAAGACGTCTTGCCACTGATCTCTGAGATTCTCCCTCCTAAAGCATAAACACTGCTCTTGGTGCTGTTTCCACAACCATATGACGCCGAGAACCAGGCATAATGATCGCGAGTAACACCGAAATCAACTCAAAATGAAAAAAGTAGACGTGCGACTGTAACACTCAGAATGTGACTGAGGGTACAAGTGACTGAGAATTTGAGTAATAAATGTTTTTTGGAGTACTTCACTTTTTTTGTCTACACACCATTGAATTCATGACTTGAAACATTGATAACGTTAGATAAACATGTCAACAATACTTCGAAATGTTTAACTTCACTATTTACTACCCAACAATTTTTTTTAGAAGAAATTCGAGATTAACTTAAAGTGGGCCCTATTTTGTTTTGAGTAGTTTATATGATATAATAGAAATGTTGTTTAAAAACTTAAGGACAATTGAGGATAGAGTGGTAGTATCAATTTAAAAGGTGAAACTGTTGACATTGAATTTTGCATTTTGTTTTTAGTTACCTCCTAATTGTCAATTTCAAGATTTACTATTTTAATGGATATGAAGGCTAAATTATTTAACAAGAAGAATGTTTCTAATGTCGTATTATTTTCGGTTCTTATGAGTGGTAGAAGATGTAATTAAACTTTAGTTTTTGCAGTCACAGCATTGACAGCAGTCTGTGATCGTAGTTTTAATTATATCTATTTTGTGGTTGCTTTAAGTCATTCCATGCAAATTTTCTGACTGTCCCAATGATGGTGCCAAGAAAAAGGGCTTAAAAGGTTCTTATACTATTTGAGTTCTAAAAGTTGCATCATAGCACCCCCCGCTCCTCCCGTATCCCTCATTGGAGAAGAGTTAATTGACAGTTTTTCAACATCTGGCTCTTGAATGAACCCCTTCTCTTGTATTAATAACTTTCATGATTACTCACCATCCAATGGGCCAACAATGGTAATAAATAACTTTTGGCTATATTGTTGCTATATCTACTAATCACCCTAAGACAGACAAAATTATCTTAGATCTACAATAATAATGTTACAGGGATGCACGCCGCTGTTTAAGATATTTAGCTTTCTGGGGAAAGTACAACAGTTTTGCTTTTATTGGTGATTCAAGAATTGAACAACTTTATGAATATTTTATAGGTAAGATTATTAAATAATCACAATTTTGTAGCAATTAAATATTTAGTAAAGGAAATTGATGGAATAAAATCACAGATAAAGCGATTTTTCAGAGCATAGAATTTGTGGGAAAATGTATGTAGACATATACTTTGCAGTTATTGAATTGATGCAAAGATAAATTAAAACACAGATGATTCAGGATTGTGTGTTCTTTAATTTTGATAATTTTGATTGTTACACATAATATTGAATATATGGATGAATAAAAATCAAAATTAAAAAAAAAAATGTCATGTCATAGAATACACTCAATGAAACATGTCAATATTTACTATCTACCAATTACCAGTACTTGTTATGCAGAATAGGGACAGAAAATATTATTTGAATCATTGTGGAAGTTACCAACTTCAATTGCTTCATTTTCAGTAAAGACTTTTTACCATAAACATTTAATAGAACTCTTTTCAAAACACGTTTTTCTTAAATAGGTCTTCTAAAAAGTCGTCTTGACACGGACCCTGCATACTCAGTGACTGAGCATCGGATGCCAAACTACACATACATAGATCGGAAGCTGAGGTTATCTGTGACATTTGTATACAGTGATGATGTATCCAAGACCATGGTCGATCAGTTTAGAACATGGTAAGTTGATTCATCATTCTCCTGCCCTTCTTCCAGTTACCTGGGGTCGGCGCAATGTGTTTTCTCCTTCCATATTCCTCTATCATATACCATTTCTTCACATTTCGTCTTTCACGCAATCCATCTACTTTTTCTTAGGTCTACCTCCTCCTCTAAAGCCTTCCACATTCATAGTTAAAACTCTTAACAACCTCATTGTCATTTCGTCTCATTACCATTCCAAGCGCGCACTTCTCAAATTCTCTGTCACAGATTCCACTTTCAGACTTTCCCTAACATATTCACATGGTAACATGGTAAGTTGATTATAGTTATAAAATATTTAACTTACCTAACACGTTACTCAAACTTAACCAACAAATATATCAAATAGACTCATTGCTAACATATTATGAATTATAATCACAAGATTTCATGTAAGATACTGTTACCATTGCTATTGATAGATGAACATTCCCAGGGCCCACCTGACATTTAGATATTTAGTTACTCAGTTCACATCACAACGTCAGTATCGCCAAAGGCTTTCAGACACTAAATACTATACTGGGTGTTAGGAGACCGCTTCCGAAATCGAAGACAGACAATAGTAAACNATATTATGAATTATAATCACAAGATTTCATGTAAGATACTGTTACCATTGCTATTGATAGATGAACATTCCCAGGGCCCACCTGACATTTAGATATTTAGTTACTCAGTTCACATCACAACGTCAGTATCGCCAAAGGCTTTCAGACACTAAATACTATACTGGGTGTTAGGAGACCGCTTCCGAAATCGAAGACAGACAATAGTAAACAAAGTAAATTTTGAGAAGCGCGGTATCAGTGCCCATGCCCGCCGCACCCTGGCGTTCATTGATCCGAGCAACAGCTGTTTTTGATTTTGTGTTGCATTGCTGGTTTTTTTTTAAACTAAAATAATGTATTTTGTATGAAACTATCGTTTTATTTAGCTCTATTAGCATGATGGAGCGTAAATAATTCTAATAAAACGTTTTAAAAATATGATTTTTTTTAAAATCAGGATAATTTTTTTTCCTCCCATCATCAAAGGTGTAATAATAGTACTAAGTTATCGTCTGTCTTCGTTTTCGGAAGCGGTTTCCTAACACTTAGTATAATATATACTAAATTTATTTTTTCGGCGGGTGGACGAGCCTCGGCCTACCAGATACCTAGATTTCGTATGTTCTATGGAAAAGCTCTGAGGAATTGCTTGAGACGAATGGGTCATCTGCTTTTTATCATCGCACCAGCACCACTAAAGATGTCGCGTCTACGACATGGAACTGTAATATTTTAACACAATGCTTTTCATTCTTGCCTCACCTTTCGGCTCTGAATTTTACTTCGCAATATTTCCTGATGACTACGACTAGGACTCTCGGAACGAGGTTTGACAGCCACTGATCGTGAGGCACGAGGTCTAAATCTCAGTTTTACAGCACAACCGCTGCCCTACTCTTCAAACCGAATCGCATTACTGCTTCACAACAGAAATAGACTGGATGGTGATACCTACCCGTGCGGACTCACAAGCCGTCTTACCACCAGCACCTGATATACATATATTGTGCATCTCAAAAAATTATCATATTGGATAATACGAGAACTAAACAAAACTTAACGAGATGATGTTGCATTCAACGTTATACAGGGTGTTACAAAACTACCTTTAAAGTCGAAAAGAGGTTAAATGGGGCCTTATAACGATCCCATTCATAATATTTAAGGTCCGTACCAACGCTGTATAACATACCCCAAAAATAAAATAAAAAAGTTATTATATTTAATGATGTGGAATCCCTACTTCAGTAAAATTAAAGAATAAACTACGCAGAATGTATCTACATTTCAACCTAATTCGCGAATAGACAAAAATATTAAAAGATTTGAAATTGATAACATTTTTTTTTAAACTTGGAGGCCAGTACTAAGGTATAATAACATCCTTGTATTGAGGTAGCAAACATTTATGAATGAAAAATAGAAAAACTATTAAAGTAGAAAATTATTAGGTAAAATAGGTACGTAAGCCTTTCTGTTCAATAATCTAGTTCCCTAATATGACAGCTTACTAGGGTTGTCAAAATTATTGGCTTTGATAATTAGTTATATTTTTTACGGGGTATTTTGTAACACTTTGTAAACATAGTATAAAAATATGTTTTATTAAATTACCTTTGAATACATGTTGCATACATAATAAAATTTGGAAGGTAAGATAGCATATGAATCCTATGTTGATATAGAGAATATAAACCTTTGTATATGCACATAGTTGATTTAGTAGTTGTTTCATTCTTCAAACCGGAACACATGACTATCAAGTGAGATTCATGATCAGATTTCTTGGCAGGCAGCGCTCGGACCAGCCACCTTCTTTGATAGTGGCGTCGACCGGACTACGACTGCTCCGCACGCGGAACACAACAACCTCCCTCCTAGAGGAATACCAGAGGAACCTCACGCGACTGGTCCAAGCCATAGATTCCCTCGCGGCGCGGAACACCCAGGTGCTGTGGAAACTCATGGAGCCGGTTGATGCAGAGAAGTTGAAGAACGAAAACAAGAAGATAACTAATGCTAATATCGACGCTTATAACCGCGCGGCCGTACAGGTAGACTACTAAAATTAATTTCATTTTCATAACCCTTTTAATGCTGAGCTTATTTTCTTATATATAATTATATTTTGCAGAAATCTCTAAATTATTAGATAGTATTAGATCAGCCTTTCCTAAAGTGGGCGATAACGCCCCCTTGTGGGCGTTGTAGGCCTAATGGGCGGCGGTAAGAGACCCAGAAGAAAATGGGGGCTTGTGTCTGTACACAACGCCCGCATTTTCTTCAAGCAGAGAGCTTGAGAGGCTATTTTTAATTTCATCTAGGAATTACTAGGAATTCTTACTCTAAGACACCGACTGAGCTCTCGCTTAAGAAAAAAACTGCCTTCGCGTTGTCTCTGCACAGCTTTTATAGTCGACACGACAAGTCTACAACTATCAAGAACATTTCCAGTAGTACTAATATGTTTCCGCTATTTGATAATCGATGGCGTTACTCTTACCGGCGTAACAGTACGATAAGTGACATGCAGATACTTCTAATTGCTTTTCCGTACATTCAAAGTGGAATGTGATCGAGTTCGACTATCACATTCTGCCCTCGAGTGAGGTTCTGGTGCAGCAGACTTGTAGCCGGGCAGTTGGTTGTCAGATCCTGACGCACAGCGCGGCCAAGGTGTGGGAGTCGGCGCGGCTGATGTGGTCGGCGGCGCAGTCCCCCGAGGGCGCGGCGCTGGGCGGCACGGCGTTGCGACACTCGGCGCAGGTGCTGCTCAACATGTTCTGCAACGACCACATGAACTTCAACGACGGCAGCTGCTGCGCGCAGCCGGAGCCGCACTCGCAGCTGCAGGTGCTCACCTTTGCCGTTTTTTTCGCGTGGTGAGTCGCCTCTTGTCTCCGTCCTTTAGTGAGCGCGCCCTCAGAGCATATGTTTTTTTTTATTTTTATAGCTTTGATAGGTGGACGAGGGTTACTGGAACCCATAGACATCTATAAAGTAAATGCGCCACCCACCTTGAGATAATAAGTTCTATGGTCTTAGTATAGTTACAACGGCTGCCCCACCCTTCTAACCGAAACGCACCACTGCTTGACCGCAGAAACAGGCAGGGTGATGGTACTTACCCGCGCGGACTCACAAGAGGTCCTACCACCAGGAATGTAACTAGCGGCGTGGCACAGCCGTCTCTGATTTTACGTAAAGAACCTATTAGCTGGTAGTCTAAGATCCATCTACGCCCGGATGGGTAGGTGAGCTCACGAACTCAACATGAGAGAATTTTTTAACACATAATGGACTAGAAGGATATTTGATTCCGATCCGGTTGTAGATTCATTCGGAAAGTTTCCTAGTCTTTAACCATTAAAAATGACTAAAGTATAATATATAGGTAGTGTAAGTACATTTTTCTTTTACGGTACTTTTTTTATACTGTAGAAGGAGAAGTTTTCAAAAATTCATAAAGAATAAAAACAATACGTTTTCTTCTAGCGCAGCTTTAGCCGGACTGAAGAGCGCGTGGCACTGGTCGCAGACCGTGCGGCAGCGGCTGGGGGGCTACGCCCTCGTGAGCCAGCAGCCGCCCCCCAGCGAGGAGCCCTCGCCGCTAGTCGCCATTGCAAAGCTCGGGATGATCATGTCGTACTTTTATTTGTGCGACAGAACAAATTTCTTCATGAAGGAGAATAAGTATTATTCGGAGTGGAGCTTCTGGTTGCCCGTGGGCTACGTGTTCGCTCTGGGCCTGTTCTTTACCGAAGACTCCAAATCTACTAGGTGAGAAACTGGGACAATTTTATTTGTATTGTTTACATTGTAAAAATAATCAGACTCTATTTGTGCGTAACAAAATCCTTCTTAAGTCTTATTGCTTGTACGGTCCAAATGCAACCCCTGCTCCCACTTATAGAATAGGGAGGGATTATTAAGTATCTATGATTGTATATTTAAAGTTCCAATGACATTACTGCTTACCGCTTGGATATATTCAAATGAAGAGTGCTATTATTTTTGAACTTGTAAATTATCTTCATCTTCTTCTTCCTCTTGCCCCCATGCCACATTGTGCTGGTTTTGTGATGCAACCGTGCTACGGATGGAGGGACTTCCTCTCTTTGTTTCTTCTTTTAGTGTACCTTTACTTCATCCGTTTTTGATTATAAATGTTTTAATTTTTGATATTATAAACCTCTAATAACCTTTATTTCATCCGTTTTTTATTATATGTTTTACTTTTTGATATTGTAAACTTCTAAAATTGTGTTATTAACTAAGAACTATAAAGTCAAAGTGATGTCCCAAAATATAAAGTCTAAGTGATGGTCCAAACGTTACAGAGTTCTCCACCGCGAACAGACGCTGGAGTGGAAAGGCTGGATGCAAATCGTGATCCTCATATACCAGGTGACCGGAGCCAGCAAGGTCCTCCCCATCTACATGCTGGTCCGGACGCTCGTCTCCTCGTATCTGTTCCTGACGGGCTACGGGCACTTCTACTACACGTGGAAGACCGGAGACACGAGCCTCGTGCGATACTTGAGGGTGATGTTCAGGTTGAACTTTCTGACTGTGGTCCTCTGTCTGACGATGAACCGGCCCTACCAGTTCTACAGCTTCGTGCCCCTGGTCTCATTCTGGTATACTTTGGTAAGTCACTGGTCGAAATTACTATGAGCTTTAGTTATTGTGGGATAGTTAGGATGATTGGTGATTTCTTAATTGCAAGACTTAGAGTTAATAATTGTTTTACAATGACAAAGTTAAATATTTAATATTCATATTTCTTTCGGTTTCATAGATGAGTGTTGGAGCTCATGGCTCACCTGGTGTTAAGTGGTTACCAGAGTCTATAGGCATTAATACCGTAAATGCCGCCAATTGCCTTTAGATATGGGGTCTCCGTTGTGTAGTACAACAGCTGCCCCATCCTTCAAACTCGATACGTTATTCAAATAACCAGACCGTGGCATTTTTTTTGCCCGTGCAGGCAGACTATCATACGGCCCACCTGGTGGTAAGTGGTTACCGTGGCTCATGGCAATGCCGGGGACAGCCGCTACCTACCGCTAAAACCGCTTAACCATGCGGGCTCACAAGATGCTCTGAGCAGGAATTGAAACGGAATATCGTATACACGTGATAGAGATGATTGTCCGACCTTGTTACTAATTGAAATTTTTAATCCATGAAAAAATCTATGGGTTTGCTGAAAAAAAACCCCATCTAAAACGATACACTATTTCGTCCACCCGACTAGACCATCAAAAACTTTAACATTCACAATATTGTTCCAATTCGTATTTCAGATGTTTGTGATATTCGCTCTGCCGCCGCACATCGCGCCCTCCTCGACGCACACGGTGGAGTCCAAGCCGTACCAGTACCTCTATATCGCTGCTAAGGTCAACTGATGTCCAATCACTAGTAAAGTTTCCCTATGCTAGGGCTGGCACTCTATGTAACTGAAAGGTGACAAAGGAATCAAGGTTGCCAATTCATATAAATGAGGGATGAAAAAACTAGTTCCCTTGTGACTGGTTTCTTGCTGTGTGATGACTGTCTATGTGTATCTAACCGATATATGAAAAGCTTTATAGTATTGTGTTTTACATTTAAATAAATGTCGTCTGGTCACGACTACCGCCTCCAGTGAGGATCATTTAAGTTCGTCTTGTGTCCTTAGTGCGCGTCACCTGCCGCGGCCCCTTCTCTCTTGTATGTATCCGCTCGGGACCTTCGCTATTCTCACCGCAAGCCCTCCATTTCAATATGAATCGGGGGCCACTCATTCACGTATGCACTGTTTATTTCAGATCATCGGCCTGCTGGTGATAGTGACCGTGCTGTACCTGAGCGAGGTGTTCTTCCAGAAGATCTTTGTGACGAGGCCGTGGAAGGCCTTGTTCGTTAATTCCGACGACGACATACATCAGTGGTGGCTCATGTGGAAGCAGGACAGGTGTGTTGGTTTTAGAAAATTTTGTTTATAAACAGTTGTAGCTCTCTCTGAGCTCAGTGCGGCGACGGGCAGTGGCCGGACATACGCATGTACAGCCGACGGTCGCAGGCGGGTTCTTGAAGGGGCCTACCGACCACGTGGGCGACGGTTTACATTGGGAGATGTCTATGTCCAACGGTGGACGATTGTGGGCTGATGCTGATGATTATTCGGAAATTCTCGTCATAATCACTGTGAAAACAAATGTTCTATCTGATGTAAAATGGAGGAAGAATTTGAAGATTTTTTTTTAAAAGGGATTTTATGACCTGTTAACTAACCTTTAAGTCATGTCTTATTTTATTTTATATTTTTATTTTTATGAAAAATGATAATATGGAGTAAAATGAAATGAAATGAAGTTTGAGACATTAATCAACTGGGATGAAATTAAATGAAATGAGATGATATGGGATGAAATGTAATCTTAGTAAAATGGTGGTATTTACTGAGATTTTTTCAGTGGACTTTTTGGAGGATCCCGAGAGGTTACGTCCAGCGGCTTTGTTTCATTTTCCCATATTTGTGCACTTTCACAGATATTAAACAGTTAATAAACCACCGTTATTACACATTTAAACCCGAAGAAACACTAAATAGACAAAATAAAACAAATCACACAACTTCACTCCTTGCGTTCCCGCCAAAAAGTCAAGAATTTGAAGAGTAGGGTGTGTCTGTAGGTACTCGGTGGCGTACGGCATGATGTTCGCACTGCTGTACCTGCTGGGGCAGCGGCACGGGCTGCTGGAGGAGGGCGCGCGCGGGCCGCTGGTGGCGGGCGGCGGCGCGCTGGCGGGCGCGCTGCTGGCGGCGCTGGGGCTGGGCGCGTACGGGCTGCTGGTGGCGCTGTGCAGCAGCCCGGCCGCGTGCGACGAGATCCACAGCTACGCGGCGTGCGTGCCGCTGGCGTCCTACGCGGCGCTGCGCAACCTGTGCGGCGGCCCGCGCGCCAAGCACTCGGCGCTGTTCGCGGCGGCGGGGCGCGTGGCGCTGGAGCTGTACGCCAGCGTGTCGCACGCGTGGCTGGCGGCCGACACGCACGGCGTGCTCGTGCTGCTGCCCGCGGCCCCCGGCCTCAATCTGCTGCTCACCTCGTACGTGTTCGCGTGCGCCGCGCACGAGACGCACCGCCTCACGCTGCTGCTGCTGCCCCGGGCCGTGCCCGACGACTGGCGCCTCGTGCTGCGGAACCTCGCCATCTTCCTCGCCGTGCTCGTGCCCATCGGAATGTACGACGGTATGTTCTGAACCCATCCTCGTTAAGTACGGCTACTTGTATTTAATTGTATAAAAGTGCAGCCTCTCATCATTATTATTGCGTGACCATAAACAATTTTGAAATAATAACAAATTTATTTTTGAATGTCAAACTTAATAACATACACTTGAAACATGCAGAAGTCTAACTTCTTGGACGGGAGAGAGGAAACTACCGTGCTGTTTTTGACAAAAGCATTGTAATTTTTTTCTTATCAAATCTGTGTTTTTATTATACGAGTTTTTTACACATACGTATAAAAAAAGCCAAAGAAAAAGCATATGAATGCTTAATTACTATTTTTGTGAAACTTTAGTCACACAATTAAACATAAATAATTACAATTAAGAACTTGCAGTTCACTTGTTGTGTGTTCTCACCTCAAATGACGTCACACGTAACGTAACGAAGTTCAATAACGTTCAGACGAGCTTCGATAAGCTCGCGCAAGAATTTTGTAATAAGCGTGTCCTCATCCAGGTCCGTATTAGTGTAGAATGAACAACGAGTGTAATATTTAGCTTAGTCTGCAGATTCGTTTTTTAAATTTAAATATATTTGTGTACTTAATGCGCTGTTCATATGGTTTGTGATGTGATAATATTGTTTCATCAATATGTCATATCTGCTTTTCATGCAATTCGCTCTTATCTATGTGCTGCTCTGTATTTTTGAAGTTTACTCTTGAAGCATGCAATGTCATTTAAGCCCACATACCCATACATGCATAATACATAAGAAACATAAATGTATCTACATACGCATAAGACATAATATTTGGCGGGTAGTTTGGCGATTGTTGACATAAACTAGTTATGTTTTTCATTCAAATTCATGTAATATTAATATACATGAGTAAATCAAAGTCGGGTTTGTTCGAACACTTATAACTCGAGAACGGCAGGACCGATTTTTATGGTCTTTGATTTGTTGTACACATTTGTCTCCGTCCCGAATAGCAGAATAATGATAATAACAAAAAAAACAAAAAAATTTATAGAAAAAATATTTCCCATACAAAATGTTCATGGATTTTGTTACTGTCAAATATTTAATGTGTAATGTTGTAAATAATAATGTATTCTACAAAGTCGTAGTACATTATTTTATTCTATCATCAATAGTTTTCGCAGGGCACGCGATATAAAGAATATTTTAGGTAATTTTTTTTTCGTAAGTTTTCGTAAGGATCCCTAATTTTTTTCAAAAAAAATTATAGCCCATATCACTCGGGAATAGCTTAGCTTCCAAACAGTGAAAGAATTTTTCAAATCGCTTCAGTAGTTTCGGAGCCTATTCAATACAAACAAACAAACAAAACTTTCCTCTTTATAATATTAGTATAGATTGTATTAATGTACCAATATTAAACATAGATGGCAGCGGTTCAAAACGTTTCTTGAATCATTAACAGTGTTAAAAATAGCTGTAGGTACTAATTACAATTTTAATTAATTAAGTCGTTAAATTAATTCTGTCAGTGGTTATCTAAGTAAAATATATCTAAATTAGATAAGTTTACGTATTATATGTACCTGATAATAGATGGAAGAATATACATTATTTATGTAGCATCATTTATGTATAATATTTTATCGAGCCAATTTAAATAAATATAAATTTATGATTAGAACTTTTTTCTAATTAAATCGTAATGTCAGTTTCTAGAACAGATTCTTTACGCTTCTATCACATGAGTGAGCTCGTGCTCATGATAGAGCTTGATGCATGCTTGATTGATGCAAGCATGATGAGCTTAGAATATACATATTATAGAAACGATTTGTACATTCTAAATCCCATATTTTTGTTTATTTAGTTTATGTTTTTTTTAGTTGGGATTTTTCTTAAACGAGAACAAACGAAAGTGTGCCTTTCGGCCATTACTGAAAATAAAATATTTAATGTTATGACCAAATATTATTAATAAATGCAGTTATGTAATCGGGGGAACAATATATCATCTAATAATAATAGGAAAATAATGTTTGCCATAATTTTCTGTTAGATCAATGTTACAAGCGTCTACAATCCATATGTAAATACGCAAAACTTAACGTGCTCATATAAAACTGCTGATTGCCGTTGATTGATTCGATGCCGTTTGCTAGTCTGTGCTTCTCAACATTTTTTTTTCCATGCTTAAGCTTTTAAAAGCTTTTGAAGAGTTTTATTTTTAACAGATTTTTAAATAGAAAGATATGAGTTAGGTACTATTTTCTCCTTTTGTTTGTCTATAAGCTTTTGGTAGTTAGCTATTCATGATCTCTGATGTTATCAATTTTTTTTTTAAATAGACAAAGGTCTCGTTGTCAGGCCAAAGAAATCTTCAAAAAAAATCTTGAAAAAGTAAAACTTCTACTACTACTCAAATGTTTTATCTAATTACTATGTATTTTCCGACTACAAATATATTAATATAACATAATTTGCACAAAACCGACTTATTATTCCTCCTGACCGTGGATAAACCTTGTGCAAGATATTTGGTATTCGTTCTGTTAGAATTGAAATTGTCTATGTGTTTCTGGTGTCTGTAATGCATTAGAAAATTCTAGTTTTAGTGGCCATCGAGAGTGGCTCATTTAGTATTAATTTATTAGTATTCTAACATTGTTCTGTTCTCATTCACATCTTCATAATCTTTTTTGTTTTATTTTAAAATGCACTGTGATTTTTAATGTAAGTAATTGTATATTGTGAAAAGTCTTGTGTGATGAATTCATTGGCAATAAAGAAAATTGTAAACATACAAAAAGTTTTCTTATATCTATAACATTTTCTACGTGTATATTTGTGAAATAAATAATAAAATAAATTTGCCTCTTTATTAACTGATTTATTAATATACAATATGTATTATGACGTAAGCTTTTGTCTGGTGGTAGGACCTCTTGTGAGTCCGCACGGGTAGGTACCACCACCCTGCCTATTTCTGCCGTGAAACAGCAATGCGTTTCGGTTTGAAGGGTGGGGCAGCCATTGTAACTATACTGAGACCTTAGAACTGATATCTCAAGGTGGGTGGTGCATTTACGTCGTAGATGTCTATGGGCTCCAGTAACCACTTGACACCAGGTGGGCTGTGAGCTCGTCCGCACATATAAACAATAAAAAAAAGCTAATTTAAATGACGACTGCAAAATTGCTTTTTTTAATTACTTTTTGGGTCGTCGTCGCCGTCGATTTTATTACTGGTGGTAGGACCTCTTGTGAGTTCGCACGGGCAGGTATCACCACCCCGCCTATTTCTGCCGTGAAGCAGCAATGCGTTTCGGTTTGAAGCGTAGAGTAGCCGTTGTAACTATACTGAGACCTTAGAACTTATATCTTAGGGCGGGTGGTGCATTTGCGTTGATGTCAATAGGCTCCAGTGATCACTTAACACCAGGTGGGCTGTAGCTCGTCCACCCATCTAAGCAATAAAAAAACCTGATGTTAAGTGGTTACCAGATCCTATAGACATCAACAACGTAAATGCCGCTACCTACCTTGAGACTTGAGATAATATTACAACGGTTGCCCAACCTCTCAGACCATAACACATTAGTACTGTTCGTATAGTAGTATAGATAGTAAAACGTTGGTAGGGTTCTAAATTAGTTATATATTGTTACTGGTGCTAGGGAGTTTGCCCGCACATAGAGGCTCCACCATCCTAATTATCTATGCCATGAAGAGATCAGTTTTTTTTATCGCCTCTGTAGGCAGACGAGCATACGGCCCACCTGATGGTGAGTGGTTACGTCGCTCATGGACGTCAGCAATGCCAGGGGCATAGTCAAGCTGCTGCCTACCGTAGAAATGTTCAGCTTTTTTTGTTGAGACACTCCACTATTAAGATGGAAATTTTGGAAAAAGATTCGAAATGCAGTTTCACTATAAAAAATAAGCAAGAAAATCGAAGTTTTGGCTTCTTGTTCCAAAATAAAAACCATATATAAAAGTGAAACCACAAATTAACAAGCAAAAGTTTTATTTTATTTTTAATCGTAACTTACATCGTGATTGGGACGTTCCGTGAACATTCGTAAATAAGTACAGTGTGATGTATATTTACATTTAAATAATATTCATAATAATAACATTGCTCATCAACAGCTTTGATTTTCAGGTATTTTTATAAGCAGTGCGACCCTTAATTCTCAAATATGGTAGGACTTAAGGATAAGTTTTAACACTGTAGATCTAATTTATTTTAGTTTTAATGACCCGGCGATATTTTGGCGATGTTGCAAATGCCACGACTGCAGACAGACTGGGTAGAATGTTATGAAGCGATAAATCTATCAAACCTCTTTCTGGTCCGTTTTCGGGTGTTACCAGTGGAACATTAAATGTATTATTATCTATGAGTGGTGGTGAGAAAACGGATGGTTTCCTTTGTATGGTATAGTATTGTTTGATATAAACTTATGTCTAACATAAAAGCACAAGAGAAATTCAGTTTTTTTATATCATGCTATTTATATGCTGCGCCAAATGAATCCACGTCTACGTCGAAACTCGTTCAGTAGTTCCGGAGATGAGCATCAACAAAAATACAAAAAAATTCAAAGAATAGTTGGTTTGTGGTCTGTTATTGTTCTTTGGTTACCTACCCTCTTTTATTTGTATTACTTGTCTTCAATGTAATCTCATTGTTTTATTATGCGACTTTATTATAAAGATTTTTATGTACGGAAGAAACAAAAAAATAAGGTATGCCCCGAATTGAGAATCTTTTAAATTTTTTAAATCCGTTTACAACGGTAGGTTTTTCACTATAATTTTATTTTTGAAATCCTGATTGATAATCGGCAAATTTTTTTTAATACTCTTTCTATGTCTTTATCTACCTAATGGCAAGTATTCACTGATGTTCATAAATAATCATCTAATCAAAGCCAACAGCCGAGTGGCAGTCAATCGCTCAGCAGCCGATATATCGATATATCGTCTCTATTGCAGAGTTTATTTTCATTCAATATTCAATTCATCATTACGTCAAAGGCGAATAAACGAATTTGATTTTGTATATTAATCATTATACATGAATGGGGAACCCTGACATGCCTGTTCATCAAATTTAATATATTATAATAATCTTTAGCTTAGACCATTTCGTTTTTTATTTAGTATCGATTATGTTAGAGATCCAAAATACAGAATCATAGAGACTACATTTATGTGTATCAACGAGGTTTGTGAGCCGATATGAATGGTGGTATATGTATACCTACATTTTTTAAATCACTTATTTTAATTTTTTTCTAGTTTCATAGTTTTTAGATTGCAAATATGAAAGATCGAAAGATCGACGCTTGGATTCCTTTAAGTCGCGACAACTACACATTTGCTTTATGATTGCAATTTGTTTGAAATTATACTTTTTTGATGTGATAATTCTAGACGACTTCAATATAAGAGCTGGCTACTAGTAACTGTTTCGGTAGTACATCGTGGTTAGCGTGGTAGTGTATAGGTATTATATAGTGGGAAACAATAACCACAAGTTTTTCTTTAATATACAATTTGCCGATTTTCTCTGCAAATTTTGTCCGCGTAATGTAAACCACAAATATAAAATGAATGATCATAAGACAACTAAATGATTACAGTTACATAATCTATAATTTTTTATAACAATTCTATTTTAATAGCGGAATGGCTTCGCGCCTTTTGCACTTTAGATAGTGTCGTAAAAACTGTGTTCTTATTCATCACGAATACAACATCCATTTTAATTAGTTGTACATTAAGTATTGCTACGGATATCCCAAGCTTACTTTACTTACACTTCTCATTTTATTAATCTGGATGTAATTAGAAATTAGAAGCTCTTTTGCCTAGTTCAACGATTGCGTCCAAACTTCAATGACAGTATTATAGTTATATAAAATCGATGAGAAATTCATATCGACTAAAATCATAATGCATGTTGAGAACAAAAAAAACAGACTGTCACAGATATATACTGTAGCTAAAACCGCCATTAATAAAACTGAGAGGTAAGTTTAAATAGTAAATTTGAGATTTCAGTAGAGGCCTTATATTGATAGAAGGCACAAGGATACAGATAAACATACAAAACGTTCATTCGGCATTCGTGACCACGAATTTGATTTCGACCCGAAATAACTTGGTAAAATTACTAATGCCTTTTTACCGTTATACTTACTAAAGTTTTGATTCGATACAGATAAGTCAATATNTGAGAGGTAAGTTTAAATAGTAAATTTGAGATTTCAGTAGAGGCCTTATATTGATAGAAGGCACAAGGATACAGATAAACATACAAAACGTTCATTCGGCATTCGTGACCACGAATTTGATTTCGACCCGAAATAACTTGGTAAAATTACTAATGCCTTTTTACCGTTATACTTACTAAAGTTTTGATTCGATACAGATAAGTCAATATTCCACAAGTTTCACAGTAGAATTCGCGGCAATGAATGTCAAACGATCACACAGACAACATAAGGACACAATAATAAGCATTAGTTTTACTTTAAGAAAATCAGTCTCAATGTACAGGCCCTTTTAAATTATTTTTCTCGTAATTTTAGTTAACTATTTTTACACAGAAGCGCTAAATGTTGCTCGGGGTAATTGTGCTTCCAGAGACCTTGACTTGATCGAGGAGGACTGAGTTAAGAATATACTGAATCTGGATTCTTAGGAAAATTGATAACACATAGAATAACAATGGAAAAAATAATTGGATTGAGTACGAATTTCTAAATAATATACCTATAGACTAAAAATAAAACGTAAAAAAAGAATTAAGAAATACTCATAATGCATAAAGGTCTCCCCTAATTAAATTTGTGTTACAGTCACATTGCGGAACGGGACAAAACGTGGGATTCCTAGTTGTACGTTGAGACAAAATGAAAAGGAACGATGCGTGTACATAAATACTCGTATTAAAGACTAATATTTACATAATAAGCGTAATGCAAAACACATAATATAAGCATACAATAAAAATAGCACATAGAACGGAAATAAGAACGTAGTGCACGAAAAGTTAATCTCAGTCTTTAAACAGTCAAATCACATCATATTATTGCTGAAACTGCATTTTAATCGTAATCACTATGCCGATGGAGGCATTTCATAACTCTCCCTTTCCGAACCTTCAAAAGGACTCATGTTCGGTCGGAAAGTTATGACACACTCTTTAACCCTTTGACTGTCATTTAGGTCACCGGTGTCCTACTTGGCGCACTGAAGTAATTATGTCGATTTCTGTTACTAGGGCGCCGGAATATCTAGGAGACTCTGGGAAAGACGAATTCGAAGATATTGAGAATGAATGTATATCTAAACGACCTAAAATACTAAAACATACATTAAGAACAAAAGAAGGCAAATTTAGGCAATCCAAGCGCTTAGTAAAAGAAGTCGACATTATTCAGTGCGCCGTGTACGGCACCGGTGACCTACACAGCAGTAAAAGGGTCAAAATCTAATCTATAGGTCTAAATTTCGTTTACTATTTTGAAAATTAGAAGCTACTACACAAGGAATTATGAATAGTCATTGACGAAGGTTTAAATATAACGGGAAATTCTTGAACATTACTTATTGAATTAACTGTTTTATTTCGAAGGATCGAATCTAAGAATAAAACGAATGCATTCAATTTAACATTACGATATAAATATAACTAGTATTGCAGTGTCCTATTCTATTGGTGCGTTAGGTATTAACTATTAGCAAGAATCAAATTTACTCTACAATTATAGAATAAAGATTACAATAATTATGATTAGTATCATTTTGTATATAAGTTTAAAACGCGTTTAGTATACAGTTTTTTTGGGCCTTTTGTTTTTTTGTTTTTTTTTTTATATACCGTAACTTACAATATAGCTTATTCAATTAGTGTAAAGTTTATTATAATTATAAAGGAATAATAATGAAAACAAAACTCTCTCGTGTTGTTCAGAATATAAATATATATGTTTTAAATTCATTTAAATATATATATATGTCTATATAATATATTATACAAAATAGCAAAGAGTGCGAAAATGATTTCATAAAATATGCATTTGAGCAATACGATATCTAGACATATTTACAAACACATAATGCTTACTTTAATACAACATAAATAGAAAAACAAAATCAAGTGGAAGCAAGGTAAACTACGAATAAAATTATTTTTCAATAAAAGAATGACTATCTACTTACTGTTTTACTCAACAATTTACATTAATATATCAATTAAATCACTAAGAAATATCTACAAACAATTAATTAATTATTGCTATCAATGAAAGTTATTTACAACATTATAATTACTAGTTTATCGAGACATCAAAATTGAACAAAATACAAATCATAAAATCTACGATCTCGCGTATCTAATCAACTTGTTTCTACTAATTTCGGTAACGTTCTAATATTATTTTATATAATTATCTATATATCACATAATTATTAGAATATTGTAAAACATTTATAACGTTTTCATTTTCAGGTTCGTCATATCTAAATTCCCATTTTCGTAGAGGGATTTAATGTAGAACACTCTAGTTGAAATATATCCTCAGAACGTCATCTCAATAATATATCAATACGAATTTTTGGTCTTAATCTGAATTATCGTGTCCCGCACTAGCGTTTAGAGTCCTCGTGTCCTCGCTGATCAGCGATCTATCGTATCGTCTTTGCCTGGTGATTTTCGGTCTTACGTTACTTAACATAGGGGCTGATATTGCGTGGCTCGACAGACGACAATCCTTCCTGCCTTGTAGTAGTGGGGACGTGACACTCGAGGACTCGTCTCCTTCGTCGTCCGAGAGCGCCGGGTAGCTTTCCTTCATCTTTAAGCTCCTCTCCAACCGTCTAAGGAATCTGTGAATTTCAAACCGTTAGTGCTATACTAAATTTATTCGTTGTATTGAGTGTATTGGGCAAGGATTAATAAGATGTTCAGTTCGGAGACTAAAGCATATTCGGATTACAGCGGAATGTACTATCGAAAGCCCCACAATCCCGAGACTGAGGAAGTCCACTGAGTTTCTCGCCGGATCTTCTCAGTGGGTCGCGTTTCCGATCCGGCGGTAGATTCTGCGAAGCACTACTCTTGCTAGGGTTCGTTTTAGCAACACCTTTTCATTACTTTTTTGCAAAAGCACAATTAGTAGTTCATAGGAGCTTTGCAACAGAATTTTCGTGCTATTTGGAGCACCGAAATGATATGGTCACTAAATATAGATGGTTCAGTGTCATTCCTACCTAATTTGATTACTGATGGTCCTTAGTTTGTTGACTTTGACAGGTTTCCGCGTGTCTTCGGTCAGATCCAAACTCGAGGATATCTTTGACGAGGTGTCCTGTAACAGAATTACAGATATCCTCAATATAAAATGTTTTATTAAGTAATTCACGTTTAACAATTGATCATGCTTTATAAACAACAATGAATGGAAGGATCATGTTTTACGGACACCATTAAAATAAGGTTTTGAATGCATCCGCGCTATAACTAATCGTTTTATAGCTTAAACAGCTTAGTTTCAAGCATTGACTGCGGCAATTTGCTGCAGTATCTTTATGTACGTGTGCGAGGTTTTGTAAAGGACATGCGAAATAAAAAGCGTTGATCCTTATTTTAATGATACCAGCTCTGCTACATCATGCTACGCATTACTTAAATCTAGAATCCTAGAAGAGATAGAAGAATAAGACCATAGTTATATGCTTAAACTTAAAGTATTGCTCAATTGACTTACCGCGTGAATTTATGATGAATATTGAGAACGTTCAGTTAATGATGTTTTACTACAATCGAAAATTGTAATTTACAGAAATTATTACTAATTCAAACCGATCTAATTTCAGATAATAAGAAACTAAAATTTACATCTATTAGCAAACTCATTCTATGTAATTCATCTATATAGGTCATTCTTCGGATAAATAATATGATGTATTTTTATAACCAAGTCTCTCGTACATTCCCGATACCTACGTTTCATATTGTGTTCTAATTATAACCAACAGTATCGAACCAAACTCAGGCATTTTCGAATATTATTAAAATCACCTCCGAGCTACGGCATTTTTGTCTTCGTAGCGGTTTCCGGTACCGCGTCGGCTCACATTGCTGAAAATAATCCAACCGACTACATACAGCCTAAACGCATCAAATAAATTCTCAAGCTCAAATAAAACGCATCTTTACAAAATCGATTAAAGTGCTTCTATATCCAAGTGGAAATTATTAAAAAAAAAAAGGTGCAAAGTGACAAAAACAATATTGATCTGATACAAATATCGTGAAACATTATAAAATACTGCAATGCATTTAAGTGTTTTATAGTTTGAATTTTGTAATTAAATTGGGCCAATTTTCAGTATTGAATATGAAATTGGGTTTTTATGTAAAAAACAAATTTCTAAAGTTAGACTGCAGCATTTTTGCATTTTGAAACTGTAAGCAAAAAGGCGAAAATCTAAAAAAGTTTCAGAGATATCAAAAATATGTGAAGAGATTTAATTTAAGGAGTTTTTAATGAAAATAAATTGTTTTCGATCGCATTCTTAACTACCCACCACAGTTTTTTTGTTTCCAGTCAACAAAAAACTTTGTATTCCTTTACAATATAAAAAAAAAGATAAGACCGACCATTATCTCGCATACGAATGAAGTATACTTTTTGTTGTGTTTAGTATTTGACCGGTATAACAATGTCATTGTCTATACCTATTTTAAGTGAACCTTAATTATATATTTATTAAGTATAAATTTATTTGAACGTCGGTTTTGTATTTATTTTGATGGGCTTGATCCCTTTACCTTTACTGTAATGTAAATGCGGGCGGAATCTAAGACATGAAGTTTCAGTAGTCTTACGAACTACGACCGTCCTGCCCTTCAAATAAGACATTTCACAAACAGATATAAGCATCACAAAATGTTAGGCCCCACAATGTTCTCTACTAAAATTATATAGTGATAATGCAACTTGAAATACGAATGGCTACCTGCATCTCCAAGTCAGGTAAGCGCAGCTCCCGCGCGGATGCGACTGAGGCCACCGATGCGTTGGAGACGGAGTCCTCGGAGGAGGAGGAGGGGGGCGCGGGGGCCTGCGACCGCGACCGTCGCCGCCCGCTCTTGCGACACCGGCCCGACGCGTCGCGGCTACCAGGCACCTACGTGTTTGCGAGAGACAAATATTACAAGATGCTCTTGTTAGGGCTAGTCTTAGCAGCGTCACCAGCATGCTTAGTGTGAGTTTTTTAACGTTCTCGATAGCGTAAAAGTTAACTCAAATTTGTATGCAGTTGGAACAGCGCCCCTAGCGGCAAACGTTGGAAAACTTTTACGCTATCGAGAACGGTAAAAACTCACACTAAGCACACTGATTAGAGCACCGTGAGCTATAATATAGTAATAAGTAGGATTTTTTTTATTAAAAAGATAAACTTAATTTTTTCGACTTCTACATAACTATACATAATTACTGTATTAATTTATGAGAAGTATAATGTAGACGAACCTCAAGTAAATTGTGCATAGAATGCGGCATGTGTGGTAGTGTAGATTTTGTCGTTCCCGCAACTTCGTGCGAAGCCGTCCGCGATGTCCGCCTATCTCGTTTCCGACCGCTCTTCTTTTGCGAGCTACCTGCTGACTTACAACTAGATCCCTTCACACAATCCGAACTCGGAAAGTCATATATGCCATCGGAATCCGTGAACGGCAGTTGACGACCATAAAACTGAGGTGAGAACCTACCTAACCCGGTCTTATCGCTTAGAGGACTTTCACTCCTAGAACTAACGGGGCTCAACGGTCTGCTGCCTTCGGAAAGTAAAGTCGGCGGCCTTAAGCAAACTTTTTCGTCCAAACCTCTTTCAACACTAATGCACTTCACTATTGAACACTTGGTCACTCCGCTCGGGGAACATAAAGTCGTTTGAGGTACGTCTAGAGTCTCTATAAGCCCGACCAGTTCCATTTCCTTAGCGCTGACAGGCACGTCATCAACTCTCTCATCAGTGCCTATTCCTTCATCGTTAGACTCAAGCAGAGGATCGTCTGATAATGTCTCTGAGTCGGACCTGCCTCTTCTTCGCTCTTTGGAATCGTCGTTGGAAGCAGCAGGACTGGAGTTAGTTTTCATTAACGGTCGTCTCCTTTGAAAACAAGAAGGCCCGCCTCCGGAACCCGGGTCTTCCATTTCTGAAGGACAAAGGGGGTTACTGGAACCGCACCTCGAAGGTCCAGGACTCGCCATTGAACTGTATCCCGACGACGAGAGGTTTGATTCGGACGGAGCTCGTTCACCTCTCGCTGACATGGAGAAGGGACTTAGATAGCACATGTTGGCGCTGGGGGGTGGGGGTCGTGGAGATATTGGCTCGTCGGATTCTTCACTAGCGTTGTAGGTTACCGTTATCAAGGGAGGAGGCTGAAATTCAAGGTGGGGTGGAGTGCGTCGTGGTGGGGGGGAACCAGGGGAGGGTCGTTCGATGGTCAGGAGAGGAACCCTCAGAGATGGAGGAGCTGGAGATGGCGATGACATCTCGCGCTCCGAGTCCTGACTGTGCGTGAAGCTCGGGCTCGGCGAGTCTGTCACGTGGGTCGACGGGGTTGGTGTGTCAGCATTTAATGCCGGCTGACGTAACTGCAAAATTAGACCAAAATATTATGATTTCTCTCGTTATTTGCGGCGTATTGGATAATATCATTACAACTATGTACTGTTGTACTAACCTTCAATCTTAGGCCAATTGGAGACCTCTCAGGTTTGTCACATTTAATTTCTTCAAGCTCGTCTTCACTGGGCGAGATGCAAGTTGTTGTTGATTCACTTTTATTATCTATATCCATACAAGCTCGCGGCATCCGAGGGGATGGAAGTGGTGTAGGTAGAGGGGTAGGCAAAGGGGTAGGTAAGGGCGTGGGCAGTTCCCTAATGGGAGATAAGCATTTGTTCATGGAACTAGGAACTTCGAGTAGAATGGAAGGTGGGTGGAGAAGGTTGCTGCCAGATGATGCTGATTTGTGGGCACTTAATGGATCCAAGACCTAAAAATCCAGTGAATAATTAATATTACACTTTTGCATAATGCTAGTGCTGTTTATTTGTAATAATGANGTAGGTAAGGGCGTGGGCAGTTCCCTAATGGGAGATAAGCATTTGTTCATGGAACTAGGAACTTCGAGTAGAATGGAAGGTGGGTGGAGAAGGTTGCTGCCAGATGATGCTGATTTGTGGGCACTTAATGGATCCAAGACCTAAAAATCCAGTGAATAATTAATATTACACTTTTGCATAATGCTAGTGCTGTTTATTTGTAATAATGATAATGATATTTCGCCGATAGGTGATTACTGGTGGTAGGACCTCTTGTGAGTCCGCACGGGTAGGTACCACCACCCTGCCTATTTCTGCCGTGAAGCAGTAATGCGTTTCGGTTTGAAGGGTGGGGCAGCCGTTGTAACTATACTGAGACCTTAGAACTTATATCTCAAGGTGGGTGGCGCATTTACGTTGTAGATGTCTACGGGCTCCAGTAACCACTTAACAACAGGTGGGCTGTGAGCTCGTCCACACACCTAAGCTATAAAAAAAAAAAAAAGTGCAATCGTCTCTAGGACGAGAGTATAAAAATTGTTAAGTCGAAATATGAAATAAATTAGGGTGTCGCTTATCTGATATGCCGAAGAAGACGATTCTATTACAGTTCTGTACAGGAGTTACAAACTTATGTAGTTAAAGTTTGATGAGTGATTTACCTGGATTTCAATAGTATTATGTGGCCTTGTGATTGGCGAATCGGGTGCCAAAGATGGTATATGTGAAGAAGCCAGAGAAATGTCGTCAGCATCATTTGTATCGTCTTGAGGAGAGGAAGCTGAAGGTGTACTGGAAACGGAAATACCTCCAGACGATGCCCTGGATACAATGGCAACTGATGACGAAGAGAAATTGCGGAACATCGCCAAGATCGAGTCCGCGCTGGAGATTTTTGGAGTTCTGTGAACAAATAGTACAGTTCCGTCTAAAATAACGGATAAATTCCATGGACGCATATTACTTAAAAACAGTTACATTGGAAATCTACGTAGTGATAATGTTATATATATCATTGCACTCTATTACAATTAACCATAACTTTTAAGTGCAATTTTAGAAGTTTTCTTAAAGACCTTTTCACGAAGTGCTTTTGAAAATTGGAACTCGGATTACTGGAGTACTGATTACCTTGAATATTTTTTTAAAGCGCCATTCGCCAACGTCAAATCGAGACTGGACATTGAGTCGCTTCCTTGATTACTGGACGTGCTGTGAGGGGACCTGATCTCGACGCCTGGCGACGGAGGAGTGCTGGATGCTTTGGCTTTCATTCCTCTATTAGCTATAACCGCCATCGGTATCGCGATAGTGTTCACCATATCGACATCGGAACTAGAACTCATTTCCGCTGATACTTTATTGAGGAGCCTCGCAAATGTGACTTTTTTCTCGAGCTTAGGGTCCGGAATGTGTCTCATGGAAGGTGATGTGGATGGACTAGAGGCCTCACTAGCGAAAGATGTCTCCTTATTCTCAACTCCGTAGTCCACAAATGCCGGGGCGCTCTCCACAGTACTTAAGGTTCTTTTTTCCGACATCTGTATCAGTTCACCCATCGTGATCTTCTTGGTATGATCGTTGGCCGACGCGGGACTTATTAGCTGTTGTAATATCTGTTTCTTTTCGGCGGCATTTTTCTTTGTCGGTGTTGAATTGTTACGTTTTTTACGGGGCGACGGTGTTCCTGTTTCAGAATTCTCATTTCAATTCTATTATTAAATGTTTAATATGAAAAGCGCAACATCTAAATGAAGATACACTACACGAATACTTCGTTTAGAGGGTTTTAGCTGGACAGAGGGCGATCATGCGTAGATTTGAATATAGGTATCATGCTACTAATGTAAGCTTTTATTAAGATTCGCATGCCAAATCCTCAGGGTTTTGGGGTCAGCCGGTATCGAGTACATGTTTGTATTGTATATATGAATTGTAATGTGTGTTATTGTATGTTACCACTAAATGGACCAGGTTTGAACAAAAGGCTGTTTAAGATCACATTGTGTTCGAAGCTATTGTAGTAATGTTAACTATACAAATGGAATTACTAAAGGGATTCGGTGGTGGCATAGCGAATAAAGTACCAAATTTGTTAATGAATTAACCAGCAGAGTTGTGCAAAGAGAGATCGTGAATGTAATTATAATGAAAAATACGGTAAACGCATTCAGGATTTTAAATATGCAGAGCATTGTCCAAAAGCAGGCTACCACTAGAATAACATTCACTAAAAGCCTTTGTATGGTCAACTTTCCATACATCACTGTTACACAATTCTTTGCGTTAATCCTGTTTTTCCTAGTAAAAACAGTTTATTGTGTCATTGGTTCAGACAATAAATATTTATTCTGAGCAGTTAGGTATTATAAAGCAGTTATATTATTATGCTTTTTCAAGATAGTTATGGAATCATTGGCAAAACAAAGGCTTGTTTAGTTGGACGATCTAAAAAAATGTGTAACGAAGGAAGGAGCGTCTACATTTAGATTATGCAAGTGTTTGTGCGTTGTCAAGGGTGCACACATTCAAGTTTCAGAAACAAGGGTAGCGGGACCAAGTTACTTTGGCCTTGCATTCCACATCAAGATCCATTCATAGCGGGGAACATCCAGTGTGTATTGAACTCCGGTACGCCGCGCGCTCCGCAGTCGATTTGATCATATGTTTGCGTATTGGCATGAAACGGCAAGTGACCGAATTATTTTTAGCTACGTGTTCAATGGAGAAGTTGATTATTGGCAATTCCTACGAATGTATGTCGATAAAAAATAATATAATGGTTTCAATATTCTAAATATATTGACATAGATTGGGAAAATAAAATGAAAAACAAGAAGCCTGCTGAAGGTCTCGCAATATTGACGTGCGTGAATACGGAGCGCGCGGCTGTGTCGGACGCGGGCATCGCTCCAGTCCTTACGTCCGAGCGGCGGCTTTAAGAGATCGTCCAAGCTAAAGGTGCGTGCGGCCCGCGGGTGCGCGAGGCCCGACACGGAAGGCTTGCGGATACCGAGGCGCGTGAGCAGCGTGCGCGGCGCCGACTCCTGGCTGGGGGCCGCTGTGGACAAACGGCGCGTCACTCGCGCTCGGCCCGCGGCACCGCTACGTACTGGCCCAGCCGCCGCGCTAGCCCCACACACACAGGATTGCCAGATATCCGCAATTACGTACGCACGCTATATGCGCTCTAATGCGGTGTTTCCCAACGTGGGGCCCACGACCCGCAAGGGCGCAATTTGATAATTAAGGGGGACAATCGCACTAAATACATGGTAGGCAATAACTTGGCTCTGCCCCTGGGATTGCTGAAGTCCATGGGCGACGGTAACCACTCACCATCAGGTGCGCCGTATGCTCGTCTGCCTATAAGGGTAATAAAAAAAAGTAGAAAATCTTTATTAAAATTATTTTGAATAATGAATTTCAGTTTTTTATTATATGTTTTGAAATATTACTTTACTGTGTTTTGATAACAATTTCATAGTGATTTCTTCCTAAAACCTATCATTTATGTTTCGTAAGTTAACAAATCAATTCTTTAACGTTAGAAATTATCTATGGGAGGCATACAAATTTTAAAAATGTTAAAGTGGGGCATGGCACAAAAAAGGTTGGGAAACACTGCTTTAATGTATCGCTCGGGTTGTTGGAGTGACAGGGGAGTGCAGTCGTAAGAGACTTGCTAACTGACCTATCCACTAGGCTTAAAATGGAAAAACGTTAGGCATCGACTTGAACTTTTAGGGGTAAAAATTTTGAAAACATTGTCCAGCTTATTTCTGGCAATCCTTAAATTTTCAACATCGATACAATTGTTTTAATCTGGTGCGTTTATGGGGTTGCGAAATAACGTTAATCAAGATTAATTAACTGATTCAATGTTTGTTAATGTTTATTGTTTCGGAGTATGATGAGTTCGTGTGTATACAATCGTTTAACGAATCATAAAAATTCTATTTCGATACCGAATTCAAATCGGACGCTAGATGCTTCTCGCCACACCCAGGAGCTCGGTATCATTACGAAGTTTGCACTAAATTAAAACAATCGTGCACTAAGGGGCCCAGAAACATTCGCCTATCATACGGACGCTACATCACGCATGCACCGCGCTATATACACAGTTCATACAAACATTGAATCTACGTACGCACGCGTTTCTGGTACCGCCATTGTTAACGTATAAAAACAAAAAAAAAAAAACGTCAATTGCCACGCGAAATTCTATAGATACAATGCAGTTTATTTCATTGATACAAAAAAAATGTTTATTCAAAGTAAAGATTACTGTAGGTACATTGAGTTTAAGAAATTTGTTTTTACATTGTGATTTGTTTCGTGTTGCAATGGACGTTGTTTAAATTGAATTTAAATTACTCAATATGTGTCCTTACCATCCGTAATTCGTGCGATTATTGAGAAAAGATAATTGAGTATAGCCAAACTGAGTATCGTACAAAAAGCATTTACATATAATTTGTGGTTCGATAATTCTGTTAGTCCCACTCCTAATCAAACAAAAGTCTTCGGTGAAATCTAAAATTGGAAAATTTTCACGTCGCTAGTGCCGGGATGTTATGAATGAAAACAATTGATGTTTAATTGCGATATCGTAAAAATCGTATATATGTTAAGAATACTGCAAAATTCTGTTATTGGATTTAACAAAAAAACAATTTTTTTTCAATTTGCAAAAACTAAAATTAATTTAGTTTACTTAATCACCATCACTAAACTCAACTGATCATTTTAAATTCCACCTCGTCCATTTTACGCAGTGAATGTACCAAAAAGTCGTGGAGTGACTCAAGCGAACGTATTCAATGTGCTAAAATTGTTGAGGGTCGTATAGAATATATCTTATTGGATTAAATGAGTTGAATATTCATTCGTAGGTCCGTAGTACTTACGTCTCGCGCACCTGTCCGCCTCCTCCGCGAGGAGTTTCTCGATCTTCTCCGGGAAGTGCCTCTTCGCGCACCACACGAGCCCGATCATGCCGAGCACTACGAACACCGCGATCAGACCCAACCAGAATGGTTCCTGGAGCATTCGTTGGCCCAAACCGATTATATGGGGCGAGGGATTTGGTATTTCGCACCTGGGTGGGAAGTAAAATTTATGAGGCTAGATTTATGTATCCACAACACGACACATACATGAGTGTGATTGGGATTAATGACATCTACTGGTGGTAGGACGTCTTGTTAGTTCGCATGGGTAGGTACCACCACCCTGCCAGTTTCTGTCGTGAAGCAGTAATGTGTTTCAGTTTGAAAAGTGGGGCAGCCTTTGTAACTATACTGAGACCTTAGAACTTATATCTCAAGGTGGGTGGACGAGCTCACAGCCCACCTGGTGTTAAGTGGTTACTGGAGCCCATAGACATCTACAACGTAAATGCGCCACAAACCGAAACGCATTACTGCTTCACGGCAGAATTAGGCAGGTTGGTGGTACCTACCCGTGCGGACTCACAAGACGTCCTTACCACCAGTAACTACGCAAATTATAATTTTGCAGGTTTAATTTTTATTACACGACGTTATTCCTTCATCGTGGAAGTCAATCGTGAACATTTGTTAGGTACGTATTTCATTAGAAATATTGGTACCCGACTGCGGGATTCGAACACCGGTGCATCGCTCCACACGAATGCACCGGACGTCTTATCCTTTAGGCCACGACGACTTCTCACGATCGACATGTTTTTTTTACTACCTACACATTAGGTAGAAAAAAGTATTACGTTAATAGGTGAGCTTACAGGCTCAACCTGAGAGAATTTGCTTACCCTAGGTCTAGCAAGACATGTGTGTAGGCTGCAGTTTACCCTCCTAGCTGAGTCTTTTTTTATTTTTATTGCTTGGATGGGTGGACAAGCTCACAGCCGACCTGGTGTTAAATGGTTACTGGAGCCCATAGACATCTACAACGTAAATGCGCCACCCACCTTGAGATAAGTTTTAAGGTCTCAGTATAGTTACAACGACTGCCCCACCCTACAAACCGAAACGCATTGTTGCTTCACAGCAGAAATAGGCAGGTTGGTGGTACCTACCCGTGTGGACTCACAAGAGGTCCTACCACAGTGTCCATTCGTCCACCCATCCTGCTGAAACTGGGAAGTCCTCAGGGCCACCAGTAATTAAATTTACCTCTTGCCTTTCCAGGAAGGGTTGCACTGGCAGAGGAAGGCGCCGTCCCGCTCGGTGCAGGCGCCGCGGCTGTTGCATGGCCGCGAGGCGCAGGGCCGCACTCGCTCGCTGCAGCGTCGCCCGCGCCACCCGCGCGCGCATGCGCACCGGAACGACTCCGCGCCGCCGCCCTCGCCTCCCTCGCCCCCCTCGCCGCCGCCCAGCGAGCACTTTCCGAACACGCACGGCGACCGCTCGCACGCGGTCACGAGACAGAACACTCCTAGACAACACTTGTCGATGTTGCTTAACATTCATAAGCGGTTCATGTGGCGTCTTATATTAAAGCCGCTTTTAAGTCTGTTAAAAAACAAATTCTACATATGCTGATAACCTTGAGAGGCTATTTCAGCTTCGCCTAAACATGTAGATGAGCTCGCGGAGCTCAAATCGGAGTGTTGCTAACACTGGCCCTAGCAGGACCAGTACTTCGCAGAATCTACCACCGGATCGGAAACGCGACCCACCGAGGAGATCCGGCGAGAAACTCAGTGGGCTGTATCTATGGGTTAAAACAATATTGAACGAGATAATAATTAAGAAGAATGAGATATTCTATTAGTACTCGTACCATAATCTGACTTTAAATTAACTTTTTAATTATTGTCAATTCTTTTCTGTGAATTCTTTTACGGTACAATTTGGAACCGGTCCTATCACTAAGGTTTCCTGAAATATATTGTATTGAGTACATATTATATCTTCCTGTAAAATAACAGTTCAATAACCTAACGATTAATTAATTCTATTATTATTTTGCGTGTTACCTGTATAGTATCCAGCGCATTCGCAGAAACTTCGAGCATCGTCAGAGGAGCAACGTCCGTCGTTAAGGCACGGGTTTGGGTAGCACGACTCCAAGTTAGTTTCGTCAGGTAGAAGCAGTATTTTACTGTGGTACTCCGGATCTAAAGACGCATTATGAAAATAACTTAAAGTTTTCGTAGCCGTTTTTAATTCTAACAACAAGTTGGGGCTTAGTTTAAGCGTCTTCTCATCAGCAGCATCTTGTAACTTAACATCGTGTTACAATTTGTAACGTTTGGATTGGGTTCTGTGTGTTGAATCAATTTATCGGTTTTTCGGCCTCGATCTATCTTTACTTGGACTATCAACTATAGCGTCTAAAATCTTGCCTTTCTTCTGGCTAGAGACTCCAATTTTTGCTTACTACATAATGTCAAGAGTACTGCTCGTTGTTTTTCCACGAATTTTTCAATATGCTCTTATATTTCACAATAGATTTTCCTATTTCCACAAATTACATTGAGGTTTCATATTTGAGCTATGGGATATCTCACAAAAACTTTTCTTTTGAACTATCAAAAGAATTAAAAATTAAACAGTACGCGTGTTTATTGTTACTGCGTGTTTATTAAAATTGATTAAAGCTATCCTACCTTCGTTGACAACAAGTGCTGCGTCCATGTTGACTCCTCTTTCTCCAGAGTGCTGAGTGATCACCAGCGAATGGAGATACGAGTTTATGACCAGTGGAGCTGTCGGCGCCAGCTTCCTCTTCCTCCTGTCCACCTCACACAGGGTCCACTGGGTGCCGTTATTGTCGGTATAGCTGTCTTTAACCTACAAACGAAAGTGAATACGTATTTAATAGGCTTAGAGCAAGAGGAAGAGGCAGTGTGAAAGTAACCCTATCTACAAATTAATTAATCTACAAATTAAAGAGCGGACGGTTAGCGTGGTATGGACATGTGATGCGTAGAGAGGAGATACATGTGACTAGGAGATGTATGGAAATGGTAGTGCAAGGTAGAGGGGGAAGAGGTCGACCGAAGAAGACATGGATGGAGTGTGTGAATGACGATATGAGAGAGAGAAGTGAGTGTTGAGGTGACGACTGATAGAAGAGAATGGAAGAGAAAAATTAGCTGTGCCGACCCCACCTAGTGGGATAAGGTGGAAAAAAAGAAGAAGAGAGCAAATCATTCGCAAACTATATTCTTTTACGTTCGTCATCAGATTTTCTTCGTTTATTGTTTGTTTCGTAGCAATTGACGAGGTGCAAGTGTTGTCAATTTTAATTTTAGGAATAGATTATTTGATTTTAATTTCCAAAAATTCAAAACATTATTTATTTCCTTCTTAATTTGTCAATCGTATGGTTTTTGTATATTAGGTATGGACGAATATTAGTTTTATCAATTAAGAATTATTGAACATAGTTACGGTCTATCTAATACTTAGGAAACCATAGGCATTACAAACAACTAGATGAGATTTTAAATGATTTACTAAGCACTTTTTTTATAGCTAATCCGCAAACCTCGATCCAACCGTTTCCATCCCCGCAGGGCGCCGCGGTGTCCCCCAGCACCACTAGGGTAGTCTTCGCAAAAGCCAGTGTCAGTGTGTGATGGTGCGGCGCGAGCAGCCGGGTGCGGAGAGCGGCACGCGGGGGGGCGCGCTGCGGCCAGTTCGGAGCCGCCACTCGCCCCGAGCGGACGTCTCGGAGATCGATCACGTTGGACACGTTTAAAAAATTCACTGAAAATCAAAAGCGAGTGTTCATGAAACTTTTTACAAAAATCGAGAAAGAACTTTTAGTGTATGATATCAGAAGTTTGCTTAAACTTTATTTCCGACCCAGGTGACGGGACAATGTAAAGTTGACGTCACCGGAAACTTGTCTGGTCAGATCCCCCGGATCCTCTCAGTGCTTTTAAACTCTTCACGCACCGGTCACCGTCTTCGTCGAACTGGTCGATTACGACTAAAAGTTCGACGAACGAATTAACCCATACACACAGCCCATTGAGTTTGTCTCCGCATCTTCTCCCGGGGGATGCGATTATGGCCCTTTTTTCCTACCTAATCTGATGGACTAGAGAGATATCAGCGTCACCGGGCTACGGTGGTAGATTCCGCGAACCACTGCTTCTACTAGGGCCAATGTTAGCAAATTCTCACTTCTTCTTGAACCCATGAGCTCACTTACCCGTCCGCAAGAAACTGGAAGAGCCCCTTATGCCATCAGAAAATAAGTAGGGGTAAAAAACTTAAGCTATGTATATACATATGTGCGTATGATATAAAACTTATTCGCTACAATTTAGCATTCTTCTTCAACTTTAAACGACAAGAGTTCCGTTCCGATTTGCTTTTTTTTTAATTTCACATATTCACATCTCATAATATGCAAGAGCAAGGCTTAAGAAAGCCTTAACGCCTTAGGCTTAGCCATAGCCATGCGAACGAATTCATCTTTAGGTACCTACTTATGACGAGTTTATTATTTTAGCAATAATACCGGTTATGAAGTTACCGGTTGACCAAATCAACTTACCGGTTGTGAAATGTGCTAAAAAACCTTTCCCCGTAACATTCTCTCCAGTCCTGAGTCTTATCCTCAGAATCTCCGCTTTAGAGACAAAGAGGCTGTTCGTCAAGATATCGGGACTCTGAAACGGTCTGATCGGGAGGTTCTCCAGGTCGACCTGCACCTCGAGGTACGACTCTTCGCTGACGGAGCCAGTGACGTTGACGGGAATGCCTTTGTCGAAAGTTCCATAGCCGAAATCGAAATAGCTGATGTTGAGGTAGACTCTTTTACCTGACAATAGAAAATTATTCATAGCCTATGTTAAAACTTACAAAGAAAATCGATTCGATTGGACGGAAGGTTATAATCGTTGATTCTGTTAACAATCTATCATACAAAAGCAGCAATGAATAAATAACTTATGTGATAAAATTCACACACAGATAAAGCAATTTTATACGCATACCGTAACTAATATGCTTGCATTGTATCTATTACGACAATACGTAAGACGTGATTGCGACATTATTCTAAAGTATGCACTAATATAGAGACGAGAACATCAACAAGAATACCGCTTAAAAATATATGAATTGTATTATATAAGTCCTTGCTATGGAAAAGCAAAGTTCAGTTCCAGGAAACCATAAGCTATTTATTATCGCGTTAAAACCACGCCTTACGCCTTACACCGATCTTAACAGAATAAATATCTTTCTTTGTTTGCGGCTTTTTATTTAAGCGCTAAAACGGCTCGCGCGCAGTGTGACCAGCATGACCACAAGCTACCGGCGTCACCAGACGCGCAAGGCACGTACTGTAGACTTACACAGCTAATAAAACTAAATTATGGTATTATACTTACCAGTAGGAGCGAGGATATCAATGGTACAATCCAGATTGGGCAGCAAGAAGTGGGGGAAGTTAGGGCTTTTTAATACTCCTTCCTTGGATGTGAACGTCTGCGACGGACAGCCAGCGAGCTCCACAGCACGCCACGATAAAGAGAATCCAGAGCCTTGCGTGCTGAAATAAAACACTTTCATTTTATTCGTATGAAACTTCTAGATATCCAGAGTTAGCGTTTGGGAAACAGAAGTAATCTGCGCTTTAGTAACGATTTTGATTTGTTTTGGGTAATTTGTTTTTTTCAGATATTCTATTACGATTATGTTTGTTTTTTTATTGCTCTTGTAGGCAGACGAGTATACGGCCCACCTGATGGAGAGTGGTTACCGTCGCCCACAGACTTCAGCACTGCCAGGGGCAGAGCTAAGCCGCTGCATACCGTTACGTACTCTAAGTACATAAGCAAAATAGGTGAGAAATCAATGAAAGGAAATGTTGAGTTACCGCTGAAATTTTACTGCTTTTACGATTTAATCGATGTTTATTTTTCATTAACTACACGGTTCAGCAAAAACACCAATAATTTGTTTTGCTCGTTTCTACATAGCACGCGTTGTAATACAAACAAAAGCATGTGCGGGGTCATTAGTCTCGTCTGAACCGAGGAGGTTAACATTGCGTTACATTGCAAGTACATTTAATATTGATTTGTGAAGCTTTATTTGAATTGTTTGTTAGTAGGAAATGATAGTGTTGAATGATCTTTACTTACTTGTAATCAGAATGGAAATGTAGGACAGCTCGGTGACCGTCGGCTACCCATCTTGTCTCGGCGACGTTGCCGCAATACCTCGATGACTTCATAGTTTGGACATCACGTAACTAAAAATACATTGCATAATTTTTTATTGCTTAGGTGTGTGGCCCACTTGGTGTGAAGTGGTTACCGGAGCCCATGGACATCTACAACGTAAATGCTGCCACCCACCTTGAGATATAAGTTCTGAGGTCTCAGTTTAGTTACAACGGCTGTCCCACCTTTCAAACCGAAACGCATTACTGCTTCACGGCAGAAATAGGCAGGGTGGTGGTACCTACCCGTGCGAAATTACAAGACACCCTATCACCAGTAACTAAGGTTGAATTGTTGGTGCTAAGGCAGCCGTCGTCTCCCTTATTTCTGTCGCGAATTGCTTTGTGGTTTGTAGAACGGGTAGGACATGGATAAAGGTGAAGTCCAGAGAAGGTTTAAATGGTAGATATGAAATATGAAAATGCTTGGAATAAAATAAAAATAACAATTTTATTTTCCCTCTGATGTGTCCCCCGTCGGACGGATTCCTTTTGTTTGTTTTAAGTTGATTCTACACAAAAGTTTGTCTTTTATTTATCGATTGAGGCACTACAAAGTCTGCCGGGTCAGCTAGTACTCTATAGAAAAAACCTTATCTTTCTGAACATAGGAGTTTTCTTTTTATTGCTCATGTAGCCAGATGAGCATAGCACTATCCTCATGGTAAGTGGTTATCGTCGCCCATGGACGTCAGCAATGCCAGAAGCAGAGCCAAGCCAAGCATTTCAGTAAAGCCTAAGCGTACTAAATCGAGGGCATCGCCGGTTATTAACATTTTTGTAGTTTGTATTTTTGATACTCTTTTATATTTATAGGTTTTTAGAATATTATTATTTTTATTTTTTATTAGTTGAATTAATGTCTTAAACATATACCTAATATCTTAAACGTATACCTAATATCTTAAAGAAAATCTACGCTAAATTGCCTTCATTCAAAATAGATTCGTAAAATCATCGCATTACGATAAAAGTCCGCTTAACTTGTACGAGACGGCTTAAGTCGTTAAGCGCGGTCGAGACGTAACCTTGAACTTGCGGAATTAAGTTCAATACAAATCGGATATAATATTCTCAGATAGAATTCGGATTTTAGTACTTATCAAAATGAAGACAAGATCATCTCTAAATAGATATTTAGGACATAATATTAGGAGATTCGTAAAACCGATAATACTTCGATAAATTTAATTCGCGCAGTCTTGAATATGAACTTGACATTTTCGTACAAACTGTTTAGGCTTAATATTGAATTGAATTATGCATATTTTATTCTTGAACATAGCTCTACGATTTGCTAGTGTAAAACAGTCCTATCCAATTTCATATTGACAGAATATTTATCTCTTTCTCTCTGTGCGTCGTGTTCATCAGTGCTGAAGGTCGTGACCTTTACGGAGCATTTTTATTAGGACTATGTTCCTCCATTCCTTCCTGTCCTCCGCGCAGCAGATAGCGACATTGATGCTGGAGTCCAAAGCAGTCTTAATCTGATCGGACCAGCGCATGGGACTACGCCCCCTAGGCCTCTACCCTTCCACTTTGCCGGTGATAAGTAGTCTTTCGAGATTGTCGCTGTTTTTCCTCGCAACATGACCGAAAAACTCGAAAATCCTACGTAGGCAAATGGTGGAGAGTGTTGTGGAGACATCGTTCTTCCAGGATTGATGCGTTTGTCCGATGCGCCATCCAGGGAATCCGCAGCACTTTCCTCCAGCACCACATCTCAAACGCGTCGACCCGACATCGATCAGCCTTCTTTAGAGTCCACGTCACCGCCCCATATAAGAAGATAATAAAGCCAGAATATTTATAGTAATTAATTTTCTATTCAATTTCAGACTTTTCTAATGCTTTACCGGCTAGTTCTCGTGTTGAAGAATTTATTTTGTTGTTCTTATTTAATTTTAAAATTAACCGAAGAAGCGACTGAAACCATTTTCAATTCACAACTGCAATTGCGGGGATTATGCAGCGCTAATACTGATTCTACTCTTTGGTTAAGATTAAGATGGTGCAAATGGGACGGTGTGAGTTCGAAGGTCCCCCCTTGACGACTCACATTATACCCTAATTACCATGTCGACTTATAGAATAACTCGATTTACCTCAACGAAATCATAAAGACAGTCTTTCTGGTACTCCAAGTCTACGACATCGAACACGAAAACCAGCCTAGTGTCAGGCGGCCCGACCACGTGGATCCAGTAGTCCAGGTCGTTGTCATACAGGCCTGGATGATTTGGGCTCGTTAGACTTCCTGTGTGAAAGAGAGAGAGAGTATACGTTATTGAACACCAAAACATTGATCATCATTGTGCATGATGTGCATTCAGTAGACCAGTAGTAAATAAGTTCGAAACTTATTCTTGTAAATAGTAATTGCATATATGTTGTAACTTCTTGTTGATTTGTTTTACTGCTTATATCGTTGTATAGCTTATTTTACAAGTATATTGTTTCTGGAATTGAGATATGTAAATAAATTTTTGCTTCGATTTCATTCTACTTCAAGTCTTCCTATAGGAGGGGAAGATAGTGTCGGTGAAAACGGCTATTTTTAATATTTATCTTTATCTTTATTGACAGTTGGATAAAGAGTCAAGATGTAATTGAGAGTTTCCAAGTTCTTTGGATTCATAACTGGTATAATATATATGGCAAGCTAGCTTTTTAGGTAAGTCTAACCTGATGTTCCTTCAACTGTTCTATTCTGCACGTTGTGTTCAGGATTGAGCTTTCTTTTGCAGACATATCCACCGGTGAGGATGCATTTGTGAAGTGTCCAATAGAGACCACTCGGCTGCGACGGCACCGGCGAAGATTTCCACTGCAGAAGCGATTGATAAATCCTATCTAAATGTTCCATCAATAAGTTATTCATTACAAACTTTTAGATGTAATTCTTTGTCAGTGTTATAACGTTATTCTTTGCCATAAATGTTCCAACTTTGCAAAATCTTTAGATTTTTTTACATTCGGGATGTCCATTTAATATTTTGATTAACTATGTAAAATTAACTGAATACAAATCTACTGATCGTAATGTAATACTTCTAATACTTCACTCGGTCTTATAGGAAGACCTCAACTTTCTAATTCATACGTTTTTATCGATTTTATTGGTATCCTTTGCCTTTGGATAGGCTTTCTCCAGAATAGGACATTTATGCTTTTTACCGCATTTTTAGTCCGGAGATGAGATCTTCGACTATCACATATAGAGGATCCATTAAAATTCCGGTATGAAAGCGTTCGTCAAAGGGCGGTAGCTCAGCTGTAACCTTGTCATGATCATGTGCCACAAACCCGAGTCCGTATGCTGCTTGTATAGGCACTAAAAAGCCGAGCATCTGGTCATTTGAAATGCATTAGACTTTATACTTTATGTGATATGTAATGCTATCACGGCTATTCAATCTCTCACCCAACTCTGTTACGGATCGACAAGATAACTTAACGCAGATTTTTCGTAAAAAGAAAACGCATTTAATATTGGCACGATGTTTCGAATTAAAATGTAACATTTATTTCATTACCAATTTTGGTGTCAGTGTGCTTAGTTCGAGTTTTTTAACGTTCTCGATAGCGTAAAAGTTAACTCAAATTTGTATGGACTTTGGAACGTTTGCCTACGTTTGTGGCTAGGGGCGCTGTTCCAACTGCATACAAATTTGAGTTAACTTTTACGCTATCGAGAACGTCAAAAACTCGCACTTAGCACATAGACTAAGTACAGTGGCAATAGTAATGAGTGAATGTTGTATTTGAACCTTGCTTTCTCTTTTAGCTTGAGCGAACTAGAACCTGAAAACCGGTTTTGTATTCATCCAATAACACCTGAAAGGATCCCCTAGCGATCACGTAATTCAGACTAATCCATGAGGAATGAACCGGCCGAATTGTCTAGTTCAATTTATCATGGACTAACTTAGTAGTTGTTGAAAGTTTAATTAATACTAGATGATGACCGCGCTTTGCTCGGTTTTATTTTATAACGCCTTGTTGTTGTGTCTTTAAAGCAGTAAAAATAGTATTATTATTCGCCAATAGATGTCGGGAAGAGTCATAAACTTGATTATCGATAAAGTTGATTATTGAAAACACGAATAAAACAACATTTTCTGAAAATAAATCGTAGCTGGATCGATTTATCGCCCCCGAAATACCCTGTATATTAAATTTTATGGAAATCGTTAGAGCCGTTTCCGAGATTCAGATTATATATATATACAAGAATTGCTCGTTTAAGGGTATAAGATTAAGCACTTGAGTTTACAAGACCATTCTAGGCGCTTTGGGAACAACTTAACATCAAAATTCAATGTGCTACAAAATTCTAAATGAGAAGGGCTTGTAAGCATTATTCTCCGAATGATAGTCTGGTGTAAAATAGAAAAGAAAATATCGTGGCAAATGGGATATTGCGTTTCTGCCACTATGAAGCTACTATCCTCGATACTTTGATCCGCGAGGTTAATATCTCCACTTCCATCATTCACGCGTTTAGGTTTGAATAGTTGGAGAGGCATAACAAAATTCAGGCTTCATCATCAGACGGTATTCGCGTTATGACGTTTATGGGATACGGCAACCCTTTAACAGCATGTACACCGCCAGATCGTTTATGCATTAGAAAAAAAAACTAAATTGTTCTAAACTGAGAATATTGTCGCGGCATCTTAGGATTTTATTATCGCCCGGCCCAAAATCATGTGATTGAAATCTTTAAACTTCAGAATTTTTTGTTTAAAAAAATATTTATTAGCAGATATTTTCAGTAATAAGATCGCTCAATGGATTTTTGTGTTCCAATTCAATTGTGTTAGTGTTCGCTCTATTTTCATACGTTCACTTTCCCGTCTAAAGGATTAAGATACGAAGTTGTTATTCCGCAAAAACGTCGTCAGGTGTGAGCCCCGTGAGCTCATCTTCTAGTTAAGGTTACGTTGAAATAGCCTCTCAAGGCTATCAGCTTAGGTAGGAAAAAAAAGCAAAAACGATTTCTTGCCTCAAAACATTAGTACGTCCCTTATAATTTGTTTGTGATGTTATCAGCGTTAATTTTGTGAATAAGGATTTAAGTCTTCAAAAGTGAATACCTGAATAGCCAAACAGGCGTCATCGAGCTCATCAGTGTCGTTGTAAGGAGGCCACCCCTGGTACTCCACTTCCGAGTCATCGATCCAGGAGAAATCCCCGTCAAGCAGACGAGCGCCCAGCCAATAAACCGATCCGGCGCTGTAGTCCGCACTCTGTCTGATGCCGGATACGATGAAACGCTCTTCGTCGCCGGAATGGACTGACGCGAGATGCATGTTCAGGCCCTCGCAGACCTGAGGAAGGAATTTGATTATTTTGACCTGTGATTCATGATTATTGATTCTTAAAATCCGCCGTGGTCCCGAAAAAGACGTCAGGTTGTGAGCTGTTATTTTCAGACGTGTTAAAGATACGTGTAGGTTCACGGTCTCCAGCAAGTCTTAGTATGTGAAATGCTCACTAACAGCTATGTGATTGAGTGAATGAGATCATTAACCCCTATATTCGTGTAGTAATTTTAGCGTATTCGTGCTTTTGTTAATTCTTATTTTGTATGTCAGAGTAATAAGATAAGTTGAGATATACGCTTTTTATTATTACATATGGTATATTTGCTGAACACTGTTTTACGAGATTATTATATAATATATAATGCGATTTTTTTATTTTTTTTATTGCTTAGATGGGTGGACGAGCTCACAGTCCACATGGTTGTTAAGTGATTACCAGAGCCCATATACGTCTACAATGTAAATGCCGCCACCTACCTTGAGACATGAGTTCTAAGGACTCACTTTTAACAGTACAACGGCTGCCCCACCCTTCAAACCGAAACGCATTAGTGCTTCATGAGAAATAGGTAAGGCGGTTCTACCTACCCGTGCGGAGTCACAAAACGTCCTACCACCACCAGTTCCAACTTCGCGGAAGAAGTAGAAAAGAGAAGTAGAGTCAGTAAGTTTTCATTCCTGCGTAGGCCCAAATCACCCAATGTTTTATTCCTTTGGAAGATTTACTTTTGAAGAAATTTCATATAGGGCATATGGGAACATTCACAAACGCTTTTTACCTGTTTCGCTGTGGTCCACGAAGCTCTCGGATATCCAGAGAAAAGATAGCAATGATTGTTGTAGAGTACTTGTCTCACGTCCATACACGACTGGGCTGTCAACAAGCACGCGAACTTTTTAGTGTTGATTATATTGCTTAGATGGATGGAATCCGTAGACATTAACAAAGTAAACAAGTAATATAGGCAGCGGTTTGGCTCTGCCCCTGAAATTGTTGACGTCCATGGGCGACGATAACCACTCACCATCAAGTGGGCTTTATTCTCAACTGCATACAAGGGCAATAAAAAAGAAAAAAAATATACCTGTCTGCAGGATTCGAACATCGACACAGACGCATCGCTTGATACGAATGCACCGGGTGTCTAATCCATTAGGTTACAACGACTACCTATTTAAGAAACAATGCCGAGTAATTTGATATTTAATTTTTATTCTATCTTGAATATTATTTAACACATCCAACTTAGATATGTATATTTGTCTCTCTCTTCTACTAAATCAAATTGAAGCTACCACCTCTGCACGACAGAGGTGATCAGGTTTTTCTTAGCCTGCTGCGAGAGAAATTCCCAGCGTTTCGCAGTTAAGGTGCTAATATGAATAATAAGTTTAATTTCGGCTATGACTGGTAATCTATGCTAGATATTGCGAGAACACGTTCCTCTGAGGGCGGGGCCCTGCCTGTCGTCCAGCCCGACGAGAACTAATTAAACTTTAGGTTAGAACAACAAACTCTTGGAATTCTATCTTAAAATTTTAAACGTATGCGGTACATTAATGTTGGATTGGAATCGTGCGAATAAATGAAAGTGATGCACTGCATTGTAATTTTGTTGTTTCATCTAACTTTTTTTTTTACAACTAAATTATCTAAGCTCATTCTGTCGTTTTTTCTTATTCTTTTTCGCCATCTAGCAATTTTCACTGACTTATCCTGTATAGTGTAAATCGACTTATAGAAAGAGACGATCGGTTAAATTCGGCTCCGTAGAGCGTTATCTCTCTCGTACACTACATAGCCTATTTCGTGATGAAAACGCTTGAAACAGAAAACCTCTTTATTGAAAGTCTGTTAAAAAAATCATGATTTAATGCGGCCTTAGATGTCAGTCGAAAAGATTCGCGCGCCATTTTAAAGCTTATCATAAAAATAATATATTATTTTATATATTCTATATCACCTAGTGCCTATCTTCGTTTTCTTTATTTCCTTTTAACATTATGATACTGAACACAACCAAAATATTATATTATGTGTTTATAAATAGTATGTTTGATTTAGGTATTTATTTTGAGTGCAAATTTCCCGCTAATAAGAGGTGATTAAAAAACAAACCACAAATCTTTGAATTTACGCGTTTGACAACACTTTTGTGTTTTAACTTTCATTCTTAGTATTAAACATACAACTTAGCTGGAAATCGAATTATTTAATACAATGTTTATCTAAGACCTTACACTTGAAGGTTCAGGCAAATATTTGTAGGACAAAAAGTGACGTTTCATTCGTTGGAAGAACCCTTGAACGGACCTCTATCAACATTGTGTCAAAAATTGAATTATCACCGACAAAAGTTGATATTACTTTTTTTTCTGCCTAACGACACACGCAAGAGTTTCCAAATATGTCATAATTCAGAAGTGCACATCATAGTCTCACAATATTATTAATTACATTGTACATCGTTGAGATCAATGTAGATGGAATTGAGCGATTGTGTCATTCATCAGTGAAATATAATACTAAGACTATTTTTTTACTTTTGATTTTTCCATTCAAATTTATACATGAATACCTCTTAGTATTTATTACCCTATCGTGTGACTGTCTCCATCCGATGATTTGCAAGTGAAGTAAATTGTTCCTTCGTAATAAGGTGACACTCTACAAAACTTTACGCCCGGTCATGACCTATGCAAGTGTAATGTTCGTTCACGTGGCCGGCACTAATCTGAAATCCCTTCAAGTCATTTAATCCCATTTTTGCATGATAGCCGTCGGAGTACCGTTGTACGTAAGAAACGTGGATCTCCACGACGATATGGACCTCGAGCCCATCAGTAAGTACTTACAGTCGGCAGCAGTACGATTTCGAGAAAGCGGCGTGACTCGAAAACCCTCCCATCGTGGCCGCCGGTAACTATATGCCCGATCCTGCGGACCGAGTGGTAAACAGTCGACGTAGCTCTAAACACGTCATTTCGGACCATCCAGATCCACTAACTTATGGTATCTTAAGCACCGGTCAACGTTCTCGTCGAAGGGTTCAACGAGTAAACTAACCCACAGACACAGCCAACTCAGTTTTTCACCAGATCTTCTTAGTGGATCGCGTTTCCGATCCGGTAGTAGATTCTGCGAAGCACTGTTGTTACTAGGTCCAGTGCTAACATCGCCTCTTCGTTTAAGCCGCGAGAGCTCACCCACTTGTAAGGTTACGCTGACATAGCCTCTCAAGGCTATCAGAATAGGTAGGAAAAAAAAAAAAAACTATACAAGCGGGCGCGTGGTGGCGACGGCGTGAAAGTTTATTTTTGTCGCCGGTAGATGTCACTTTTAGATTTTCGACCGAAACTGAATCGCGCTGACGAGATGTATCATCGTCGCACCAGGTGATTCGTTGGCAGTCAATTGCGGCAAGACCTTACTTCATAGGATCATTTCTATAGTAAGCTCTTACCGAGAACTTCACACTACGTGAATGATCGACAACCACGATGATGAGGCGTGGCGCGGCATCCTGAGCGTGAGGCAGGCAATGGTTATCTGATCATTAGCCATCAATGATCGTTCGCTTCCTTTCACAGGGAAGAGTGGGATGTTGTCGCTATCTGAGTGGTTGATTATTCAATTTTGAATAATCCTTAGGCCTATTTATAATTTAATTTTTTTCGGGCCGGGAGGGCCCAACCTCCTACTAGGTTCTCGCGGCTAGGGGGCACGTGGGGTTTTTTTTTTATTGCTTGGATGGGCGGATGAGCTCACAACCTACCTGGTGTTAAGCGGTTACCGGAGCCCATAGACATCTACAACGTAAATGCCGCCATCCACGTTGAGATATGAGTTCTAAGGACTAAGGTCTCAGTATAGTTACAACGGCTACCTCACTTTTCGAACCTACCTACCTGTGCGGTGCCCAAGAGGTCCTACTACCAGTGATTACGTAAATTATAATTTTGCGGGTTTGATTTTTATTACACGATGTTATTTTTTCACCGCGGAAGTCAATCGTGAACATTTGTTGAGTACATATTATAATTTCATTAGAAAAATTGGTACCTGCCTGCGGGACTCGAACACCAGTGCATAGCTACATACGAATGCACCGGACGTCTTATCCTTTAGGCCGCGGCGACTTCAAATTTCTCAAATTAATCAAAACACACCGCAAATTTTCTATAAATATTATCTATTGTAAGTGGGTGACATTTTGGAAATTGCTTTTGTGCCATCTCAAAATAAAAACGTACTAGCTTTTCTTTGATTATCACTCTATTAATTACTTATTTAATTAAAAAGATATGTGTGTCAAATTAATGAGGTTTTTTGATACTGCTCAACGGTATTATTCAGAAGCGTTGAATTGATGAAAATTGATTACAAACTACTATAAATATAATAAAATGTTTCTAATATTATTCACGAATACCACTTTGTTGGCAACATAAACAAAAACACAGTATTAGGGCGGCAGATCCCGTGTATCAGTACAAGATAGATGACGTGACCATCGATCAGATAGCGGTGACAAATTGTATCGGACGTGATCCGTCTTCGCTTCGATTGTTTTTTCCACATACAGCTAATATGAAATCTATTTTTTTTATTTGCCACAAAAAAAAATGCCGCCAAACTTTATTTGACGTGAGAACTTCTTACAAATTGACGAACACCGGCTGCACGCACGAAAAAGTGTCACGTTCCGCCTGAGCGTGAGCGTGCAAGCGAGAGCGCGGAACAAGCGATAGCGAGGGCACATCGGCCCAAGCGTTAATTTATAAAAAAAAATGTAATTCTCAATTAACTCTTTCTTTGTATTAAACAAAGTAATGATAATTCAGTGATAATAATTCTTTCAATTCAATTCATAAAAGTATGCTATTTTCAGCAGTATTTCTTTATGACGTTATTACCTACAATTATAATCATTCGCAAACTAACTTTAAAGACACCACTTATTTATTTATTTAATATGTAACCACTGACGCTCGTGGATCAGCAATGCCAAGAGCACAGCCAGACCGCTGCTTGCTGGTTAGGTTTGATATTTCATGTTCTATGCCCTAAGGAAATACCGCTGGTAAGTTCGCACGAAATGGTAGCAGCGGCCTGGCTCTGCTCCTGGCATTGCTGACGTTCATGAGTGACGGTGACCACTTACCATCAAGTGAGCTGTATACTCGTCTGCCTACAAAGGCAATAAAAAATAAAAAAAACGAAACGCATTATAACGCAGATTAAAAAAAAATTGCTATATTGTACACTTGCTTGGGAAATTTAGGACATTATTTTCTGTTGTAAAGTGTTTTACGACAATTACTATTAACTGTTGGCCATAGCTAGACAACTCACATAAAAGATTCTGAAGTATGAAACATCTTCCAGCCCTTCAAGCAATAAACTAGATAACCCACGGACAGCAATACATACGCCTATAGAAGAATTTTTATCCATAGAATTTTAGAATTAAAAAACCCAGAACGAAGCGAATATTACCTAGAACATTTTGAATAGACGAATGAATACACGAATGTATCTTGTTAACGAGGGGTCGCTCAATGGATGCTTGTTGGCTTTTTTGACTCCGATAGAACGTGTAGTGCATCCCAACACGATTTGGTTAGTATCAACATTATTTACGGGTTTTATATTGTTTTAACGTCCGTCTGGTGTAGTGGTAAGTGACATGGTCACTACACTAGGGGGTCGCGGGTTCGAATCCCGCCAAGGGAATATATTTGTATGATAAATATAAATGTCTTTTCCGGGGTTATGGATGTATATTAAATATATGTATGTGTATAATAAAAATCTTACATTTATTTCCGTTATCTGGTACCTGTAACACAAGTTCTTTACGAACTTATCAC